GGAGTCCCCATCTCCTTCGCCGCCGCCCACCTCGCGAGACCGGAACTCCTTGCCAGAGGTCAAAGGTCTGACTCTGACTTTCCGACTTCCGGTTCTCTCAACCTTCTCAAAAATCACTTTCTGGGGAGAGAAAAAAAAAGAAAGAAAAAAAATTTATTATCTCTCGTGGCGGATGTATGGCCATTATCGACAAATAAGTAAAAGACGTGTCTTAAAATGAGAAATTATTTTATCAGTAGTTTTTTTTTCGCGGAATCATTTCCACTTGACTTTGACTCGCGAATCGATATCGATCGGCTTGGAGATCGAATCGACGTTTCGCCGATTCCCGATGACCCGATTCCGAATGACCGTTCGCTAATTCGATCCACGAGAGTCGATCGATCGTTTCGATCCTGAAAAATCGAGGCCGCCTCGTTAAAACTAGAATTAAGAATCGGGAGAAGTATCCTAAAAATTCCAGAGAAAAAAAAGAGGCAACCCTGACCCCATCTCGCATGTTTAAATTAATTAATAACCAATTTCCATTCTCAATTTTGCACCCTTGACATTGCAACATCTAATGGAATAATTTGAATTAATTCTACAGTGGCCGTAAATTCGATGTATTAAAAGGGGTGAATTTTTTTTTACTTGGCAGAGATATCCTTTTTTTTTTAATTTACAGTTAATCCGACACTATTTTTCTTTGAATGTGGGGCACTCCTCTCGAATCTCCATTTCCGGTCCGAGCTCCACTTGCTCGTCCCACGACACGGAAACGGTGTCGATCGTTTCGTTGCGGTTAACAAACCGTTAAAGAAACGCGGGACTGCGGACACGGTCGTGCGCGACTCCTTATTATTTTATTCACTTTTTTGCAAGGGGAATAAGCGGCAAAAAAATCGGCACGGAATTCTTGAACATACGAGGGAGAGAGAAAAAAAAAAGAAAATTCCCTTCGAACGTCCCGGAAAAATTCGACGACGATCGTTGCGAATTTACCATTGAGAAATTTGAATTCCCTCTTAACTTTTAATTCATGTAACTTTGATTCGTGATTCAGTGCAGATGGATACTGCAAAATTGAGCTCGCTTATAATTTCCGTCTAGAAAAGTGGAATGCAATTAAATGTAAAGTCGTGAAATCGTTCATTTATATGTACCTGCACATGAGTGGTTAGGAAATAAGTGGTTTTATTTGTGAGTCGATACCGGAAATTCGGGTAGGTTCTTCGGCAAATGCAATTGCAAACGCGCCTTTGTGCTCCATATGTCATGGTTAAAGGCGGCATTAATCGGCGTCCATTAATAAGCGTAAATGGCGCCGAGGAAACGAGATACGATCTCGCGATGTGATGTATATACCGGGATGAAAAAATTCATTGAACCAAATAAAATGAAATAAATTGTCAGGGTCCCAAAGAAGTGCTGCATCCCATCTACTCGAGATTCTTTGAGCCAAGTCAATTATTCCTTGAATTTAGAAAATATTTCATTATATAAACTTTTCATTTCATTCTGTCTTAAAGTAATGGTTTAAATCCCCGGAAACGTGAAAACTGACTAAAGCGGATTTTAATGTCATTCTTTTTTTTTTTCACGACGCGGTCCGCAAATCGTTCCTTTTTTAAGCGCCGGACTTTTGGCTCGGTCGAAGCAACCGGCTGGGCTTCCAATTAGTCATTGGCACGGGATTCGTGCGGGAAAAGAGGATCTGTAAACATTGTCTTGACAAGAGATTCGCGATTTTATAACCACCCGAGGGAGGGCGATCGAAAAAGTGCAGGAGCGATTCGCCCGGGAGAAATTCCACTCGCGCCTCGATGTCCCATATGTCACAGTTAAAGGCGGCATTAAAAGCCGCGTCCATTAATAAGCGCCTCCGAAGGCCCATAAATAGCTCGCAGGAAACGCCATTGTTCCACCATGAGAGTCTCCTCCGAGGACCCTCGCTCTGCCGAAACATCCCTCTTTCATTTTTTCCACAAAAATGACAAACATTGTCTTCGGTGGTCCTCGACAAAAGAACCCCCCGAAAATTTCCGGATTTTTTATTGTCCCTACATAGAAAAAGCCTTAAGTTTGCCTTTTCGATATCGCGCCCACCTAATCAAAGAGAATAATATTCATTAATATTGCACCCCGCGGCGAAATTTTCTTTTTTTTTTTCTTTTTTTCTTTTCTGTGGGACGCGACAATATGCACGCGCTTATTTTTCCATTGAAGAGATTTGCATTTTTATTAATGTATATGTGGTTTTTATCGAATTCGGAGATCGTTCGGTTCGAGGTGGAGTCCCCGTCAGGGTAACCTGCGGAAGGGGATTTTTCTATTTTCTTTTCAGCTAGGTCGGGTGCTCGATCTGTCGCGATTAAGTCGGCGAAGGGGTTAGGAGCGAGGCCTATTAATAAACGCCCGCGAAGGACCATTAATAGGCCTCGAAGAAGGTGACGGACTCGGACGGGCCGATTGGACAGGTTTGCGTAGTAGGGCTCTAGAGAGCCGGACGAAGACACTATTCTCGCGGGGATGACACACGCCGGAGTGCCGATAGCTCGGAATTAGCCGCTAAATAAAGAGATATCCCCGCAGGGGTGGCGTTCGCTTTTGGCTTGTAGCTTTTTTGGCGAGAGCTTTTGGCGCCCGGCCGCTCTTAGTCACACCTTGCCTGCGATTAGACCAGGTGCGGGGCAAAAGGTGCACCCTAAACGCCGTTTAACGAGCCGTCGATCATTTTCTTTCCTTATCTTTCCTCCTCATTTTATCGATCAAATCCGTCCTATACAAGTAAAAACGACGGAAGTTTGGAACGACTTAACCCCTTGAACACGGAGCCCTTTCTACATACGGGCGAAATTCGTCTGACCGTGCGCGCAATATTGGACCAAACGTCGGGCGCCTTTAGGCGCTCTTAGTAGCCAAAGGGTTTAGGGGGGACGAAAGTGACACTTTTCTCCTAATTGGGTGCACCGAATCATTTCAAACTTCACCACGCGAATGTGGAGACTATTAGGAAAGTTCTGGCCCCCCATGAAATCTGAAATTTTTTTTTTAATTTATTTTCATATGTCGTTTTGAGATCGAGAACAGGAATAAGAAAGTGGCCGAAACTGCACGCACCGCTATTTAAACGCCCTGTAATATGATAAAATTGAATAATAGCATCATATAATACCGTCGATCCCGTTGGACGATGAATTTGACACACGAGTTGGATCCTTCCTGTCAAAATTCCGCGGTCCGGGAGTTGGTCTGGATCGGTGCGGTCGCTTAAGTCCCTCGTTGTAAATGACGCGGCTAGTTGGCCGTTTCCTCATTTGCCGGCAACTCGGCGGACACCCACCAGTCAATTTAAGAGATTTTACGGAATCCTGGCCCCCGAGTTCGCCACCCAGCGCGGCCCGTTCAATTACTCGTATCCTCCGCCCACAAGACCCTCGAGCGGTTCCTCCGAGTTACGCGTTGCCTCCTAATCTCGAGATTGGAGTTCCCTTAGACGTTATCAACGAGCTCATTCTTCACTCCGAGTCACTTCTCGGTGATTCCGAAAGAGCGTAATTCCAGGTACGGTGACTCATTGGTCTCTGAATTTTCCCCAGAGCCTTGAAGCGTGAGTAGTCAGATCCAATTTTGTCTTCCCGTGAAGCGACTTGGAAAAAGAAGGAAAAATTAAGAAAAAAAATTCGGGCGAAGGAAATAAATTATAGGAAAAATATTCATTGAAGGGCTAGACATATCTTTGGAAAGGCTGATAGAAAAAAATAGGAAGGAGCGAATTAAACCAGGGGAATTAAGGATGTAATGTTGGGAGGAATGGAGGAAATAAACGAAACGTACCCTCGAAAGGCGTCGACTCGGCCGACCTCGGGCGTCCGTGTCCCTCGGCATTAATTCAAGGAACTCCTCGGAGAGTCCGAAAAATTTCGTAAAGCCCCATATGGGAAACTGGTCCCTGGAAATATCAAGCCGGGAGTTGATATGCTCCAGTCGTCCCGGGCCGCGGTTCGCGTAATGGCACCAGTTTCACCGAGGCGAGGGCTCGTTACCGAAACGATAAAGCCGCGTAACGGGCTCGACTTAACCGAGGTCTCCTCGGGTTCTTAAGGTGGCCACTTCTCTCGGGTTCGTAAGGTCGGCACTTCTCTCGAGTTCGTAAGGTCGCGAGAACTGGTCCCGTTCTTGCGTCACGTCTCTGCCAGGACTCGGCTCGACCGAGAAACTGGCTCCTGCCTTTACGCTCCTTTGATTTTTACCCACCCTCTCCGGCAAATCTTCTTACACTCCAAAACCATCGGCCGATACTTAAACGATGATTTTTCTCAAACCGATGAATTATTTTCAAATTATTACTCTCAGAATCATTTTTTTTCCCCTCAATTTCTCCATACGACCGGCATTTTATTTTTCAGAGTTTTGCCGCGGACATTTTTTTTTTTCGTTTTTTTTTGTTTCCACTTGTCGGCCATGTTTCAAGTCGGAGGACTCGGCTCTTTGGAAATCATTCCTTTCTCAGTGATTCTTCGCATCGGTCACGATTCGGGGTACCGACCGCCGAGGATCGCTAAGGAACGCTTAATCTCGATAAGCTCGCCGCGTCTCGAGCGCAGTCCTTAACGGCGATTTATAGTTTCTCCCCTTGTTGAAACGAAAGTCCTGTCATTCTTCGACCCGCGCCCTCGCTCGTCAACGAGGCTGTCATCTCCGAGGAAGAAAAACTGCTCCGCGCTCCTGCCCGAGACGACGCTTCCATTAATAAAAAGGAAAAATAATGTAACTCCACTCCTTGGGAATTCATTTCGGTCATTAATTCTCTGTATTCGTTTCGCGTGATACCATTGTACGCACCATACAAATCCAGTGGTGTCGTAAAAAATCCAAACACTTCTTTCCAGTCCGCTCTCCTCATAAAATGTTTCCTATTTGTTTGAAGTTGCCACGTTTGAAACAGAGCGACCGGTTAAAATTATTAGGATCGTTGAAAGGAACGGGAGGTAAATAATATCCTAATGTTGTTGCAGAGGCCTCCGGAAGCGGAAGTTCGTCCTGGAGGAGCGACTCGGGCGGCGCGGCCGGCGCGACCGGAAGGCCGGCGTCGCGTCGCGGGGAGACGCCATCTTCTTGCGCGACGCCGACCTCGGCCAGCTTCCCCTCGGAGCCGGAAGTCGACAATGAGCCCAACGACCCTGCGGCCCCATATCCCTGTCAGTTCTGCGACAGGACCTTCCCCAGGCTGAGCTACCTCAAGAAACACGAACAGGTCGGTTTGACGGAAAAAAGAAAATGTCTTCCTACCCCAGACGCGACGCCGTTAACCAATCACGGAAAAAATCCGCTGAAATTCAGGGGAAATTAATAATCGAGTAAACCCATTGCTCCATTTCTCCAGAATAATTCCTTCCTCCGAGTCTTATCAATTTCCTCCGCTCCTACTGGAAGCATCTCCAAGATGGCGGCGCGAGTCGTCGATTTTTCTGCTTTCCAGTTCGCACCTCGCTTCCGCAACCATTCCTCGGCGTCGTGGAGGTCATATCTCGGGGTCATCTAAGGGTCATCTCGAGGTTGAAATCTGTAGCACCGTGTGACAAGTCGCTACCGGGTCCATCGAAACGGTTACCTCCGGGTGCCATTGGCTCTTGGCCGCTGTCGGCCGCCATCTTGAATTTCAGAGGAACCGTCTTTTCCACGATGTCACCACATTTTAATTATTTTAATACCTCCGTAGTTCTTTTTATGCACGGTTTAAGCTCGTAAATAGCGCTGGGAGTATTGGGAAAAAGGGAAATTCAGTAAATCGGGTAAAAGAAAGGGTCGAATCTCGGCGTCCCTTGAAAGGACCCAACGTCGCTCCTTCGGGAACCCAAGGGACGCTACGTGCCGGTTACACCGTGTCTCCGTAGTTGGTACGTGGGTCGTACGTGGTGGGGCCTGGTTTTTGAACCGTTGTTTTATGCTCGTCGACGACAAAGGGCCCGAGTGTGCGGGACCGTATCGGTAACGGCCATCTCGATGGGTGACGCTTTAAAATCTTCTCGGACTTCTTCTTCACGAGGCGAGATCGCCGCTTCGTCGGCCCACCTGGGTCTTCCGTGTTCCTGCCGATGTCGTACTATTCCTTATCCCCTTCTTTCTATTTTTTTTTCCCCCATTTAATGAAACCGTCCACCGCCTTGAGATCCTCCCATTCCTGAAACACACGTAACGACAAATAATAGCGATTTGTAACTTCTGCAATTAAATCAAACGAAATCCTTCTACATCGTTCACGCGTCATCCGCAGATCAGATAAATCTGTAGAGATAGGTTTCCAATGATTTATCGTCACGTGTGTAACTATCTTTAAGGTGGTATCTGAAGTGACAATCTTTTAATATACTTTTCGAAAAACCTGGCTCGTCGAAACGCTTGGAAATTCAACATGTGAGCGTAAAGGCCCCGAGGAAAATCCTCATGCGCTTGAAATTTCATTTTTTTTTTACAAGGAATAATGATCGCGTCAATTTTTCGATTTTTCAGAGCCATGGCGATCAGATGCCGTACAGATGTAGTTGGTGTGCCAGGCTGTTCAAACACAAACGGAGCAGAGATCGCCACGTGAAGCTGCACACCGGGGACCGGAGATATCGATGCCCGCACTGCGAAGCTGCGTTCTCCAGGAGGTAGGTCCTTGGAAAGTATCCAAACCCGAAATGACTAGGGTACTTCAATTTGATTTCCCCCAGACCTATCGACAATTACCCCAACACATTAAATTACCTCATACGCGGAAACATATCTCATAAATATCACATAAATTTATAAAATTCATTACGTGTATAATGGAGGAAAAAAAAACATGGAGTGCAATTTATAGCTGAAATTTGTAGGGAAATAGGTAAAATGGGCCATTGAACCGTTTTTAATCAAGTAAGTGATACTGTGCCGATGCAGGAATCTGGCTTAAATCTGACTTCTTAGAGTTTTCCTGTTATTTTCTATACCAAGGACCTAGAATTCCCAAGGTAAAAAACGTGAAGGGGACGCCGAAGAGGGCCAGGGTGACCGAAGTGAGTAATGGTCCCGCTCGGGTGCAGGGTCAAGGGACATTTGTCAAGCTTTGCTCCTCGCGAGTAGGAGTACTCCCGCGTTATCCTATTGAAACGTCCTCGTGTATATTGAAACGCTTAAGCCGCGGCTCACCGAAGTCGTCTTCGGGAACAAGGATGTTCCCCGAGGCGAGAGGACCTCGGGAGAACGTAGACGTCGACTCACAAGGGGCCCGGCATCGGTCAAGGGGTCCGGAATCTACGCCGAGGTCTTAGGCCCACCGCGAATGGGCCTTAGGCCCTTGTCGTGACCCTCTCCGAGTGTCACTTTGTAACGTGAGAAATGTTCATATTTCGAAATTTTTAATTTTCACTAAAAAAAAAAAAAATAACTCCTTCGTCCGGTTATCATGTCAGGAATTCGATGAATCATTTTACTGCAGCGGTTGTATCGTGACGAGGAAAAAAATCAACGCAAAGCCTAAGGATATAAAAAAGTACCAAAAATGAAAATAGAAGAGTTAGGTTACGATGAGTTTTTCTGGTTTTCACTATTTCCCAGATATTAAAAGAAAAATCTGTTCCCTCGGGGATTTCACCCTCGCATTTTACTTCGTGACGATAAAATGCGCAAAATGTGGGGAAAGGACAAGTACACAGAAATGAGGAATAGAAGGATTAGGGTGTGTGTGCCCGAGGAAAGGGATCCGTTCCATGAGAGGGTCGCGATGAGAACCGCCGAGGAACAGAGATCTCTTTTGTCGGGCAGCTCGAACAGGCCGAGGCGAGGTGGCAGGACAAATAGAGACGTGGCTTAAAGATCCAGAGACGCGATTGTAATAGCGACTAACAGGTAGATTAAGCGGCGGTCGAGACCCGGCGAGCCTGACAGGACTCACCCTCGGAATGATCTTTTTCGATCCTTGCTGGATATCGGTTCGGCATCGTCCGCTGTCGTTTATGTGGAACCTGCAATCCGCGACACGAAGTAAGGATAATGGATCGCCCCGTGGGGGGAATCGATACAAAGAGTGGAGCCGAAGAACTGTTAAGGGTGGAGCCTGCGTTTCCGATCCGTTTAATGCAACCCTCCTTTAGTCACGGCTTGTGGACCCGGAAAGGGCGGTTCGCCATTACGGAAGCCATCTTCGACGAGACCCATCTTGTCTATCCATTTGTCCTAATAATCGCCAGGCCAGGGCCAGACAAAAGTCCAAAACGTGGAATTATAAATGAGAACACACAGCGTTATCCAGGACTAACCGCACCCTGGACTTTATCCTTGCAGCGACCACCTGAAGATCCACATGAAGACGCACGACACCCAGAAACCGTACCAGTGTACAGCCTGCTCCAGGGGGTACAACACAGCAGCCGCCCTGACATCCCACATGCAGTCGCACAAAAAGCACCCCACTTCTGGTGGAGGTTCGCTATCCGGTTCGAAGGACCTGGGGGATCCATCCGACCCAGGTCGTCGCAGCGTGTCCTCGCACAGTGCCTCATCCCCGCCGATGGCGAGTTCGCCATCCCCCAGCTCGGCTTCAAGGAACCATTGCCCAACGAAGAATCCCCAGCTGGCCATCAGCACCTCGACGACGCCCATCCTGAGCAGCCCCTTGAAGCTAGCCTGCATGTACTGCACCAGAGACAGCTTCACCAGCATGCAGCAGCTGCAGATGCACGTGCACACGATGCACAGGGCGATCCTGAGTGGGGAGAGTCTGACGGTGCCATCGCCGTCGCCAGGAAGGACGTCGGAGGCGTCTAACGCATCCAGGGTCCTGGAGAGGCAGGACAAAATCGAGGGCCAGGAGAAGTCGTCGAGGGATCAAGAAAGGAGGATCCTAGAGGACCGCGAGAGAAAGAGGGCCAGGGATGGGGGGTTCTCCTGTGGACAATGCACCATGAGGTTCTCCGGACTGAATTCCTTGAGGGACCACCTGGTGACCATCCACAGAATGGACGGCTTCGGCTCGGCGCTGATGATGTGTCCCTTGTGTGGGATTCCCTGCTCCTCAGCCGCGAGCTACGCGGAGCACTATGTCCTGAGGCACTGCGAGAACCAGCGGATGGGGTCGGCAGAGTCGTCCTCGGATTTTGAGACCGGGAACGGAGCCTTCCCCAGATCCAGGGAGACGAAGGGTGCCGACATGGAACCTGCCGACTTGACCAGCAGACACCTGGGGGGATCTTCCGATGGTTACTCTGCAGGCACCCTGTTGTGTGGTCAGTGTGGGGCCGCGCTGAAGGACTTCGAGTCCTTCAGGGAACACCTGGCTGGACACCTCCAGGCAGACCACAGGACCCAGGAAACCCCAGGGACCCCCTGCCCTAAGTGCGAGGTCACCTTCCACGACCGGGAGGAGATGCTCGCTCACCTGACGAAGCATTACTTGGGACCCACCACCAAGGAGTACGCCTGTGGAGCCTGCAATAAGTTCTACCCTCATCCTGACCTTCTTCAGAGGCATCTGCTGGACTCTCATGCCCACCACCTGTACAGGTGCGCCCTTTGCAGGGACACCTTCGACTCTAGGGTCGCCATCCAGGTGCACTTCGCCGTGAAGCACAGCCAGGAGTGCAGGGTCTACAGGTGCAACACTTGTTCCGGATCCAAGGGAGAGGTTTCGCCAAGTGCCCCGCCGACTTCTACATCTGACAGGAATGGATGCTTTGCCAGTGAGGCTGAAATGGCGAACCACGTTAGGACCGTCCATGCTCCCCCTAAGGTGGTCAACGAGAGTCCTGGCCCTGTTCCTGGACGAGGGCGGGACCGGGGAAGTCCTATTTCTGTCTCTAACCCTGCGATCCCGGTGCACGGGTCCAACCCTAGATGCGTTTTCTGTGGACTTTGCTGCTCGTCGGACTTAGAACTGCAGCTGCACCTCGCCAGTCATTCCAGCGCATTGTTCCGGTGTCCTGTTTGTCGCGAAGGGTTCGCCGTCGAGTTCCTGCTGGATAGACACATCGCCCAGGTGCATCATCAACCTGGAGAACGGCAGGCCAACGCGAGACACGTTCCCAGGGAAAATGGCAGGATCCATCATCGTCCTCCCAGGATACAGGAAGACTCGGTAAGTGTTCTGCCTCGGGTAGATCAACGACATCTCCATTCTTTTATTTTATTCGACTTGTTCATTTGATTTCCATATTTCAATATTTATCTGGAGGTAAAAGTCCCTTCTTTTTGATCCCTCCTTCATCTACCATAGACCATGATTTTTTTTCTGAACGTTCCAGAAATCCCAGAAACGCGGACGTTCCCCGGCGTCCAGCAATAACAACTCCTTGAACCAAAGGGACAACAACAACAAGCGTGCCAACCTCAGCCTGGGTGTGCAACAGTGCGAGTTGTGTGAACGAGGGGAGTTTGCGAACGAAGCCGAACTCCAGGCCCACAAGAAGCTAGCTCATGCCCCAGTGAAACTACCAACCAAGTCCCTGCCATCTTTGAGCCTGACTTGCGCCTACTGCGGCGAAGTCTGCAGGTCGAGAAGCGAGCTGGAGTCGCACACCCGAATCCAACACGCCTCTAACGAGCCAGGAGGTCGACACAAGTGCAACATCTGCGACGAGGTGTGTCCCTCCGGTGCCAGCTTGGCGGAGCATAAGCTGAGGAAGCACTGCAAGATCCAGCTGAGCGACACCTGCGTCGTCTGCAGGGGCCTCCTGGGTTCAGAAGGCCAGTTCCTCGAGCACATGCAAAGGCACAGCCTGGAGAACGTGGACCCCCAGCAGAGGCTGGACGGGGCCCTTCCACACCTCCCAGCACCCTGTGTCGTGTGCAGACAGACCCTGGTCAGCGACCTGGAGTGCCGGCTGCACGCCAGACATCATCTGGGACCTGGAATGGGGTCCAGGAGCTCAGGGTCCAGCCCCAGTCCCGGCAGGAAACCTCAGAACCCGGCTTGTTGCCTTTGCCTCCGGGAGTTCCCGCCTGATGACTTCGTCGGGCTGACTTCCAGCCACTCGGGAACTGGGGGACAACCCCTAAGGGTTTGCAAGCCCTGTTATGTCAGGCACTCCCAGGGATTGCCCATCTTGCACTCTCCGTATGAACATGTTGGAAGCTCCAAGGGGGACAAGACCTGGGATGGCGTCAGGGATCAACGGGATGGCGATGGCTCCTCTAGGAGCGACGACAACAAGCCTGCTGATAACGCTTTGCCTGCTACTGCTGATAACAAGAGGTGTGGGGATTGTGGCGTCAAGTTTGAGGCACCTGAGGATGCCGAGAAGCACAAAGCAGCGGAACACTACAAGACGACTGAGCTCGACAAGGTCTCGGAGAACGGTCCCAACACCTACACGTGCATTCAGTGCCAGGTCTGTTCTGGTACCTGGATTTATACTTGAGATTTTCAACTGGTAGCAGCACTAAAATCGCTAATCGTGATGGACTTTTTTTTTTTCACGGGCATTCCACCGATCTGCCTGAAATTTTAGCACATAACTTATGAGCGCCTAAGAAATCTGATAATGGAATGGAATCACAGAAATTAAGAGCATGGTTCTTTTCGTCGCTTCCAGGTCTCCTACCCTACGGAAGCTGGCATCAGGCAACACGTGAGAAAGGAACACCTCGAGTCTTCCGATAAAGGATCATTGGATGCTCTCAGATGCCACCTTTGCCTCTTCGAAGCCAACAGTCCCCTGCAGTTGCAGGGTCACCTCATAGAGCACACTTTTGCCGGCTGTGCCGCCCTTAGCTGCTACATCTGCCAGGCTCTCTTCACAGCACCTATCGGGCTGCAGGTAATTCTGAAAATCCCATCAGCACGTAATTCAACACCTGTTGTCATATTTCATCATAACATAATGTTTAACATTCAGAACCACATGCTCCAACAACACGGCCTAGGTGCTCGTCCCTACGACTGCTCGCACTGCGGCTTGAAGTTCTTCTTCAGGGCCGAGCTGGATCACCATGCAGTCACTTTTCATCGCCGGAATGATCCCTCGTCTCCTGAAAAAGGATCCAAAGGACCTGAAGAACAGCCAAAAAAGGCGGAGAACCAGGATATCGGCACCCATGATAGTGGTGTTACCGTCAAGGAGGAACTTACCAACGCTGAAGAGGAGGAGGTCAACGTAGACGGACACGCGGAACAGGAACGGCTCGAGGACTCTCTGGAGAACCAGGATCCTCCGGAAGAGAAGCCCCTGGAGAACCAAAAAATCACAAAAGAGAACCAGCGTGAAATTACCGAGTCGTGATTCATCCTGAAGAGAGCCATCTGTGTTCCCTCCAGGTCCGGGGCCAGGGATTTCCTCTGCGAAGTCCTTGGAGAACAAATGGCTCCTCTTTCGTCCTGACAGAAGAGGATGTGAACTCTGTCGCAGCAATTTGACGTTCTTGACGATCGGTTATTTTGGAACCAACCGTACTATGGTTCTCATTGTCGAGTCCACAGATTTTTTAACTGTACGTCTAGATCGCTAATAGGGTTTTTTAGCGATCTAGGTGTACAGGACAGACGCGAAACATTGTTGGTATTGTTTTGGAGAGACAGGTCGTTTCTCGATGTTGATCGACATGCTTTTTATTTCCGTGCTGTTAAGTTTATTTAGACGTAAGTTTAGCCGAGGCCAACTCTTCGTTTTCTCCACGTTTATTCGTTTCTAACCGAGGGTGAGATTTTCTTATACTGTTGCACCCGATCCAATTGTACATAATTGTTTCCCATTATGTTCTCGAGGGTTTACCGTAAAGAGTAATTTATCGGCGTATAAATGTATTTGGCGTCGAAACTCTAAAAACATTCCAAGGAAGAAATTGCGGGTAATGAGGAAAACTCACTTCTTGCCGGCTCGTTAGTTTGTAACTTTTAACCGAAGTCGGTCAAGAGGTACGTTTTAGTATTATTCTCCTAGCGTCCTAATCCTTTCAGTGCTTCGTCCTCGATTCTCCGAAATAACTCGTCGATTATTCCCCGACCGGGATTACGTTTATCCACAATTTGGACGCGTCCCTCACCCTTGTTACGTTTAACTTAATTCTATGTACTCGAAGGTAACATTTATTTCGGCACGTTACGTTTATTTATTTAGAGGTCTCCGAGTGGAGTGGCTGCTTGCGAGGATAACTTTGGGTTTAGCGCTAAGCCTTTCGGCTTAAGGTGCATACAATGTACGGCGTTATCGTATAAGATTATTCCTATCAGATACGAGGGGACCCTCGGTCGCGTAGGATCATTAATCGCGATAAACATTAATCGACGCGAGTTTATCCTGTAAATAGCTCGTACGACAATTAAACTTTTTTAAACCAGCTCAAGGTTTCCTTCGCCCGTCCACGTTCATCGAAGGTCATACAAACCTCATTTAAAGATCTGTAAATTAGGACGTTCAATTGTAATACTTAGCGTGAGTTAGTATTTAAGAAAGAAAGTTAGAAAAAAAATCGTTCAAATCTCCCACGAGGGAGAAAAAAAAATGGAATACTTCCACGACTTTTTTAGTCGGTTTTCAAGCTGAAAAAGTAGTTCGACGGGGAAGGTTGTTCTCTTCAAATTGAGCTCTCGAGCTAGTGGCTGCGCTTTTATTTATTTTTTTTTTTTTTTCAGAGGAGATACAGGGTTGAAAGCTTTAGTTCGCTTGGCAAGTGCGTTAACCGTCATCCTCCACCGGGAGTCGCACACGACGAGATCGCGCGATCCTGCCCGTCAGTATTCTCCCAACTCATATCTGCAATTATTTTTTTCATTTTGTTTAATATCAGGAACGTGGTTCGTAGTGCCGCTCAGAGATGGCGCCGCATCCGCGTCGCGTTTCTAAGGCAAAGTCCCATTGAGCACGTCGAGTGTCATACAAAGCGCGGTTTCTATTCGGCTTTGCATCCTCAATGTGTTAACGCGTCGCATTCGGTGTGACATTGAACGCGCTTCTAGAACTCTCGCCTAAAATGGCGAATCGAATTCCATACATATCCACAGCTGAAGGGGCGCTCACGTCCAGAGATGAGTTGGGAGATTGCTGACGACAGAGATGAGCAGGGTGAAAGCTAACGTACGAAACCAGAGGGCAGCACAGGATGCGATCGCACGATCCTGCCCGTGAGCAATCTCCCGACTCATCTCTGCTCACGTCGCATTAGAATCTCTAGTTACGCTTATAGTCTATGACTATTCAGATTTCTCTAAAATTATCTTGAATTATCTGAAATTTTCTGAAATGGGCCGACGCGCTCGTCGCGGCAGGTCGTTCCGATCTCCATAGTCCACTGCGAAAGTTGAGGTAATTATTACTAATTAAGTAATTAGTAGCCGCCATTGGCAGGTATTAACGATCAGTGAAAAAGGTGCCAGCAGGTGTGATAAATACGTGGAGAATGGCAGGAGTAGCAGAAAAATCGGTGGACTGGGCCGAGGGTGGAATATCGAGGATCGCGAACATCGTCAACGCTCCAGAAGCGGCTGTACGGTTGCTCTGCTCAATTATACTTGGTAACGAAACTGTCACCAATCATCAATGATCCTATAGCCCTCCGATCAGGGCACGGAGAGTTTTTCTTGATTTAATCGGACCAACTACGTGCTTTCAGGTTTTCCTTTTGCACTGATCCACAGGTATGCTCTCTACGGAAAGAATCCAAACTTGCAGCACATCTACTTCATTGTGTGTGGCTTTACGATAGGATATTGGAACTATGGTAACGTATCATTTGCTCGGAAGGTTTAAAGTGTAATAGACGGTTCACTGAACACCCTGGGTCTATTAATAGCTTTTGATCATTCATAGAATGGAATGTGTTACATTCTGCGTCGGCAGTATGTGTCACGTACTTGACGCTGAAGGCACTCGGGGGAACGATTCAAGCTGTGGTGATAACATTTGTTTATAACATGATCCATCTCATGATCGGTGAGCATCTGATATATAGAAAGTACCAACACGTGCATGAAATTTGTAGCAACAAGAATGTTCTATATTTTCTGTCGGAAATGACATTGTTTTAGGTTATTATACCACAAGTACGCTCGATTATGACATAAAATGGACGATGCCACAATGCGTACTAACTCTGAGGCTTATAGGGCTAGCATTAGATATTTACGATGGCCAGAAACCAAAGGTGAGAAAGTTTACTTTTAATCCGTCAAATGTAACATGATCTGCAAAGCCTACGAAAGCCTGAAGCTTTCTTTATTTTCTGCAGGACAAGTTATCATCTACTCAACAAAAGACTGCCCTTAATAGACCTCCAACATTCCTCGAGACCGCAGCGTTTGTGTATTTCCCGGGATCTTTTCTGGTTGGACCTCAATTCAGCATGAAGCGATACTTGGACTTTGTAAACTGTGAATTCATGAAAGAAGTACGTGTCTTCATCTAAAACAGGGAAGATAGGAAAAGGCAGTGACGGAGGGTTTGGTTTCAGGACCAGAAAGGAGAATCGACACAGCCTCTGCCCCCGAATTCTTTGAATGCAGGATTCCGAAGAGCATTCCTTGGTGTTGTTTACATCGGACTGTACCAAATAGGAACTCTCTACATCTCCAATGACTACGTAGTGAGTGCTGAATTTCTACAGCAGGGCTTCCTTCAACGATGCTTCCTCCTCGGTCTGTGGGGTCGAATTAACCTCTACAAATACATCAGCTGTTGGTTGCTGACGGAAGGGGTAAGGAAAACTAATAAACGCTTTCCCAAAGATTAATAATCGACTTATGTATCGCTTTTAACTCTGGTTCTTCCCTCCTCAGGTGTGCATAGTCTTTGGAATCACGTACAACGGCAAGGACGATCAAGGACACCCTCGATGGGACGGATGTTCAAACGTGCACCTGTTAACCTTCGAGAACGCCACCAAGTTCAACCATTACATCGAGTCGTTCAACACGAACACGAACCACTGGTGTGCCGAGTACATTTACAAGAGAGTGAAATTCCTAGGCTCAAAGTTATACAGTCAGATCGTGACACTAAGTTTCCTAGCGATATGGCACGGCTTCCATTCGGGCTATTATCTCTGCTTCCTGATGGAGTTCATCGTAATCTACTCTGAAAAGGGCGTAAGTACTTCAGGGTCGAAAAGATCTTCATTTCCGCCTAGAAGACTTCCTCATTTCGATTTCCAGGTGGAGACTCAGCTGGCAAAGAACGAAGCCTTGCAGGCGGCCCTGGAGAACCCAATCTTCCGACTAGCCACCTGGGTACTCCTGAAGATCTACACCCTCGTCTTCATGGGCTACTCTCTGATTCCATTCGTCCTGCTGTCCTACGATAGATACCTTCCAGTCTACGCCAGTGTCTACTATTGTGGACATATCTTCTTCCTCTCTTATCCAGTCCTGGCGCCTCTCATCAATCCGCTGCTTCGAGGCAAACCATCCAAGCCGCACCAGCAATAACCCATTTCTCGCACCTGGAAGGCCAAAACCCCGGTCGGTCGCTTCGGAGACACGACTCGATCCTTCCGAGCATTCCCTCCTTCTCTATTGGTCCGATCGCACAAGTTATCCCGCAAGTGGGACGAAACCAACTCGTACAAGCCTTCGCGAAATCGGCAACCAACTAGCGCGACACGCAAAGACACGTTCTTCCGAAGAGGAACACACTCCTCCGAGGTCGTCGGTATATTAAATAAAAAATCTGTGTATTTTTGCGTAAGAAAGTATGAGCATGGGAGGGATGATCTCATGGAGTGGTCGGCTAGTACGGTCCGAAGGAACCTCCCCCAGGGTGCGACGGGGGTGCGCCATAACTGTCCGGGGGTGGCGACTGTGGCGCTGACGGCGGCGGCGGCCCGTACTCCGCATTCTGCTGCTGCTCCTTCTGAAAGAATCGCGAACCGTCCCCGTTACTAACACCGCGGATACTTTCTGCACATTTGACATGAAAGGAAAAAACCCCATTATAAAAGGTACCCACTTGCGGTACCTTTTAGATAGCGTGAAACCGACGCTGAAAATCGAGTGTTACGTAGTTATGTGATTAGTCTTTATCTTGCCGAAAGAGGCTATTTTTTTTTGTTCCTCACTTTTCATGGGATTGCAGCGTCGGTAATGGTAGAAAGTACTACTAGAGGTTACTATTACCCAACGCCGATGGGTTGGTACCTTTACATTGCGCGAGATACGTGAAACTTCAAGTACCTAAAATCGCGATCGCTCTTTGTAGACCTACAACGCGTATACGTAGTACTATTTTTACGCGCTTCACTCTCAACTTCGCCGAGGAGGTTTCGTGACCGAGATTGAACGGAAGTGATCGTCTTAGAGTGAAATAACACGAAGCAAGAAGATAGAAAATAAGAAGCATGAAGATGAAAAAAAAAAATAAGAAGCATGAAGATAAAAAGAAATATGAAGCACGAAGATATCGCACAACACGAGACCTGAAGACGTCTCGACCCATGGAGCACAACGAAAAGGCCATAAAACTTCCATTACACGAGAACTCAAAAACCAGCTTTGAAGAAGAAGTCACCTGACACGTACCTGCGTCTTGTACCTGATGAAGTAGACCTCGGGTTTGCTGGGCTGCGTCGGCGGCTGCGTGGGAAGGACGACCTCGGGGGCCTCCTCGGGTTTCTTCACCAGGACGTAGATGAGCGTCTTCTCCTCGTCAGGAAGTGGAAGAGCAGGCAAAGCAGGAGCCGTCGGGGTGGGTGGCGTCGGGGCCTTTATGAAGACGATCTTGTAATGCTTCTGCGGTGGCTGCGGAGGTGCGGTGTACTTTGGAGGTTTATATTCAGGAGCCTCGGGTGGCGGCACGTGAACGTAGACATGTTTGTGGACGACGGGCTGCTGTTGCCGAATCGGTGGACCGTAACTGCTCTGAGGATATGGACCCAACGAGGAGGGTCCTGACGGTGGTAGATAAGAGGACGGTGGTTCGGGTCGAGCAAGGGCGCACCCTGCGACCGCCACCACCAAGATCAGCGGGGACAGCATCCCCGTGGCTCTTTCTCCTGTGTCCTGACGACGCACGCTGCGAGTCCGGGACTCTTTACGCACCTCGACTACTTTACCCCAAGCCAAGCCGACGAATCTCTGGAAACGTGACAACACCTCGACCTGATAAAAGAACACGTAATCAGCACCTCGCCTTTATTGGACCGTTCCATAAGTTCGAGGGCGAAGTAAAAATTCAATGGTTCCTTTTTTCCGCAACGGAACGAGCCATTGATGTGTTTGGCGCGAAACTCCACCGAGGTATCCGATGTCCTGCGTTTCTTGCAGTTTAGGTGTGAGTGTACAATGGCGGACATGAATGCCTCCCCTGTAGATACGGCATCGCCTGTGCAGGATGGGAGGGCATTGATGTCTCCCAGTGTACGTTATAAAGAAGCTGCGAACTTATGGAACGACTTGGTCATTTTGCGGTACGATAGGGTGTGAACATTATGGGGATGCTCTACTGGGTGTTTAATTACCGTTTGTAAATCTGGGCACCGTGTGGCAATGGATTGGTGTGCGATTCCGGGGTAACCCACGTTTACGTGTACATACTGCGTTAATATACGGTTCGCACGCGATGGCTACTTTCAACGCGTTACGTCAAATTGGACGCGGTTATTTCGAACTACGCGGGGAGAGTGCGGCGGCGCTTTCCTAATTTTATTCCGCTTTGTTATCGCGACTTAACGCTTTCGCGATTCCCTTTCGCGCCCGCCCCCTCTAAGTGGGACCATAGGCCCCATAGACCTGGGGTCTAATTATTATGGTTCACAGAGCGGTGCAAGTTCCGGGCAATAACAAACATCTAGATAACCAGGGTTCGAGATACTCCACCCCTTTAACCCTTTCTCAGCCATAACCAAATAACCGTTTACTTATATCATACCTATGGTTCGCTATAAATACTGACGTTAACCCTAGAATTACCGAGCTCAATAAAAATGACTGGTTTTAAATGACCCACCGTAGCCAAGAAAAATCCGCTGGCAGTTCTAGTGTTAACCCTTTGACGACTAAAAGCGTCCAAAGCTTAGTCTAATATTGCCAGCACGCATTGATGAATCTTTCCCATGTCGAAAGAGTTTCGTACTCAAAGGGTTAATAGCGATAGGGTTAACGCAATCAACACCAAAACGAGTGTCTTGGCCCTGAATGCGTTACCTAAAATCTTCCAACATACTCACACTGAGTCTCACGTCTCGTTCGTATCCTGGCCCGCGAACAGGTTCAGGACGTCTGCTCCAATTTCGGATATCTCTGCGACCGGTCCTTGATCGGCTCAAAAAAAAAAAAAAAGAACCGGCGACCGACTTTACGCGCCGCTAAAGGAGAAAGAAATAATTTACCGCGGGCGAATGGTCGAGAAAATGAAGTTTATATGTACCGATATCTACCGTGAAACGCACATACCGTAGGGTAGGTCCACCGCGCTCGCGAGCTCCCCTACGAGTGGCGGGTGGCGGCCCCGGCGCGGCGCTTATATACCCCTAGCGGCGCTCGGAAATGGCAGGTGGCGCCACTTTGGGCGGCGGCGGGATTTCGCGGTTCGCGCTTTTCCCTGATCCACGGGGAACCGGCCCCGTCGAAGGGGGGCCCATGGCGCCAACCTCGCGGGGCCCGAATCGGAGCGATCTCCTTCGCTAAGGATTCGGTGTGTGTGAATTCGGTCGGCGTGGAAAGTGCCACCGGCCCAGAAGTGAAACCGAATGCGCGCGCGTCCTCGGGACGGCGCTCGAATGCTTAAGAGGCCACCTTGCGACAGCGGCACCGGCTTCCGCGTTACGAGGACGATTTGCGATCACCGGTACCCCCCTGCGCCCCCTGCGATCGAAAATCGAGCGTGCGTGCGCGGGGCCCGGTCCGGTCGCTCTGGCGAAACGGACGCTCTCTCACCCCGGTATTTCATGCGGCCATTCGAGAAGGAATTATGTATTAGGCTTGGCGTGCGGTGCCACCGGTTTGACGAAACTATCCCATCGCGTATTCAGCACCCCTGCTCTCCGAATCCGATTTTTCGGAAATTTAAAATGTATGTATAAGCACGAAGCGCTCACCTAGTCGTTATCTGCGAAGCCTATCCTAGCGCGTCAGATTGAATATGAATTATTTTTTTCTAGAATAGATATGTTACACACATGCACACCTTTCATCAGTGCCTACCCCGAGGAAGCGTTTGCAAAACGTCGATCCCCCTGGCGACGATGGGCGCGGGTCATTCCAAGCCACAACAAATTTAAGGAACAAATCGGAGCGCAAAAGCGTAATGTCTTTCGATATATCACACTTGGCCTGCCGTTTGGTCCTACAGGTTTGACGAAACACTATCATCACGTATTCGGTGCCCCTGCTCTCTCGATCTCTTTCTCCCCTCTTTCCGAGGTACAGGTCCAGGTACGAAATCGAAAGCAGCTTTCGGATAATGGAGGCCTGGAGGCCAAAGAGGAGGGAAAATGATCTGAAAGAAACGTCTTTGGGGTAAAAAACCTTAATGGAGAGTGAACTTGTCTTAGACGCAGCTCTTGGACACTCGGCGAAGACGCGCTCCAGGAACGGATACGGTACAGCTTAGGTGTAATTAACTCGACTTTCACCTGCGGCGGTACGCCGTATACCTACAATGGACGGACGAACTTACTCGGCGCTCTTAAATGGGATGTTTTATTAATCTTCGCACCCGACGTCACGCCGAAAGCGCGAGGTAAATACAGGGGTTAGACGCCATGGCGGTCGCCTCGCGGTTAGCGCGGCGAAACGTGAATCCCACTCCCTGGATTAATCCAGAAGGAAAATAGATCTCCCAAAGATTAATCCACCTCTAATTAGAGTGCTCGGTACTCAATTAGCATCCTCCACCTGCGTAGATGTGCCTTCGACGTCCCCGATTCTTGCGATTTATTACCCTCCTATTAAGGCGATATGAAAGTGCCATCGGAAGAGGCAATTGTTCGCGAAACTTCAAAAGAAACCGTCGAATTGTTTGAAACTTCACCTTCAATATGCAGACCCTACGAAGAAGGTACCGACACCTATGAAATTTAATTTACTAGCAGAAAAGTGTTAAATGTCTATATGAAAGTTTTTTAAAAATTGTAATTTCATGGGTGGAAGGGCATTCCTTATAGCTTCGGGGTTCACGTTGTAGAGTTTGAAACAGTCGGAGAAAAGTCACCAACGAAACCTCTTTGACACCACGTTCATATCACCTTAACGTGTCCGTGGGTTAAGGACGGAACTGAGCACTCTCGTCAACCTCTTCTTCGGGGAAGAGTGGACTTTGAAAATCTACAGCCTCGCGGATGGGAAGGGCACCAAGAGTTCGTTGCTGGTTGTAGGTAGGCTCTTCGGGAACCTTATAAATCGGCGACAAGGTTGACTTGGGCAGCTGGTACTCCGCAAGGTATTCATCGGCAACCGCATCGGAGGTCGGCTGCGACAACCGAGAGTGCCCGGTTACTCCGGTTTCTCCTCCATTCGGCAAACCCGCCCACCTGGGATCAATTATCGGCCTGAATCCAGAATTATCAGCTGGTGGCACCCTAACTCTAACGTAGGACCCCCGGGTCTCTGGGAGATAATAAGTAACCGACGCAGGACCTGGTGGGTACCTTCCCGGAGCTGATGGAACCTTTGGGTACGTCTCTTGCCCGAGGAACCCTGAAAAGAAACCACCACTAGGTGCACTAGGTTCCTCATAAGCCACGTTAGATGTCTGTTCCTTGCGGAATCCTGGGAACTTGGAGAACAGCTTTGAAAGGAACCCTGGGGATGACTGAACAGGAGTTGTGTCGATTTCTTCCGGGCCCCCATCTTCTTCAGGGTCTGGCAAGAAATCCGCTACTCCACCCAGGTCGTCCAGGAAACTCAGGTCGACTGGCTCTTCGGGGTTCCTGGTAACCGATGGAACCTGCGGAATAGGCGCAGCCGATCCTGGCTGGACCTTGATCGGTCGAAGATCGATTCCCTGGTATTTGTGCACTTTCCAGACCGGATAACCGGTAAGGTTCAGACGTTGCGGCAAAGGTGTGTCGCCTTTGATGAAAAAGTTATCCCGAGTGTCTGCTTCGTCGTCGCTGACGAACGGCCAGATACTCCTTATGGGTCGGGTTATTCTGGTTGCTTGGGTCTCGAATGCCGTTGCCAGCAACGCAATCGCCAGCAACATCGACGGGACCCTGATGACCACCTGCGCAAAAAAGAGAGCAAGTTACAAACACGCCAAAAAACTGAAAGTCCCACGGACCGATCTTACCAACCTTGAGGAACATTTCTCCTGAAGCGGCGAGTCGACGGTATAAATTAGGAAATAAATTACCGGTTAAATAAATAAATAAATAAAGGACTCTCTGGACGCACCGAGACAAAGTGATGGCCACCGTGGCTCTTCCGGACTTAAATAGTCCCCTGAGTGAAACCTTACCCTGGTGATCCGTTAACTTTTGGAAATCCGTTAACGCCTTCGGCTTTGGTTAGGCGTTTGATAAGCCCTCAAAATTCCTGGCACTTTCTCGGCCGGGGAAAACGCAGATTCGATCTCCCAACGGGTGCTTCGAATCGATTCCTGGAATGATTCTGGGTTTCTTCGACGCCGATTTCCCCCGGACGCACATCCTGTCGATGGGAATGCGTAATTACTTTTCCTTTTAGATTTCTGGGCTTACGGGCTTTGCAATTTCGTATTTTAATGCGCCTGCATTAACATCTTAATGGCTCGTCTGTTTCAGCTCTGAGTATTTAGGTCGTGGAGTACGTGTACTGTTGCTGAAGCGATTACGTGGCCGATTTTAATATATTTCATGGACGATGAGTTATCCTCAATATACGCACCTCCAAAGTGAACGTGAGTACATGTATGACGGATGAAATTTCCTAAATGCTGGACAGGTTTCGGGCAAACAAGCGCCATTTTCGCGCGATGGTGACATAACCGTCTATAACGGTTAACGAGGCGATTCTTAATTTCCATAACTAAAGTTCAGGGGGACGAGTAACGTTTCGCTTGTAGGTAATTAACCTGAAACTTATTAAAGCTGTTGCGTGATCGGGAAGTAATATCGTTCCGGTGAGATGCGATTTTATCGACCGAGGATAACGCTTTCATCGAATTGTACGGCTGAAGGCGCGTAGGATAACGAGAGGCGACGAAACGTAAAAGACGCGAATCTTAGAGGGCATAAAGTTTCGCCCTCTCTCCGTCAGATGGCGCCAGGCGGATTCACGAACTTAAAAAAAAAAAGAAGACGCCTTCGCTGACCGCGAATCCGTGGCGCCACCTGACAACGGCGGAAAGAAATAACGCTTCCACTCTTAAATATGAATAGCCGAATGAGTTCTTATATACAGTTATTTATATTGCACAATTATTCGTGATGAATAGATGTTGAGTTTTTAACTAAAAAATTCTAAAAACCATACTAGACTAAATTACCAGTATGTGGGGCGACAACAGTCGGTGGAATATCTTTTCCTGCGAATATCGATCAATGAAGCAATCTGTTTCCAATCATTAGTAATTGATTGGTAATTGAATATGTAACGTAGCGACCGTGAAATACAGTTCGCAAGGAGAGAAGCCAGCGTAAAAAATGAAATATACTTCGATAACTGGTAGTTGCATCCCTAGTATACTTACGAGATCGATTTACGTTCAAGGGTACACATGGAAGGCTTGCGGTCCCTCACCCTGTCCCATTTTAGCCCAACCTATATCTACCCTATCCGTTTGCCTCGCACAGAACATTTTTCGAACAGACCAACCATAAAAGCGAGACGTAACAGCCGTAACACCGCGGCGCCTGCAGCTCATTCCTCCATAACCTCAGTTCCTGTGAAATCACATCCGGGATGTACTTTTTAAAGTTTAATTCGGTCCTTAACCAAGTTTTTTTACAATTTAAAAAAAAAAGGAGGAAGTCGATGGGTCTTCAAATTATACGGTACTTTCCGTTCCAGGGACGGAAGTGTGCCCCGCGGCCTGGACCGAGATATGGAACGATGGACCAGGAACGAATCTGCAAAAGAAGTGAGGATATAACGATCTACAACTTCTTATCCTGCCGAAAATGGTCCAATTTAAATTTTTCGAGCTACTTTGGCACAATTTTAAAGCGTGCGGTGAGAAAAGAAGAGTAAAAGGCATCCCTGCGCAAGAGAAGCTCGAGAGGAACGACTGGCGGCCATCTTTCTTTTCGCCATCCTCGCGTGCCTTAAAGGGATATAAAAAAAAATGAGAAATGCAGTAACTATTGCCGACCTATTCGATTATTATGGTCGTAAAATGAATCCATACCATAATTTCATGATCTTTAGCGGTTTATCGTACTTTAAAATGCATTATAAATATACTTTGACTACCGTTGTGTGTGGATGGCGAGGCAAGATGGCCGCTGTAGTCCTTCCCTTCAGTCCCCAAATGAGGAATTTAGGCTTCATACTCGATCCCTTTCATCCTAGATTCATAGGAAGAGCTGGGATTAGCGCCACGCACCGTTTTACGAGAGTCGGGGAGTAAACGGAGCATTTAATAAAGAGAACCTTTCTCGGGTGGCGCGCGCAACCGGCTGGCGCCGTCTGGGCGCCGACGGCGTCGCGTCCTCGCTTCGATCTCGCCTCTTCCTCGCAATCGAGCCGGAAGCGAGCCAAGGACACCATCCGCCACCCCGCGGAGGAGCCTCCGGTCGACGCCACTCATGGTGCACCACCAAATGGGCTCGGTAATATCGGACTCAATCAAAAGCTCCACCGATCCGTCAACCGACCTCTAGGATCCTGTTTCGGTTTACTTTAGGGACGACCTTACTCCTCCACCCATTGGGGTACAGGATATCCACGTACAACGACCACGTCTCAATCGTACTGGGCACGAGCCAAAAAATTACTGATAGAGGATATAGACGAGATGAAGAGGAATTAACAGACCTCTGCTTTCATGCGAAATTAGCTCTACAGCGAGACCGTGAAAACGACTTCTTCATGGAGTAAGGGGAATCCGCGAATAACGCCATTATCCGAAAAGGGGAAATTAACTCGGAAGGTATTTCCCGATTTTGTCAAAGTATATTCCAAATTAACGCCAGAACTACCGAGCCCAGTGGAAATGAATAGGTTTAAATGGCCCAGCAAAGAAAGAAACATCCATCAGTAGTTCTAGGGTTAATTATTTCTCCCAAGATATGGAGTAGTACGGATTCCTTCGTTTTTTATTCCAGATTTTTTTCAAGGTAGCTAGGACAACCAACGGTCAGCCATTCGTTCCATTCGACTTCCTTTCCGGAAGTCCTTCTTCGAAAGGAAGCTGCCAGGAGACGTCCTCTCCTCGGAGGAAGTTCTCGGACCGGAAACACGCGATGCCATTCGCTCTCGCGTGCGAATCGACCGTGCTCGCGAGATGCGCCCTCTTCCTCCACCTCCGACGGGGTAGCCGCGCATGCGCGCACCGCCACCTCGCCGGCGGCCATCTTGGCCACGCGCCGCGCAAACTCGGCGGAATCAGGCGGATATAACTGGTCTCGGTATCGAACAGAGGTTCAGTGTAACCACACGACAGAGCGGTCGCGCGTCGCGGCGACCCGGCGCCGACTTCCCGGACTTCCGGTTCGCGACACCGCTCCGCAATTCCGCGCGGCGGCCAACCTGTTGCGCGGGGAATTGGCAGGATTTCCGCGGATGCGGACGGAAGACGCCGAAGAACTTTCCGAGGCGAAGATGGCCGCGTGTCGCGTGTCGCCTCGACCTCGTCGCTGGGCCTTGGTCGCCATCTTTTTTCCCCGTTGCGGAATCGTTTGCGGCCTCGCCGCAGCTGTCGCTGCCGGCGCGGCGGAGCTAACGCGCACGAGGTTCGCCTTCTACGTGTCTCTTGCCATCCGCGAATCGATCGGATGCCCGGAGAGCGAGCGGAAACCGGCCGAGTGCCCGAGGATGACCGAGGACGCCCGACCGCGGCCGAGAATGGCCGAAGGCTTCGCCGAACCACGAAGGACCCCGAAGGACGCCACGCGAACCCCCGAACACCTGTTGCACCTTAATTCCACGGGAGAAAAATCACGGACAGGGTTTCGTGCAACATTTAAACGAGTCCCTCGCACGCGTAGGTACCTGTTGCGCGAAAATTTCATGAAAAATTCACGGCGACTCCTTGGTGGCCCTAGATTCGGGAGGGGAGGGAGCGGCTGGCGGGGGTGCGCGCGTTCCGCCCGGAATCGACCGCGTCATCTTGGACGAGGCCACGACGGAGTCTCTACCTCGACAGGTTGCTCGTAATGAGTCGTAACGACGATTTTTCGACGTATTGTAAGTTCTATTCTAATTAACGTTATATGAAAGCGACATTATGAAACGAGGAAATGTTTATAATACTTTTCTCCTGACTGGATGCACCGAATCATTTCGTACTTGAACACCTGATTTTGGAGGACCTAAGGAAGAACCTGGTGCTCGTGAGACTTCATGTTTAATAAAAAAAAATTTTTATTCTTCCCAGAGAAGAACCCCGGATATATAGATTTTTTCAAAAATGAAAGTTCGGGATCCATTATCACGTGTTCAACTGTCAAATGATTCGTTGCACCTCATTTTGGAGGAAAGCTTTATTTATATTTTGAAGGTTTATAGAGGTAGAATGACTCTTTCATATCATGGCCTTTAACGTTTAACGAGTACAGTATGTATAAGGTTATGATAATGGACTTTTCCATGCGTGGCCTAGAGGTGAGGGATATCTGCACCCGATTTTTGCGATATTTTTGGCCGAAAGACCGTCCTCGGAGCCGACATTTCCAATTATTCCCAGTTATCGCGAATCCTGTCTGACTCGACTTTTGTCTCATCCACTTTGCGCTGCACGCCGCGCATGCGGTAGCGCTCGAGATAGGAACGACCCTAGGAAGAATCGATTGTTGTTCCAGAGAGGTATCGATACCCTCCAAGAAATACGCCGATTAAGTGAGGGAATTTCTTTTGGTTCCTTTGAAGAGGTCTTGTACCGACTTAAGGGCCTAGATTTGGGAGTTAACGCATTTCCGGTGATCTCGGATTTATTAATGTACATTCATAGACTTCTATTCTACATTCGATCGGCTATCGGAGGGACGAGTGTCGCAATGCGTGCCTCTTGTCTTTTTGGTACCCCTGGTCATGTCGTTTTTGCATCCAGGTTGGCATCCCCGATTTCGCCGAGAGTCCGAGTCAGTTCCTTTGAGGCTTGATCACCCGACTGGCTGGTGGCGGAAATTTGTCGAAAGCCGCGTTGTCGAATACCGGCAACAGATCCCTAACCCTTTGACCCGTGCCAATGGCGGCCAGCTCGAACCACCTGTCGTCAAAGGATAGCGACCTGTCGTTAGACTCGTCGAACTCTCGTTAGCTAGAAGAGATGCTAGCTTATCAAACACCCACACCTCGGTGCACCTTTAAGCCCGGAACTTTGGTTCTCATCGGAAAGTCCAATTCCACTTTCCTTTAGAAGGGGTCTTGCCTTTCCAAGATGGACTCGACCGAGAATCCGCAACTTATTAGGTCGAGGAATAATTTCCCGCCATTCTTAACGTAACGTAGTTAACACTGCGGAAACTTATTCCTCAACGTAAGGAACGGGATGAAAAGAAAATTAACATGATTCTACATCTGTTCAGTGAACCTAGGTGTTGATGAATCTCCATAAAAAAAGACAAACCCCGAAATCGCCCTTAGAGTTACCTTAAGGCGATGTGAAAGTGGCTTCTCGTATATGAGACTTTTCTCCGACCTAGGTGCACCGAATTGTTTTAAGTCATCCCACGATGACGTGGAATGAAATGTACCGAGGAAAGTTTCATTGATTAGGGGCCACTTTCGGAGGAAGAAAATTCGCCTTCTCGCATGCTCTCATGCTCTCGTGCTCTCTCTTGTCACTAAAGCGAGGGGGATTAACCATGCAATCGGGTGAATTTCTCTACGGAGGTATAATCAGGCCGGGCATTCCGGAGAATCGCAGTTCCCTGCATAAGGTGGACCTTCTGTGGTAGCGGCGCGTAAAGAAACGCGGTTGCGTCTCGCACCTAGCGGTGTTCTTGTACTTGGCGAGCGGCCGAGGCACGGGCTGCGGATCCACCATCTCCGTGGGGAAATAAGTAGCCCCATAAAAATCCAAACCACGGCTAACGAGGGACGAAGTCTCCTCCAAACTCGCCAGGGTGATCCTCACCACAGGAGGACCCGTGTAATTGGTGCAAGACTCGTTCACGGTTTGCCCCGTCGACGCAGCATCGAGCTTCAATCTCTCGTTAATTGCCTTCACTGCGAATGGTAAAAAAAAAACTATATCAAGTAAATCCATAAGTCCAGAAAGAAATTTAACTTGCAGCGCACTTTTTCTAATTGCACCAGGATCGATCGATCAACGGGGCGTTACTGATTAATGATCCGTTTAAGTGCAAGACATACAATTTTAATGCCAAGTTGAACCCAATGACTTTCTTTGAAATAATTCACTTTATAGAGACACATACATATTTGCATGTAATTATATAAAAATCCTGGATTACTGAAAAATGTTATACTCTGACTTTGGAAAACTTCCAGATGGGCCTAGGGTCTTTTTATTATTTTTAATTGTAGGGCTTGCTGTTTATTTAACTTCGTTAAGAGTGGGTCTTGCTGATGAAAGCAACCAGGTCTCGTGATTCCACTGCCGGGGAATTTGCCTTCTGCTTCGAATTCGAAATGAAAGCAGGAAATTACTGAGTGGACGAGATCGGGGAACGCGATATCGTGGAAGCAGACGAAAAGGACTCACGCACGGTTCCCGTGTTGAGAGGTAACCTCGTTACCTCGACGATGGATCGATACTTGTAGAGAGCGTGTCGGATGTCATCCTCGGGGACCTCTTCAGGGACGTCCAGGACGTAGACGGTGAAAGTTTTCGCCGGCCGGCATGGAATGGCAACCTAGAAGAGGGTGAAACAAAGTGAAGTAGGAGCAAGGTTGTTGAATTCAGTCCAACCTGAAAGTCTCAAGTTCACGTAAACCGGAGCCATAATTATACCACGAAATTAATTCCATACATACGACTCGGGACGTAACATTTTTCTTTCTATCTTAAAAGGAAGCATAAAATTAAATTTAAAAGGTGTAACTGCGAGAGCATTGAGGAATTAAAATCCAGAGAAGAAAAAAAAAGAATTATGGGTAATTCATGAAAGTGGCGTCAATAATGGAGGCGATGAAAAATCATGCGGTTGTCCCTAAGGGGGATGGAATAAAAAGTACCTTCTTGTAAAACCGGGCTCCAGTCACCTTGTGGAAGCCCTTCTTGTAAACCGCTTGAAAGTCGTCGATGTTGCTGAATTTAAACAATATCCCAGTCGCGGTCTTGGTCAGAGAGAACGTGCCTCTGCAAACCGGAATCTCGGATTAGAAGAAGAAAAGAGAAATCGGGTTCGTCGGACACATTTTCCACGTTTCTTCGACAAGATCCTTCGAACTCACCGGAAGTTCATTTTCTCGCAGATACTCGCCGCCTTTTCCATGCTGAGTTCATGGCTGGGCGTCAGTAAAAAGGCGCCCTTGGTCAGAAAATCGGTCTCGCTGATCTCGGAGTCACTTTCCTGTTCTTGCCACTCCTGGTGCGGAATTTCTGCACCCCCGGTATTTCCGGTGCTTACGGGGCCCCCGGAAGTCGCCGCGACGCCGGACGTCGGACGGCCCGCGTCGTGGTTTAGTCGCGAGAGAGAACCGCTCTTGACGATCGACGTCGACATCGTCGTATCGTTTCTGGCCGAGATCGAACTGAGACGTCGTCACGGTGGCTACATCTTTTATACCGGAGAGGGATCGGTCGAGGGAATCGGCGTTACGCGACGTCGGCGTCCGCGACGTGCTCGAAATGCGTTTCGTCGATTACGAGGGGATTGGCGATCGCCCGTCGTATTTCTCCACGTTTTCGTCTCGTTGCGGTCGTTACGGTCCCTGTAACCTTCATTACGACCCTCCTCTTCTTCGCAATCATCGCCCACGTCGGAAACGCGGCGGCCATCTTGGACGCGCTTGCCTCGCCACTTGACGCGCTTCTTTTTCGCCCACAAAAAGCCCACGGCGCCGATTATCGCACTCCCCGTGCTCCTCGATCGTCCAAAAAAGTGCCCGGCAATTGTTTAATCGACTATCGAGCCAATTGTCGCCTTTGCGAGGAGTTTACGACAGAAGAGTTCGCCGGGCCGAAGAAGTTCCGCCGATCCAAGATGGCCGCCCTCCCGGGCAACCCCGACCTTCGCGCTCGAGCGGTTGCAAGAAGAGATCGCCTCATTTCGCGCATCGCCGACCACCATATGCGCATAGATTAAAATTTAACACAGAAATGTCTATATTAACTGGACGGAGAGAATCAAGTGGAGCAATCTCTTCTCTTCTCGCGAGTCTTCTTCTCCTTCGAATGGAATCGCCCAAGATGGACGCTCGCGCTCCTTGATGGGTCTTTCTTCATATTTATTCCCACCGTTTCATTTCTTTTCCTGATTTTTGTATAGGGCAGGGTATATTCGTAAGAATTGTCAAGTTCAAATCGGACGCTTCGTTGTCCTTCGGCCATCGAGGTCGGAGTTAGGTCGCTTAATGGTCCGGTGCTTCCTGGCACTCCTTCGGAATGGTAGCCATCGGCCCTAATGGCAGGAATTTAGACCGACGTGGCAAAGGAACGGCGACGAAACGGCATGGGGAGAAGAAAGTTGCCCTCTCCTCGGCGGGGAGGCCATTAAAATTAATTTACTCGAGCGCGGCGTCGGGAGAAACTGGCAGACATTACTAAGAAACATGGCGGTCGGAGCTCCGCGAGAACAAGCACCGCTTAGCGAGCTCTCCGATGAAATTACCGAATTATGAAATTAGGAAGTCATGAGGCAGCTAAAAATTACGGCGAAGTGGTATATACAATACCCTCGAGTACATCACGGATGAGTTTACCATATTCCCTCTCTTGCATCCAGGGAATTTAAGAACTAACCCATCCGCCTCAAGGAATTCCTAAAATACCAAGCATTATCTCTTTATTCCTGCACCTCCGACCTGAACCCCCGTAAATAGGTGTTAGGTGTTCAAATCCACGGAAATGATCTGGAACAATGGCGTGGTGCTCTTGGTGGAGACTCGCGAGGTCCCTTTGCGCTTCGATTTCCGGGAATCCCCGTTGTTTCTTTTTTTTTTCCTTTTTTCTCTCTTGATCCACTATCGCGCCAATGTATTTGGTGCGCCACCGCTATCGTCATCGCCATAGCCACCCCTTGCACGAGCCACGTAGACGCCGGCCCAACCCATGTTCGCGAATGGGTGCGGCATCTACTTTGGCTAATGCGTGGGTGCGACCCAAGTATAATGGTACCTTAAGTAATCGTTTATTACCTCGCCCGCTCCTACCCGTGGCCTCCGTTTTTCCGCCATCGGATCGACGGCGGCGCCGCTCGTCGCCCTTAACGTCCTTAACGAGGATAATTCCCGCCGAATAAATGGATTCCCACTCGGTAAATGTCCATTTCCGATTCGCGGGCTCTCCTGCGTCGGCATTACTCGAGGGGACGCACCTCCAGGTGGTGCCCTAACAGTCCGCCGTCTTTATATCTTCCGGGAATATCTTTCACGGTTCCCGGGCAGCCATTCTTGAATTTAGGAACGACGTGGCTCTCCAACCCGTGAGTTTGGTTTTTCCCTGCTAATGGATCGTCCTTATCGTCGGCCAGGTCGAGGGGAGCTGCATTTCGAAATTTCGGGCAGGTGACTCGACACAGCTGCTGCTGCTGCTCGAGGAACCGCCACCCTTCCCTAGGTGGTTCGCGTAAACGGGACACAGGGCCATCGCTCCTGTCGACATTAAGCAAATGTCGCGGGAAACCACGCCGTTGGCCCTTTTAATGTCGAACGCCCCCTCGAAATGTCAAGCTACCCCGACATCGAGGCTTTATCACCGCTTCCGAGGACGGCCTGACTCTTCCGGTTATTTCTTTCTTTTTTCCTTCCGTTCCAGGAAACGCACTCTCGATTCCAGACACCGGAAATAAGGACGGTTGGCGATCGCTCCTAACTATCCCAGTCCTCTGCACAGGTCACTTCCGCTTCTTCGACTCGATTTTTCATGCACTTCCACTACGTAACCAAAATCCGGGTACCTTTCATTTACCCAAAATGGTCTCCTTACATTTCAGAAATTCACTCGAGGAATGGGATGGGAAATGAAAAAAACTGAATTTAGTCATTTTTATTCTTAGTCTGGTTTACATAGAGATCCACGTTGTAAACTGCAGGTCCGGGCTCCTTCTCGTAATCTACAAACAAAATACGATGACTGGTATTTTAATTTAATCAAATCGACCCTAGATAACCAAACCATTAATAAATGACGTTATGATTTATAAGTTTCGTTATCTCGTGGGTATCTAAGATTGAAGGGGGAAAAAATCGAGGGGAACCAGGTATTTTCGTGCACGTGGGCCAGAAATGGGGTAGAGTCTTCCGTCTCGAGAACTGTCGCGTTCCGTCTCTCTCTCGTCTCGTAGGATCGATCTGTCGACGCCCTTCGGCTTTGACGCTTCCTTGTGTCGGCTCCTGTGGCTTTCGGACTCTCCTGGGGAACTTCCCCGAGGTCTAAGAACGGAGTCGAGAGTCAAGAACCTCTCCTCGGCACTCTTGAAAACCTGCACAAAGAATGCCTTCCCTTTCCCCGGTGACCGTCCCTTCGAGGTCCCGTTCGGTGGCGCCCCCTGCCGCGCCCCTCGCTCGCTCTCTTTCCCTCCTCCGGGCCGCGCATAGCGCCCTCTCTTTCCGCCCACTCTCTTCCGTGGCTCCGGCTACCTCCGGCCCGATACATGCCGCATTACATGTACACTCGTACCTAGCCGCCGAACCCGGTGTACAGTCTCGTTGTTCACGTTTCAAGGTACCAAGTAATACCACCGGTCCTCATTTGTCGTTATTTCTCATTGTTCGAGGTGCCGGATATAACCCGCGCTAGTCGTGAAAGGGTTAAAATATCACAAGTCTGATGAAAGCTTGCCAGCAATTTATTATGGTTAGACACACGTAATTAATTGAATTAACATGATATTTCTTAGTCGCGATGACACTCTTCTCGGTGTATCTACCGAAAGGCCGTCGAAAGATAGAGAGACGCCGGCAGCAACCCCGCGGCCAGGTGCGCGTGCACCGAGCGGTAGCGCCTTCTCTCTCCCTCCCGCGCGCGGCCGCTCGCTCCGTCCTCCTCCCGCCCACTCTCCATGGCGTGGCGCCTGCTTCCCACCTTCTCCACTCGCGCCCAGGCCGCGGCATCGAACGGCCGCACTCCTACGCCTTCCCCTCCGGCTCGCGTGCGCCCGCCGAATGAGCGGCGCGCGCGCGTGCCCGATTCCACCCGGTTCCACCCGGTTCGCCCGAAATGGAACCGTCGATTAGGCTCGGTTACACGGCCGAGCTGACGGCGCGCCGAGTAACGGGCCACCGCGCAGACGCCGCGCGTCGAAGGGCGCGACTTAAGCCCGACTCACGCGCGGCCGCGTCGCCGACGCGCAATTTCGTTCGAATGCCATAAACGGACTGCCGAGGCCGGATTTTCCGCGAGCCGCTCGGCGCCACGTGTAATCCGACCTTAAGGCTAACCTCACCCGTCCTGACTCACGGAGGTCAGATCTCGATCGCGGATGAGGCGAAATCTCACAGCCAGTCGGTACCTAGCCATGGCGCCGCGTGAACGCGACGCGACGCCGTCTCCGGGAACGAAAGTGGAACCTTAATAATTAACCGCTCCATAAGTTAAACCGAGGTTAAAGTTCCAGAATCTATCCCTAGCGACGAGGGACCACGCGTTTATCATCTCTATTAAGACATTTATAATTAATTTAATCGCTCCTCGTCACTTTCCAGTTTCATTAAAAAGGTAAACTGTGAGGAAATAACTCAGTTGGACCAGAGAAATATTTCTTCGAACCTGGGAAGGTTTCATTTAAATGTGGAAATATTTTTCCTGGATTTATAGAACGAGGATTGGAAATAGGACTATGTGGGAATCGATGCTAAGCCACGGGTATTAAATGTGACCGAGCGATTTTGCCGTTAGAACTTTGTTTATCCACTCGCTTCGGGGAAATTGTGCCTTAAGTCCGCGCATGCGCGACGGCGGTGACCTCCAGGCTCCACAGGTTTTATACACAACGTTTGAGGAGCTAGTGACGGGTCGAACGTTGACTTGGAACGTTAGTGGGAATCCATCGGTTACGAATCTGCGTCCGAGTGACACGCCAAGCTCGGTAGGAAAAAGAAAGTCGCGAAGTTCCGTTCCTTCTTGCGTGGCGTGCGTGCTTAGAATACGTTTCCATTTCCGAGGTACAAACACGATGTCGTCAGAAACTGACTTGGCCGTGAAATCCTCTCCAGGAGCATGGAACTGGAGTAAGAAACATCGTTAAACGCATTCCCTGCAGTTAAAACAATATAATCCACGTATTAACGGGAAGAATTCCGCAATTAACGTCTCTCGAGGTTAGCTTCTGAGTCCCCTCTTGGCAGGGTACCTGGATACAGTTAAACGTTAAAAAATCAAAGGTAATTTAAGAAATTAATTATGTATATACTTCGTAGGTCGATTATCAGTAGGTTTCCGGTATAAAATCCCGACCTAGAACTCTGGTCCGTTTACACCGTTTGTTTACCTCGAGTGACGTCCTCACCGGTTTTGTCGGGTATAAAACTGGAGTAACCGTCCAACGCATTCTCTGCGTTGAAAACTCTCCGCTTGTGCGGTATCAAGTTTACAATTCGTTCACAATCTTACGTGACAAACCTGCATAGAATAATTCCTTCAACGGTGAAGGACATCAAACTGATAATTTAATCACAACTTTATATAGTATGGATGCGTGACTCTTCTTAGTCTATTTTTTTTTTTTTAATAGGGTATATTAAATTTATAATATCATCGCGACCTTCCATGATAAATGTGCATGATTTTTTAAATCCATTTAACGGAGCACGTCGACCGAATGAAATGCGACCTTTTTGCTCCGTCCGTCTCTTCGTAGATCCCCGATACGTAGAGGGGTCAGGAAAGCGCTCGGAGGACGCCTTGGTGCGCGACGCCGGGGTCGGTCGAGCCTCGCGCGTGTACATTTGTGGACATGAATGCCCTCCCTACAGATATAGTCCCGCTAGTATGCCATGAGGAGGCATTCCTGTTCGTCACTGTACACGCCGTGCCGCTCGTGAGCCGTGACTATGGGCATATCGACGAGATCCGAGCGCGGCCGATCTCGTCCGAGGCCGAGCGACTCGGGCCCTGCGCGCTCGACCTAACCTCGAGGAAGCATAGTTGCATTCAAACGGCCACGTCCCGAGGAGGTCCGAGGAGCCCTTCGGCCGCTCGGAAGTGCGCGAACGTCCTCACGGACGTCGGAAGTGACTCGCCGGCCGCGAGAACCGAACTCGCGGATTAGTTCCCATCTCCCGTCGCGACGCGGCGCCACGTGCGCGCCGATTTATACCTCCTCCCCTGTCGAAGCTAGAGACAGCGAGCGGAAGTGGATTCGGCACGTCAGCTGAGATCGGTACGTATCAAATGCAGAGAGGGAGGAACTTGCGTGGGTTATTTTCATATTTCGAGGTTGCGAATAGCATCGAGAGGAGGGAACTTCTTTCGAACGTTTCTTTTTTGCCGATAGATCGACCGCCATGTTGCGAGGTCAGATCGTATCAGGGTTTGGTTCCTCGCTTTCGGTTGTACGGTCTTTGTAGTCGGCTCGGTTTGCGGAGTCCATGGATCCCTATGTTCGTGGGGTCGAGAACTCGCGGGGGGCAGTGGTCACGTGGTCAGGATCTGGACCAGTCCGACCTCCGTGGAGGATAAAAGCCTCCGATGCGAGGAGAGATATTATTCACAGAGGTGTATTTGCACATTCATGGGACTATTCGACGGGGTGAAGGTTTTGACTTCGTGTACGGATTTTGCAGGCGAAGTGGAAATGTTCACGCGAAGTGAAGGTTCGGACGTCGCGCGAGGATTTTCACTTTACGTGAAGATTTTAACTTCACGTGAACATTTTCACTTTACGTGAACATTTTCACTTTACGTGAACATTTTCACTTTACGTGAACATTTTCACTTTACGTGAACATTTTCACTTCACGTGAACATTTTCATTTCTCGTGAGAATTTTCACTCCAAATCTTACACATATTTTTTTTTCCCCTTTCGCGGAGGTTTTCAATTGACGCGTTTTAGGGGGAAACGGTTGAGAGGTACTTTCGAATGTACCTGGGGAACCCGGGCGAGTTCCGGAGGAACGGGCCCAAGGTGGGACGACTCCGTACCCGAGTAGACCTGGACGCGTAGGAGGGACGTGCTTTCCGCACGGGTGGGCCCGCCGTTGTTGCGCCGTTACGCGGACGGAAATAGAAACTCGTCACGACTCGGAACGCGCCGAGCTCGCCGGAAGGCGACCGACTCCTCTCCGGTACGCTCCTCGAAGACGGCCTCTTCCGCATCCTTCCGGTTTCCACCGTTTCCCCCCCGCCGCTTTTTCCACTTCCTTCCGGTTTTCCGTCCCCTTTTTTCACATCCTTCCGGTTTTCGCCGTTTCTTTGTACTCCTCGAACCCTGTGCCGTTCCACTTGCCGCTTCGTTCGCTTGTTTCCGGTTTTCACCGTTTCTTTGAGCACCTCGATTCCGCGTCGCTCCATTTATGTCGCTTCAGTAGGTTCGTTTCCGGTTTCCACCATTTCCTGGGGCGCTTCGACTCCAAACCGGGTTTTCCGCTTAGTTCCACTTTCCGCCGCTCCCTCGCGCGCGCGCCATCTTCCTTCCATTTTCCGGCGTCCCGCGATCTCCGGAGCGCTCTCCCTTTCGTCCCAGTTCCCTCCAGCTGGCTGCAGCGGCGCTTTCTCGGTCGCTCGGTGGTATCGGTCAAGGGCGTCGCGTCGCGACGCCGCGCGACGTGGAAGTGGAAACGCGAGGTACTTCTAACCTCCGCGGAAGGAGCTAGGCCACGCTGAAAAAATAACCCTAGTTTTTTTTTGTACATTTCTCGCTTCTTAGATGGCGGCACCTGAGCTTAGCTTTGCCGTGAGGAATCGCCGTGAATTATGGGGAATAACATGAAAACGTGACGAGCGATCGCCGGGACTTAAGGCCCTTTCCATGCAGGCTTTGCGGAGTCCATTCAAACGTTATCCGTATACGTTGTCTCGCTTGAACTCAAACTTGGTAATAATGTCAGGTGTGAACTCAAACTTGGCAACGGTGTCAGACTTAAATCAAACTCGGCAACGATGCCTTCTCTCGAGATCGCCGCGATTATCAGCGTACACGTGGTTTCTTAAGAAGCTCTCGAGAGGAAAGTAGAGTTCCTCCGACTTCCAGGAGCTCTTGTAATCGGCATGAAAACACCCAATATTCACAAGGACGTGGAATCCTCGTGGTTTCTCCAAGCCCGGAATTTCAAAATTTCACCTCCATTTAGTAAAACGCAGAATGGCCTGACATTCTTTTGTTAAAAAAAACAAAATGAAATCTCGATCCTTCCTGTATATAACTCTGTAGCGTCGCGGTCGAACTTAACGCGTATCATCGCATTACTCCACGCTACGAGTATCTTGATCTGAAAAATCCAAGGGCCACTTTAAAACCCTTCTACCGCATTCTCCAAATACCCTTAAGGTCGAACGTTAATTACTTTCATCCCTGACCGTCGGAATAGTGATCAATAAACTCGTGGAAGTTGTATTTCAATCCACGATGTATTTTAATCCGCAGTTTCTTTCGACGGTTGATAGGGATTTCCTGGAAATGCAGTTATTACCGAGCTAGCGCGAGTGCCGGGAGATAAGATCGATAGTCAGGATCGAATCGTCATCGCGGCTTCCCTACGTCCGAGTTTTCTGCCCGCGGGGAGATCTCCCGTTATCGCTCACCGGCGCGGAACGGCGCGGCGGTCGCGTCCGCGTCCGCCGCGAGTTACGTCATCTGGCTCGCTCGTAGTTAACGGCGGCGCGCGGCGCTGCCTCCGGCGGGATCCCCGAGGAGCGCGTAGGAGAGAGTAACGGGAAATTCCTGCAGCGGCGCTGCAACGCGAGCGAAAAAGACGCTCTCTCTCCCCCTCTCTCTCCTTCTCTCAGGGCGCTCGCTCAGTGTGTCTTTCTCTCTCTCGGCCGAAAGGTGGCACCGCCGCGGGGTGGGGGCCGGCGGGGGCGGCCGCGGGGTCACGCTCCGGTCGCTGACTTCCCAGGCCCCGTAGCGCGCCTCCCCCCGGCGCGCCGCTCCATTCCCCTCTATTCCGCTCCTCTGATTGGCCGGTGGAGCGGCCCAACGGAATAGGTCACTCGTGCCGCCGAAGGCCAAAGGGCGAAGGGCGCGTCGCCTCGTACCGTGGACTTAGGATACTCCGACGGACCCAACTTGATATTCCTTTCATATTTCCTGGATATATCTGAAATTACCTACGTATTCTGGTAAGGCTTAGAAATCCTAAAACGGCGAACAGAGGACCTCGCTGTTAAATACACCCCCATATTGCGCCGCGCTAGGTTTTGAGGTTAACCGAGCGGGAGGGAGAACGTGACCCCTATGTTTTTTCTGCTGCCTTTATGCTCAGTCCTCTGTCCATGGTTTTTGTATGTACGGAGTGTGTTTCTTAGGTTAGGTTAACCTATCTTTCCCACCCTATGTTCTCTCGATATTTCAGAATCTTGACATTTCAATGTATAGTCATATGTGCGAGCGATTTATCGATAGTACGAACGTCGTTTATTTTCGATATTTATCGTCGATATTTAACGAAAGATCGAGGGGGAAGTGTGGTTATCGTCGCGCCGTTTAATTGGTTGAATGGCGCGCCCTTGTTTCCGCTGGAACGGAAGTTCGTTACCTCGCGGAAACAATGGAGCCATTTCGACGGCGCCGTCTGAAAGGACCACCCTGTATGCGCACACCTAAACGGCCATTGACGTAATCTCCAGTAAGTTGGATCTCTACGGCTCGTTAAACTCCGATTCAGTTACCCGGCCTCTACATTAAATAATCGAGTTACTCGTTTTCGCCCTCCCCGCCGAACGGCCGTCCCAATTATATTCCTGCGATCTCGTTCCCCGCCGTAAATCTTACTCCCGGTAATACGTAATCGCACGTAATAACCCGAGGAAAGGGGCCAGTTCTCTATACGGTTTCTAGACCCCCTTAACGTGATATGAAAGGGTCATATTGTCATACTTTTCACATCATCACATTTTTTTTTTTGTGAAAAATTAAATTTCACGACCATCGCGATTTTCCTTAGGGCCTCCATAATTACGTGTTAAAAATGCAAATAATTCGGTGCATTTTTTATTGCATTTCTCACATGATCACATTTTTTTTATTGTGAAAAATGAAATTTTCTATGTGTACGCGGTTTAATAATGTGTAAACCGATTAAATCGTAAATTCTTCAATTACATGAACGTCCGTGTCCATTTAGGGCGCGTACTGTTCACGAGTTTGCGCCACTGTGCCTCAATGTACATTAAGTACATTAAGTAGAGTCGCGACTCGTTCGAATTAACTCGAACTTCACAATTAATCCTTCCAAGCTGTTTAATCCTTTGATTCCGTGTGCGGTTTGATATCGATCTCTCGTGCGAAACAAAGCATGCATGCAAAGAGCCCATTCCGGTAATTATCCGGCCTGAAGTTAATACTGGAACATGGCTAATCGGGCGTTTAAAAGCGAGTTAACGGATACAGGGCACACTTAAACCCCGTTTAGAGTGGAGAAAAAAAAAAGTACCCGCGTAACGATAAAAAATAAAATAGGTACCGACGCTCAGCCTCGCCTTTAATACCCACGAATTCGGGAAAAATCATGTCTGAATTTGATTTTATAATTAAACCTTCATCCCGTGAATTTTCTGTTTAGGTTTCCACGCGAGGAGTTTCGACGGTTTAACGCGGGTTTCCTGTATAACAGTATCCAGTCTTTCATGACGAGGACGCCATGATGATTACGCCGAGAAGTAGCGCTGCCACGAAAGCGTAAAAGAAGAAAAAAAAGAAGAACCGAGGTTGAAGAGCCACGGCCATTGTTCCGCCAAGTTCGGTTGCGGTCAAATCGAGAGGCCTCGAATCTCACCTCTAAAGTGGTTTTTCCTGTCCGAGGCTTAGAGGGCGCCTTAAAATTCGTTAAACGACGTGTAGAGGGAATGGCGAGGGTCGCGGGCGGGCCTGACTCCTTGCTCCACCCGTAAAGTCGAAGAGGATGAGCAAAGTTTCAGGTGTGTCCGCGGTTTCCGCGAAAGGAGCTCCACCAGAAGAACCAAGATGGCCGCCGGAAGTGGAAGCGGCACGCCCGGCCATACTCCTACGCCTGAAGTTTGCTTTGTACCTGGCGGTCGGGCTCTCGATCGGTCTAGAGAGGATAAAGGTGAGCAAAGTTTCAGGTGTGCGAGTGCGCCGAGATCGACGATCACCATCCTGCTGTGCGAAAAATCGGCTAAAAGAATCAGCGCGCTCTCATTAATATCTTAAGACGATAGGAAAGTGCCATCCGAAGAGTCAATTATGAACTTTGATTTTATTAATTTAGTAAACGCCTATAAATAATTTTTGTTCAAATCGCAATTTCACGGGTGTCGGGACCTTCCTCACAGCCTCAACGTTCACGAGGTTGGTTTTTAATCGATTCGGTGCACCCAGTCCGGAGTAAAGTGTCGCGGAGGATCGATATCTGCGGATTCCACTCTCCCACCCCCTTAAGTAATCGTATAAAAAAATACGCGACGAGAAGACATCTCGAGGACGATAAACGCGGAAAAGGGTCGCCAACGGCGCAGGGAGCCAATCGATACCCGGGGTCCGCGCGGATCCCCGGGTCCGGGAAACGAGGTCGGACCGGGAGTGGAACTCTCTGGAAAAGCGGAACGCCGCGGCGGCTCGACTCGGCCAGGCGGCGTGGCGGCGCGTCACCGCTCGCCAGACCGTCAGTCCGCTTCGGGAGGCGCGCCGGGAAGGACCGAGCCCCGAGACCTCCCGCGCGCGCGCGAGTCGGACCCTCCTCCCTCCCCCTCCCCGAGGACGACCACTCGCCGTCATGGACGAGAAGAGGCACATCCTCGACGGCGCCAGGAAACTCTCGGACGCCGTAAGTATAACCTCCCACCTTGGTGAGTACTCCGGCCTCTTAAAACATTCTCCTCTTCATCTCGCCCTCTCGTTTCCGACAGGGTGGCAGCCTCTGCTCCGACGACACCTACGACGACACGCGCCATCTTGTCAGGGTAAGGACCGATCTCGCTCATTTTTCCACTCGAGGTCTTTCTCTCTTTCTCTCGCGCCCGGTGATCACCCCGACGCTGATAAGTGGCCCGAGGGCGGCGCGCGCATGCGCAGAACGACCTCCGATCGATATGCCGACTGGTGTCGCGCGACCGGAGATGCTCCGGGAGTACGTCCTCGTTTTTCCCGGATTTCATGGGTTTCTTCCGCGAATCCGGGGAGACGTTACTCGATACGAGCTTATCTGATATTCCGAGCTTCTTGGGAACAGTTATGTAATACTTATCGAGGAAGGGTGCCATTGTACTAATCATAAGTCGGTCAAACAGCCGACCTTAAGGTCTTATGGAAGGGACTTTCTATGTACATCGAAACGTCGAAATGTTCATTGCCAAAGTATGTATATGAACGCGATGCTCGTGAAATTTTGTTTTTAAAAAAATTGCTGCGGTCTTGACTCTTTTTTTTTTTAGAAGATTTTATTTATTTTTTCGAAAATAGAAATTTCACGAGCATCGCGTTCTTTTTTAGGGCTTCCGTAACCACGTGCCGAAGTTTCATGTCATTCGGTCAACCCAGTTAAGAGGAAAGCTTCATTGGCGAGATTTCTCGGAGGCCACGTTCATATCATCTTAAGGGCGGTCTGAGTCAGAGATGAATAATCTAGAGTTATGAATGGGGTAATAAAGATGACGGGGAATGCGAAATTGCGCAATGTCGAAGGTCTTTCCCACGTCTGCGGAATAGTTGATGACTTTAGTCGGGTGGAATTCTTCCATCGCGCTTATCTGAGCTTCCTCCTCGGTAAATGGCTCCTGATAATAGACCCGACGATGTCTCGCCATTTTCTCAGGAGACTTTCCCCTTTGCCCTTTCAGGAGGAAGAGGAAGATTCCGGGAAGTTCAGCAGCCTGCCTCTGGCTAGTTTCAACTTCATCAACTCTATAATAGGAAGCGGCGTGATCGGTGAGTCGGGACCCGACTTCCGGTATATAGGAACTTCCGTCTCCTTCCATCCAAAACGATCTCCATAAATCCATCGCACTTTTCTCCCGTTCGAGTCTAAATCTTCGCCGAGTCGATATCCCAAGATAAACATGGAGAAATAAAATAAATGACTCCCGAGTTGCCTGACGAAAAACTAAACGGAGATACTTCAACCCTTAAAAAAATTGGGTAATCTTCACCCAATCATGAGTATACCCTAATAAGATAAACGTGTCCCTTAGAAAAACGGACGCGCATATTTTTTTCCTCATTTTTATTATCATCATATACCTGCGGTGATAAGAAAGAATTGCACGCGCTAAATGCAGATTATGATAATGATTTATTCCTGATGAGTCAAGATGGCCCAATTTCTGTTTAGGGCTGAAATTTGGAATTCATGAATTCCCCTGATTCCTCAGGTATACCATATGCACTCCACCAGGCTGGATTCGGACTTGGTCTAGGACTCCTAGTCCTGGTGGCTCTGTTGACCGATTACTCCTTGATCCTGATGGTGAGGAGCGGCCATCTTTGCGGAGAGATGAGCTACCAAGGTCTCATGAGAGCCAGCTTCGGCCGAGCTGGATTCTACATCCTGACGACTCTGCAGTTCGTCTATCCCTTCGTGGGTAAGGCCGATGAATGCGTTGACGAAACTTCCTTTGCCAGAGGTCCACCTTAACGCGTCTCTCTCCTCGAGCAGCCATGGTGTCGTACAACGTCGTCGTCGGCGACACGGTGACCAAAGTCCTGGTCAGGGTTACCGGTATAGAGGACACCAACATCCTGGCCCATCGTCAGACCGTCGTCCTCCTGGCGACCCTCTGCATCACGATACCTCTTTGTCTCTACAGAAATGTAGCACGCCTCGCCAAGATCTCCTTTCTATCCCTGGTCTGCGTTGGATTCATCCTGGTGGCCATTTTTGCGAGGATGGGGCCGGTTTCCGCTATCGTGTGAGCATAAAATGGGAATTATACCGATACCTATCATAGTATCGAGACCAGAAAAATATCGGAGTAATTTCGTACTTGATGGTATCCGTACCTGATAAGAGGGCACAATCCATCCATATGTGTAATCGGATTTTCAGATTTTATATTTCTATCCCATATAACACGGAGATTGCCTTTCTGGAGCATTACCACACGGCGGGACGAGAAATTAACTGAGCGGTACTGCTAAGTTAAAGTACCCATGTATATCTAAATAGCACATCTTTCTTACCGCATCGTTCCGCCATCCGCTCGCAATACATTCACGAGGTTGGGCACGGATCCATGCGCTCCATTATTATTTTTTTTTTATTCTTATCTGGTTCGGAGATGTTTCGTTAAGGTGACTTTTTTCACACCGCTTTCCCATCGCCTTAAGGCCGAGCCACGAGGACAGCTGGAGGTTCGCCAACTTTAGCGGCGTCGTGCCAGCAGTCGGCATAATGGCCTTCGCCTTCATGTGCCATCACAACACCTTCCTGATTTACGGCTCCATCGAGAGGGCCACCCAGAGAAAATGGGACGTGGTGACCCATTGGTCCTTGCTGACCTCTCTGGCGGTGGCAGCGGCCTTCGGGATCGCGGGTTATGCCACCTTTACGGCTTACGTCCAGGGCGACCTCATGGAGAACTACTGCTGGGACGACGACCTCATGAACCTCGCCAGGCTCCTCTTCAGCGGGACGATACTTCTGACGTTCCCGATAGAGTGCTTCGTTACCCGCGAGGTGAGGAATTGCACTTTTGGGATTTATTTTTCGTGGCAAAAGAGGTCTTTTGGAAATCTGTGCGTTAAGGGGTTAAAAGAATGCCTTATTCGGTGCGACCTTAAGCGCGCAATTATCTCCAGGACATTTAATACATGTATGTAAAAAATCCTCAGGTGATCCTGACCGCGCTGAGAGGGACAGCGGACATCCCGTCCGAAGGCCGGGATGCAGGATACGTGACCGGCTCCGACAGGGAGTACCTGGTGGTGACGCTGAGCATCGTCACCGTGGCGTATCTGGTCTCCATGTCGACCGACTGCCTTGGCGTCGTCCTGGAGTTGAACGGCGTCCTGGCGGCGGTGCCTCTGGCGTACGTCCTCCCGGCTCTTTGTTACTTGAAGCTCGAGGAAGGTCCCTGGGTCTCGGCCAGGAAGTTGCCGGCCTTGGGCCTCCTGCTGGCAGGAGTCCTGGCCGCTGCGGCAGGCCTCCTCCTCGTCGCCCTCCACGACGAGACCGACTCCTGCGTCCACGGCAAGGTGATGCCGTATTGCCTGGACAATTCCACGGCGACGACCCTGGGACCGACGGGGGCGTCGCTCTTCGCGATCCCCGGGTCGAACCTGACCTCGTAACTCGGAGTTTGAGCTTACAAGATCGATCCGTCCAGGAGCGCAGCTTCTGGAGGTCGAAGGACCGTCTACGACCGGGAGGACGAGGACGACTCGAGGAGCCGGGGCGAATGACGTGCCAAGAAACTGAGGACGGGCGGTGGTGGATTTTAGGTCGAGAAGACGAGTGACGAGAGTCCTGGCAAGGAACCCGAGACAAGTACTGGAAAATTATGCGTTGGGAGGTTCTTGGACTCCTGGTGGAGGTACATGGACGAGGGCGAAGAGACGCGTGCCAAATGGCAGTCGGTGGAAACCTAAGACCCGCGATACGGAAAACTTGCTGATATGAACTGGAACGACGTTAAGCCCACCCTAGGAACCACGGCAAAACGTATTGGAAGATTCTTGTACTCTCGATGGAGGAAAGTAGACGAGGACGAAGAGATGCGTGCCAAACGGCGTTGAATGGAAACTCGAGACCTGAAAACCGGGAACCTGCGCCTCTGGTGGCATTAACTCGAACAACATTGACTATGACCGCATGATGGCCTCGAAATGGGATGTCAAAAGAGAAGACGTTTAGTTTGGTAAAGTCCCATGGGTCTTATGAGGGGATGAGACCGCAATATGCAATGGACACCGAGGCCAGCAGACGCATTCCCATACATACTATTAGTATATAATCGATTGGAACCGCACCTACGGTTGCTGGGAATCGATTAGGTCGTTTTCTGCAATCGCTGGTCGACCTCGAGGCTGGAACTTGTTCGTTCCTCTGGGAAACGCTCGTACCTACGCATCTGTGATTATTATTTTTCGACTATTACTTATTTTTGTGATACAAATATACACCGTGGATGTACATATACAGGCGTTGATATCTACCCGAAGACGGGTAGGGCTATATGTGTATATAGAGGCGACGTGCCGAAGATATTGTTTGTTGACTCGAAATGGTAACTAGGGACGATTGGACGTGTCTAGGGAATTTAGATGAGGGATCTAAAAATGTTCATCCCCAGGCGGGCATTTCAAATTTCATTTCGACGTTGGGCTTTATGAGGTGCGCTCTTGATCTGCGCACTCGCGCCGCTTCTAAAATAAAGCGACTTTATCTTCGATTACGACTACATGGCTCTCTTCCGGCTCCTCTCCTGGGTTACTCTTAGTTGTCGGAAAAATAAATGCCTCTCTTCCCCCTCTTCGACCTGAAAAAAAAAAAATGTTTCGTAATTACAAATCACGGATTTACGGTTTCTACTATTATTCGAGGAAGATATGTTCACGCATTTTCATACCTTTCGGTGAACTGTCGTCGTCTTAAGGTGATATGAAACTGGCGAATCTGAGGTCTCGTTTATGAAACTTCTCTGAATTAGATCTACCGAATTATTTCAGGTTTTAACACGAGAATTAATGCACACGTGAAAAACTCGAACTTCCTGTAAATAAAGGTAATATTACTTGATTTCAAAATTTCGACCGGAATTCGAGTTGCAACTTTCCCGGGCGTATCATTTGCATGTTAAAAAATGAAATTTCATTGCCGTCGAAACCTTCTATTGATAATCACCTTTTCAAAAGCCACTTTCATATCGCCTTAACTGGCCCTGAATAAATTAATTCAGACGTGAAAAACTCAAATTTCCTGTAAATAAAGGTAATGAGTTGATTTGAAAATTTCTACCGGAATTAAAGTTGCAACTTTCCCGGATGATTAATTTGCATGTTAAAAAATGAAATTTCATGGCCGTCGAAACCTTCCATCGACGATTACCTTCGATGGAAGGCTTAACTGGTCTTGAATAAATTAATTCAGACGTGAAAAACTAAAATTTCCTGTAAATAAAGGTAATGAGTTGATTTGAAAATTTCTACCGGAATTAAAGTTGCAACTTTCCCGGACGTTTGGTTTCCACCGAGCGATTCATTCGCTACATTACCGGGGAGTTTAATGCGCGATGGGGCCTAACGGTCGACGGCCTTTTGGGTCTATTTTCGAGCTGAAGAAAGTCGCGTGTCAAATCGTCTCTCCAAGCGGCTTCTCCGACCGGAAGTAACGTTCTCGCATTCCGGAGAAATTCGGAGACGCGGCTCATCGCGCGGGCAAATCCGATTCACCGAATCGGGGGAAAAGAGGGAAATGAGAGGACGAGATGTAAAAAAGCCGCGTAATAAAAGTCGGAAGCGAAGTCGAGCTCATAATCCGCGCATTCCGACGCGGCCTAGAAGTCACGTACAGTCGTGGACATGAATATCTTTGCGGAAGAAGGAAATCCCGCGAAGAACCGCGATAAGCGTAGCCATATTGCAAAGTAACGTACGAGATAACCTAGCTAGGTTATGTTAACCGGCGTAACAAGGTATACGAACAAAGCGAGGGTTACCTCACCGTTTAGTCAAGGTAACATGGCCGACATAACCTCCTTGCACATACATGATCACTACTTATTACACCCTTTTATATATATACCGCAACTATTGGCAAGGTTACCTTTTCCCATTCGATGGAGAAGTTTAATTATCTCGGTTAATGTTAATAGAATATTTTAACAAAAAATAAACCGTCCGATAGAAATTATTTTTTTTTTTTCCATGGCAGGTGCATCCAGTAGATGACGTTCATGTCCGTCTCTGTACGGGAATAATAACGTAACCATCGAGCGTTTATTACCGATCTCGGGGAATTACTCCGGAAATTGGCCCCGAAAGACGATAACGACCCTCTATGCCCTTAGGCGGACGGAAACGGAAGTGGACTGCGCGGTTCGCTACCGAGCGCTCGGGAGATCGCGCCGCGCATGCGCGGGCTTATCCGCCAGAAGATTCCCGACTACGTACCGACTAATGCGAGAACTTTCACCGTCGCAGTGCCGAGTCGACCGTTCCCACGATCCGGTCGCGGATCGATCGGAAGCCTCGAAGATGACACAGAGATTTACAATTTCCCGGAATGGCGGGATAAATATACGCCCTTAATATTAAATAAAGGGATGGAGGTCGCCGAGATAGGTCGAGGGTGAAGATCGAGACGCAGGGGGAGGTACGCGTGGCGGCCATCTTTTGTTGCGACCTTAGTTAAAAAGAAACATTGGAATTTCATTTATTCCCCGTACCTTAGTCAAATACGATATTCCGATTCTATACGTTAGTTAAGAATCAGAATGTTATGTTATGCATGTTATGTATGCAGTTAATGTATCCACGAGTTTACGATACAGGAATTCACGGTTAATCTAAAATTAATCCAGGAATTTATAACAGGAATTCACATTGAAAACATGAAATTTATAGTTTCACTCCTTACGTGATAAAATTGAATTCTACAAAGCTAAGAAGATTGTCAACGATAACTGCTATCTTTGCACCTCTCGTCGCGCACTTCCAAGATGGCGTCGCTCGCCATGGGGAATTCGAATGCGCGCGCAGCAACGAAAGATGGCCGCCGCGTCCTCGCTTCTTCCTGCGTCTGGAATCTGACTTTAGGCTTAATTTTCTTTTCGCCCAGGCCCCCTGTATACGCGGATTTCGAGATGGAGATAAACGGTGCAAATGGCGGCGGGTTATTAAATTCCCAGGGAAGAATTCCTCGGAGCCGGAATTGCGGAGGAAATGAGGGGAACGCGGTCGCACGCGCGTGTAAATATGCGCGCACGGTGGGAGGGTTCTCATAATTTCTCTTCCTAGGTTACGAGAGCGCCGCTCGTTTTCGCGGTTCGGCGCGCGAGTCCCCGCGGCCGCGTTCCGAGTTTTCGCCTCGACTTCCTCTTACTTTCCTCCGAGCAGCTGTTCGCGGCCGGTCGACGCAACTATTCGCGCTATCGATGACGCCACCACGCGAGAAACTCTCACCCGAGGTACGCGTTTCGGCCTTTTCTAACAAGAAAACCACCGGCTGACGCGACCTCTCGCGCGGAGGTTCCAGGTTTCCAGGAAGTTCCACTTCTTCGACCGTTGAACTCCTGCTGAGAGAGGCCAGGATAAATCGTAGCGATCGGTGACCCGTGTCGGCAAACCGAGTTCCATGAGCTCTGATGAGCTCCATAAGTCGTTGCGATACATCCGATCGGTACAGACTTAGAGGTTAACCCTAACCTCTAGCGCAGTAAACAGTTCCTATGAACCCCTCGCAGTGAATAATTAAACTAGGGTTAGAAGGATTAACCTGGCTTTGGTTGACGCGGGAATGACGCGTAGACGTAGATCTCGATCTAACGTCACGGATTAAAAATCGCCGCGATTCATCGCTACGTGCACGGCCACCTTAACGTCAGCGCGTCAGTTAAATCCGAAGAGATTCATCGCAGGATTTATCGCCTGATGTGTAGCCACCTCAAGAGTCGAGCCCCATATACCGAGCGGCGATTCCGGGGATTTCTCCTAACCTCGATCGACGGGGAGATTAAAAAGTTCCATTATGTTCCCGAGAGGCGAGCGCTTGGAAACAAGACGCGATGGAGCCCCTGCAGATCCCTGCAATCCCACGAGTCCGATTCTTCCTACCGAACATCCTATTAAAACCACTGGAGTGATATTCACGTTAAAACCAGTGAACTATATTCCTATTAAAATCACCGATTTATATTCACATTAAAAGCAGGGAATCATATTCAAATCTAAACCCCTTTCTCTCTCGTCGCAAGGATCGTTCCATATATATAGTTCAGTAATTCCTCCCCTCTCCAGCAGCCAACCCGCGTCGAGTCGCGCCCGACTTTACCGACCGATCGGATCATCCGGAGCATCTCGAGACTCTACGTCGAGCTGCGCCGGGCCGAAAGGTCGAGCCACTAAACGCCGGATAAAAAAGGCCTCGTAGGATCTCTCCTCTCGCCGGGGACGCGTCCATAGGCCACTCGAGGACGTAACGCGTGCTTTCTCCTGGGACGAGGTGAAAACTCTTCGCTCGGACGTCGTTTCGCGCGAGACGTCCTCGGGAAACGACGCGGCACCTGCCGTTTCGCAAAGTCCCTCTCCTAAGCCCAAAATGGCCCTCGCAAATCTCAAACAACCTCTCCTACATTTACCATAACGCCGGCCCTTCGAATTGCAGGAAGTCCACTTATCGAAATGAAACGTGACGTTTCATTTGATCGATTTCATAAGCCCGTTCTTAATGTGATATTTATGGGTGGGGTGGCATCCGTTAAACGGCCTTAAGAACCTCATTTATCCCCAGCGTTCTCCACGGGACGTCGGGGTGTCTCATCTTCTCCTCGTGACAAAACAAGATGGCGGACCCCTTAGTCGGTAACGCGGATTCCGCGATTCCGGTGGGGGCTTTTTAATCCGATTTTGCAAGCGGCCCTTTCGCGAGCACGTGGGACAAAGTCCGGGCCCGAGGAGGCTGCGAACATCGCCCGCGGACAGAAAGGCCGGGAGAGAGGCAACTCGCTCGCCTCTCTGGTCAAGGAGTAGGTCGCCGAGGCGTTCGGACTCGTCCTCTCGATGCAACGAGAGCGCGAGTGTTCTCGAGAGGACCCATCCAGCTTTCTCGGTCCCCAGCCTCTTCCTCGAGATCCTCCTCGCCGGACGATTCATCGTTCCCTCGATTCCCTTCTAAGCAAAATCGACCTTCTGCACCCCGAATACTATTTTTAATCGCCACTTTTTAACACAAATCCCGAGATTTCGCATGTCCTGGTTTAACGTACTTACCCAGAACTTTCTATTAACCCATTAAATGCCGACCGAACTCGTTAGCACTTGTAAAACGACGATATACCTTTGTTTGGCACTAAAAGGGTTAAGGTGATATAAAGGGATTTTCTATATATATCAATACGTGGAACACTCGATTGTGGTCCAGGAGAGGAAACCACCCCTTTGTTTTCTTTATTCCCGGGTTTCCGTCCTCGGAATAGTGCGCGGGGTCCATACACTCTCCATGTTCCTTGTAATTTTATTAGCCCGTAAAATCGAGGTCTGGCGAGATTTCGACCGTTTGGCGAGTCTCCCGGCGCGGCTGGTCTCGTCGGTAAATAACAGGTGGCGGTAGTAGTAACCTTGATCTCCCTTTCGCCGATCCGAATGGTCGGGTGAGCTTACTCACTCGGTGGCAACGCGTGAGCGCGTGTCAGCGCGAGTGCCCGGTCGCGCGTAATCGTTCGCGCTAACTGCCAACCCGAAGCACCACGAACTGGTTAACGAGGCGACGGAAATGCTTTGGCCTTCCCGTTTTCGCTCGCCCGAGGGGTTTGCTAGTCCAATGATCCCATCCAGCACAGGGGGTTTGCTGGCTCAATGATCCCATCCAAGATAGAGGGTTTGCTGGCTCAATGATCCCATCCAAGATAGAGGGTTTGCTGGTGTATTAATCCCATCCAGCACAGGGGGTTTGGTGGCTCAATGATCTCATCAGGGTTAAAATACCCGGCGTCACCGCCGCCATCTTGGACATCTCGTTTCTAGCATCATGACGTCATATCATCAAGATACGGCGTGACGTCCCATTTATGTCTTTACGCGGTAGATGTTCACGGTAGAGCGGGACGAAACGCCAATAAGCGACCAGGTAAATCCCGTGAACACTGCCATCGTGCGGTAAGGTTAATAAAAGTAGTACTGGTTGCGCTTGGCACGCGGTAAAGAATCCAAGATGGCGGCCGCTGGTCCACTTCTGGCGTAGTGACACGAAGCGACCGCTTGTTGGATGACTAAAGCGTAAGTCCTGTGACGACTAAACGCGTTACTGGCTGGATTACGAGGGAAAAGGGGATTGAACATCGATGGCGCTGATTTATACGGCGGCCATTTGCATGGTCAATGGTAGCGACGCCTCCGCCGCCTCGGGGGAAAGTTTCCTTCCGTTTGGCCACGGACGCGCTGACCAGAGATATTCGGGTCAAACGGATTTCGGTCTCCTCTCTATCGACCGTGATCGTGCCTCGTCCCCCTTTCCCCGCGTACTCTCTCCTGCTCTGGAGCAGGCCATCGAGTACCGGTTTCGCAAGAGCCGGACAAAGAGGGCGTCTTTTCAAAGATGGCCGCCGAAAATCGGAACTCGAGGAGGAAGAGGGACAACGACCTCTCCTTATTTCTGCAAGTGGAAATCGCTCGGTCGCGTCCTACTCGTGCCACTCGTATAGAGGTTTCCCAGGACTTGAATGCGTTCGTTTATCTAACCTAACCTATCTCGTGGGAGTCGAGGTGGGCGAAGGATAGATACTGCCAGGGTCCAAAGGCGGACCGGAGCGAAAACGAAAGTAGAGGCGAAATTGAGAGTTCGGAGGGAAATCTGGGAAATGATAGTTTGATGGGGAGGGATTACGTATTGTTCTTCGGGATTTAGGTTAGGTGGTCGCGGGGAAGGTCGCCGGTCACCGTCACAGGTGGCGCCGTAATCGGGAGAGAGATGGACAAGGACGAGCGAAGGAGCGACCTCTGTTGGACGTATCGGGGACAGGGCGAAGTGACGACGAACGCCGAAAGAGCCATCCTGGACTTTAAGCGTGAAAACGAAAGTAGGACCGAAAACGAGAGTATCGCCCGACTAGGAATCGGGGGTAATGAGGTGGCCGAGCTTCCCATTCTCGTAACTCGATTTTTGAAATCGGCACTGAAGAGGGATGTCACTCTTGTGAACAATTGCTCACGTCCTCGTCACTCGAGGAAGGTCCATTCAGATTCAGTCAAAAGGCGGAATAAAATTTGAATAAGTAAAGTGCCTTGGGTTTTCTTAAACTCGATGCAAGTCACGACGCCACAACCGAAGCTATCATCTCTGGTCACAGTCGATTATATCATTTGTAGTCGTAGACGAGCCATCGATGGCATAGTAATTAGTCCCGTGAACTTATCCAGGACATAAATCTTCTGTCCAACCTGACGCTTTGGGCTAACCTTCCGTATCGCGAATACCGGTACATTTGCACTTGGCGCGAGACTCTACCAGATCTCTTTCCGTCAATTGGGCAATTCAACGTCCCCATGGAAAAAGCCATGAAACCGAAAAGCGAGATGGCCACGGGCAAGAATCGTTGCCCAAGTGCCTCCGCCATTCGCGCAATCATCTTTTTCTTTTCCGGCACCGTCCGGGAGGCATCCCCGCGGCGCCGGAGCCCCGGGCCCGCGGTGGCGACGCCGCCGTCGGTCCTGGCGCATCGGATGGGTGATGGGTCGCGTCGTCGGAGGCGCGAGTGGGGTCCTCGCTCCTCCGGCCGACCGGTATAAAAGGGGGCCCCCGGACAACGGGAGAGCATCAGTCCTCGAATCAAGGAAAGGCGGTATCATCGGTGGCAGCCAGTAGCAGCACCAGAGGAACCATGAGGGCATTCGTGGTGAGTCCCTACCAAACCCTAGTGACGAGCAAATTCCGTGTTGCTTATTCCTATACAACCTACGTGCCATACGAAGACCATATAAAAGCACTTTTCTCCTTCCTGGGTGTACCGAATGGTTTCGGACTTCACCACGTGAACACGGAGACTATAACTAAGGTCCCGACACCCATGAACTTTCGTTTTTTAATTCTACTATTAGAAAGAAAATGAAAATGTTCAAAGGTCCATAAAGAAATTTTTGGAAAATTTCAAGTCTCATGGGTGGAAGGACCTTTGTTTGTGGTCTTCGTATTCACGTTGTAGTTTGGAACGATTCGATACCCCCTGTACGGAGAAGAGTCTCGGGCCACTTTGATATCACCTTGAGTGCCTTATGGCGTTCTTTGGACCCCTTTAACTCTGACTTCTGGTTTGCAGATCGTGGCGCTGGCCACCTTCGCGTCGACGATGGCGCGCCCCGAAGCCGGGTACTCGTATTCCCAACCTAGTGGGAGTTACGGAGCTCCCGGAGGCGGCAGTCTGGGTGGCGGCCTAGGCGGCCTGGGAGGCGGTCTGGGTGGCGGTCTGGGTGGCGGCCATGGCGGCCTCGGAGGAGGCTTTGGAGGCCTCAGTGGCGGCCATTCCTCCGGAGGATCCTTCGGAGGCACCGGCTTCGGAGGCGGTGGCGGCTTCGGGGGAGGCAGCGGCGGCGGTTTCGGCGGAGGCAGCGGCGGCGGTTTCGGCGGAGGCGGCGGCGGCGGCTTCGGCGGTGGTTTCGGTGGCGTGAGTGGTGGCGGTGGTTCTCTCATCCAGAAGCACATCTACGTGCACGTGCCGCCTCCAGAGGCACCCGAAGACAGGCCCTCCAGGCCCATCGCACCTCCTCCTCCACCCCAGAAGCACTACAAGATCATCTTCATCAAGGCGCCGACCCCACCCACACCCACCGCCCCGGTAATCCCGGCTCTACCGCAACAGGACGAGCAGAAGACGCTCATCTACGTGCTGGTCAAGAAACCCGAGGAGGCCCCAGAGATCAACCTCCCCACGATCGCACCCACTCAGCCCAGCAAGCCCGAGGTCTACTTCATCAAGTACAAGACCCAGGTGAGTCTTCCTTATCAATAATTCACACATAGATACAAGGATTCTTCCCCTAAACCTTACACCACGTCCCTAAAAACTCACGCTTACTCTTTATCACACTTGTACTTGGCGTGAAACTCATTCGAGTTCTTTAATTCTCCTGGTCGTTTCCACCGCGTACGATGAGAAAATAATCGTCAGAGCCAAAGAAATATTTCGAATATTTCAAGAATAATTCCGAATAAATGTTGCAATTTATTCGAGGTTGAGGTAATGAATTATTCTTTGAAGTAACAGAATATTCCTTCGGTCCTCAGGGTATACCGAGTATAAGGCCTCTCGCTCACTTGTCCCATGGGGGACACATACTTGGCGCGAAACTACACATTCCATTTTCTCTGCCACGCGGTTCCATATCTATTCTTGAGAATTAGTTCTTAATTTTTAATATCTTTCCAGAGCGAAGTGACGGGAGGCGGCGGCGGCGGTGGTGGCGGCGGCATCATCGGCGGCGGCGGCGGCGGCATCATCGGCGGCGGCACCGGCGGCGGCGTCGGCATCGGTGACGGCCACGGCGGCGGAATCGGCGGCGGAATCGGAGGCGGAATCGGAGGCGGAATCGGAGGCGGAATCGGAGGCGGACATGGCGGAAGCATCGGGGGCGGCACCGGGCCCAGCGGACCCAGCTCGAACTACGGACCCCCCGGAGCATCCGGACCCTACTAGTCAATTCGTCCCACTTCGACCTCCGCCCTTCATTCTCCTCCCCGAGGGTCGCGACACACCCCCCACGACGATCCACTCGGTGAATCCCCCGCGAAGACCCCGCACCACCCACCGGGGCCCTGCGGCCCCCCACCCGGGGGGCCCGTCCCCCCCAGGCCTCGCGCGCCCCCGTCGTCGCGTCGGCCTGTGCGGCGCCGACGCCGACGACGACGGCCTCGCGACCTCCCTGACGACGGCCTAGACCGCCCTGACGACGACGAGATTTCTCGCGATCACGATGCCCACGAGCTTAATCTTAAGAACGACGACGAGGAGTTTTTTATACCTATTTTTGCAAGAAAACGGTGGCGAAATAAAGCTTTTTTTATGTATTTTTACATAATCCCAGAAGTTGTTAATACACGACCCGAGCCGGGGAAATAGTTCTAACGCGCGCTTAAGGCGGTGAGGTAGCCGGTCGAGTCGAATGTGCCAGTTTTCTTGAAAAGTCTTCAAGAGAACTGGCGGATATTTTCGGACATGACTCGGGCATGCCTGACACATGTCCCTACACTCCCAAAATATTGAATCGACGTGTGCGTGGAATTGCCGCGCGGTACTTCTGGAAACTCGGTAGAGTTTCACGCCAAGTATACACAAGTGCGTACGTATTGTAGGTACTTTACAGTGTATGGCTCTTCTGCGGTTTCTCCGGCGAGAGTCGCGAGTCCTCGCACGCGGTTTTCTCCCACGCTCGCGGAAGACCCGCGCCAGGAAGCCGGCGATGACTGTAAACGAGCGCAAATGAAGGCGGATAACGAGCGTGGGGGAAACGGAGACTTTCGCTGGGGCTTCGCCGAGGACGCGAGGATGCACACGCGGCCTCCTAATGGCGGTGAGGAAAGGGAAAGGGGAGAGAGCCCTCGAGGCAACTTTCTCGGGAACGACGAGAGTCTTCCTCGATTCCGGTGAGCCGTCGATGAGCTTTGCCGGAGGCGTGAAGAGGCGGAAGAGGACTTTCGAAAGGTCACTCGCCGACCTGCTTAGGGGTTTCTATAATACGGTCCACTCTAACACCGAGTCTCGTGTTTTCTCCGACTTCTTCTTTCCATGGAGTCGACTCTAGACTTGCGTAACTTTCCCAGGGGGAATAATGCGGATTTTTGGACGAGGTCTCACGGCTTCGAGTCAATGGCTCGCGCAATGAGAACCAATAGCCAGAAAAGAGCGATATTCCCCCCGACGCTTTTCCGCCAGTTTCTCGGCATTCGGCGTTCCTCAACATTAACATCAAGATTTGGAGGATATCTGGAAAAACAAGCTCAACGTCAGGACAGGGCAAAAGTTCATGCATTCCGTAAATGTTTTAGGGAAGTCAAGAGACTCGGTAGAATTTCCAGCCAAATACATTTGTGTTTCAAGTATTTCACGTTTGGTACCCTCGTTTAAGTTGTGTCGAGTAGGTGAAGAAAATTGTGGCACAATGTCCTGTGGGACGAGAAAGTCAAGGTCGCCGAGGGCTTTAACACTCTCGACCCTCCGTGGAAAATATCCGGAAAACCGTTAGGCTTCTATAGTCCGAAGGTTCACCTTGAAGTACACTAAAAGGTACTAGATTAACAAAGTTTACCCCCACCGTCCATCACAGGATTACTTTGGTTGGCAATTTCGACCGTCCAGAGGAACGGACGCGGTCAGTTTCGGTTTGGACATTGACTGCTTCTTTTTCTTCTGGTATATTTGTCGGAGCATACATCTAGAAGAGAAGCCAAAATGGAGCCGTCGATCACCCGAGCTGCACCTGTAAGGTAACACGTCCTGTTACCTGTAAGGTAACACGTCCATGTTAAAAATCAAGTGACACGAATTCCTACTCTTATAAATACTCGGTAAAAGATTGCCATTAATTTTAACCCGAGGCCCCGGTCGATTCACCTTTTTTACCCGTCGTATATATTACACCTCGATGAATGGAATCCTTACCCAATTAGCATAATTCCGACCATCCTCTATTCATGACAACGAGTACAGAGACTTCTAGTGCGTTAAAATGACATAAGCAGTCTCGACGAAGAAACGTTATTACAATTTTCTTCTGAATTATTTTCTTTACATTGCTTTACGTCCGTTATCCATTTTTAAATCAGGGGAAGTCGAAGGGCCGGTATAATTCCAATTAATGTGAAAGTATCGCATCGCGCGTCCGACTCCGGTTTAAATCCATGGAAATCCAAGGGTCGGGATAATTCTAACGAATGAACAGCATCGTGTATCCATTACTGAGATCCAGTCGCCGAGGATGTTTCCTGCCCCCTCTTCGCCCTGAAAAAAAAAAAAAAAAAAAAGAGAGAGAAAGAGAGAGATGGATACACTTCTAAGAGGTGTTTTCAATACAGCCGTGATTAAAAAAAAAAAAAAAAAAGAAAATGAAGTAAAAGTGAGAGAGAGGCATGGGGTCCAGCGAGTCGGATTTGAGTTTGAGAAATAGAAAATCCGAAGGAAAGTAGCGACGTTCCCGGGTGATGAGCCTCGTAGAGGACTGCCTTAAGAGGGATCATTGACCGCGACCGGACCGGAGGAAACTCCTTCTGAACGCGCTTTCCCCGACCCGCGACCGATCTGAACGAGTTACGTCTTACGTTAACGTTGCCAAGCCGAGACACGTCATTCTACATAGCCCGCGGCCCGTGGTTTCGAGTAATTGCTCGCTTTTTTTTTCACGAAATCGAGACGCGAGTGCTAGATTTCACAACGCGCTTTCCGCGAACCTCCGCGATATTACACGATCTTGCGCACGTATCTACGTATTATGTCATACTCCACGGCTGAACGCGTCTCAAATTTAGACACTAATTTGCCCATCTATTGTTCGCACTCCTCGGATGTGAATTTGGCGTGTCGTCATCGGGTCTGGATGCGGCGGAGAAGTTCGCTTTCCCAACGTATGTTTTAACGTATATTTCATGCCCATGTGTTTTATTATTCGATGTGTTGGTCAATTTATTTATGCACTTACCGTCCACGGGTAATGCAGTTACGTAGAAGTGGCAAAGTTAACGGAGGAAACTCGATTGGTAAAAGTTTGAACGGTGATGCGTTCCTCGATTGTTTCTCGTTACCGTTGGTAGGTTATTCAAACTTTCTAAACAAAGCTTCTCCAGAAGACGGTTAACCGGATATATCTCTACAATAAATTCGAGAATGGATAATTTCTATATATATGTTAAAGTAGTTATCTTTACCATGAGTCGCCATCCTCAAACATCTGACTATCCACTGCCATACCAGCCGACTCCATGTTAATCCCCAAACGTTCAAAACATTGAAAAACAAAGTCATTGATAGTCAATATTTCCAAGCGTCGTCATTTTGGATAATACGAGTCATGGCAATAACCTAAGATCGTTAATTTCTTTTCATAATTCTGTTAACAAGATTTAAAAAACGTTTAAATTGGCCACGCGCCATTAACGGGCGTCGCTCTGGTGGCGCCATCCGTCGGGCGGCGGGCGAATCACCTACCGCGCTACCTCCCACGAAAGCACTCTCCTATATACGCCGCCCCTCCAGCGTCGACGTATACTCGCAGGCGGGCGTATATGGCACATCGTGTGCCGTCGTATCGAGTGACGAATACGAGTCGCCGCCATTCGCGCGGTCGGCGGCGCATGCGCAGACCTTGTTTACAACTGCGGAGCTTAACCGTACACACGCATGACCTTTCCAAGATGGACACGAACGCCTATTTTATTGCCTAGCGTGCGCGCTCGCGAGACTCGTGTCGTCCGAAACGCGTCGTCCTGTGGTGTCCAGCCCTGAAGGACGAGATTCCTTCGGGAAGGATTGCTCGAACGAGCGGGAGGAAGGCCGAAGAGGAGCTCGCGTTTAGCCCCAGACGCCGAGGGACGCCCTGGGGCGCCTTAGGGCGCCTCGCCTCGCCTCGCGTCCGCCCGAAAAGGTCCAGCAACCTCGAGAGGTCTCACCGGGTCCCGTTCTCCGCCTTTCCGACGTCCCGAAGGCGCGATCGCACCAGGGAACCCTCGTTCTCGACGGATTCGCTGCTGGCCACTTCCTGGGGCACGCAGGCGACGTCCACCTGCCGCGCCAACGACTCGCTTGCAGGTAAGAACCTGAAGCGTTGTCAGAAAATTTCGTCCTCTCGGATGGAATTTTTATATTACGTGTATAGAAAACGTATCTCTCCTCGGTAGGTCTGTTTACGTCCTGAGGAAACTCGAGGCCGCGCGGGAAACGGGATCTGGATGAAGTAGAGAGACCGTCGAGGGATTCCGAGAGGTCTCGACTGCTGTTGAATCGATGCCTGATTTTTGGAAAGTGGATCGTCGAGTCGAGAAAGAAACTTGGCTGGAGAGCAGAGATTTTTAACCTGTTTACTCGGGGTTATCGGACTGTGTATTTAAAAAACATACCTGTCCTTGACACGTGTCTGTTTACGTCCGAAGGTGATCGAAAGCGAGCGTGGAATGGATTGTGCCGGGGTTTGTTGATCGTAGATGGATGGGAGAGTTTTACAGTTGCCTCTGGGTGCTTTTATTGACATTGTCAAGCGTTACTTGCCGCATGAAGAAGTACTGCCAATGCGGTTGCCTTATTTCTGAATTAACTCTTACTACGGATGCGAGATCGGCCTTCGAAAAGTGGATGGAAAAGGATGCGATAGGATAAATCAGGGAATTATAGCGTAGAGGTAACTCAAGAGAAAATGGGACACTTTACTCGCCCGTGGGAGCGAAGAGGAAACTGTAAGAGTAACCGACTGTCCTAAGTCGTGGGAAGCCAATTTTTAAATTCGAGACGCTTGTCTCTCGAACTGGACGACTTTGTCCAGAGAGTGCCGCACTTCCGGTGCTCTGTGTCACTTTTTACCAGTTGTAATCTAAAACGTTACAACGGGTTTCCTAACAACACCGGCGATGTCTTCGAGCAGGAGTCCGGTTTCTCCCTCGGGAGGACCCGTGGTTCGTAGCGGACACCTCCGGAAACTAAAGACTTTGAAAAAGAAATATTTCGTTCTCCGGGGTGAAGGCCCCGGTTATCCAGCTTGCTTGGAGTATTACGACAGCAAGAAGAAGTTCGAAAACAAGCAACCCCCCAAGAGAAGCGTTTCGCTGCATAGCTGCTTCAACATCAACAAGCGCAGCGATACAAAATACAAGCATGTCATAGCTCTCTACACGAAGGACGAAAGCCTCTGTTTGATTCTTGACAATGAGAAGGATCTGGACGAATGGTTGAACGCTATGCTCCTTTTACAGAGTGGAGACGTTCCTGATGGCGAACAACCACGTCCCACTTTTGGTAAACACTTTATCCTTTAACACGAAAATATCCTTTCGGTGTGACGTATATTCTAACCGTTGTGTGCAATTTAATTCTCAGAGCATGTCTGGCAAGTCACGATGCAGAAGAAGGGACTCGGAGAGCGCAAGAACATCCACGGTCCGTACAGACTCTGTCTCACCGATCGAACCCTGAGTCTTGTCAAGATCGGAGCAAAGGACAACGCAGACTCCATCGAATTCTCTGTGAGTTTATGACATCGGTTATAATTATTACCACATGGAAATTAAGTAAAATTATATGAGACTTTAAGAAAAACGCTTATCTCTTGTGGATAAAAATATTTAATTTCCGTTCGAGGGTTGATCCACAGACAACGCATAAATCGTCCTTCCTTTCCTCAGCTGATCTGCATAAGACGTTGCGGCTACATGGACCGGATATTCTACATGGAAGTCGGACGCTCGGCAGTCACCGGCGGCGGAGAGTTCTGGATGGAGGCGGAGGACAATAACATCGCCCACAACATGCACGCCGCCATCCTAAACGCCATGAGTAATTCGAACAGCAGCAAGGACGAGGTCGGTCCGCGACAGAGGATGCGCAGCTCGTCGGCAAACGAGGCGAGCAAGCCCATATCCGTCCTTCAGCGTCGACACACCGGCCAGAAGGTCCATGGATTTTCCCCTCTAGGTAAGAGTCGGCGCTTCCCCGCGTCCGATGTACCCCTGAGTGTAGAGCCAATCGCTGAAAAAGAAATCTTGGTCGCGAGGACATATCCTAGCCGACACCGAGCTCGTAGTCAGTCCGGCTTGCGAACAGGACTCGGTGGTCGCTCGTCGTCGGGTTCGACAAATCCTTCGAAGTATCTCCTCCGAGTGCCACCAAAAATCGGTATCTTAGAGGTGCACTCGGACCACTCGATATTTCTCGCACTCTTCCCTCGCCCTGGAGAGGGCCTTTCAAGAGGCTCGATAGAGTCCCGCGCCAAATGCATATATATGTCCGTACAAGTGTCGCCAAAATCGATGATTAGAGGTGCACTGAGATTACTCGATACTTCTCGCCCGCTCCCCTCGCTCTGGGGAGTGCGACATCTTGTCAAGAAGCTCGGTAGAGTTTCGCGCCAAGTGCATATATGTCTTATTATTAGTGCGAAGCGTTACAAGCATAGGCGCGACACGGTCATAGAGTAACACACGTGGGTTACGGGGTTTACAGAGGAACGGAGGAGCCACAAGGAGCAGGCGGACCCGTTGCGGGAGCAGAACGTCACTGCCTCTGCCCCTTCACAGAGTACTCGATCACAGAGTACACCCTCTTCCGATTCACTCACGGGTCTGTTTTCTCTCACAATAGTCATACACTTCTCTCTCTGTCTCTGTCCTCTTTCTTTCTTTCTGTTGTCTCTTCTCTGTATCGCGCTGTCCGGTTCCTCTTCGTCACCCTCGCTACTTTCCTCTTAAGAAGGAGTTCTCCGATGCCCTCCTCTCGCTCTTTTATGGGTCGCTTCGATCCCTCAAACCCCTTCGAGATCGATATTAAATTAATTGTACGTGATATTGGACAAAATATTTCTCTGATGAATTTTTTTTTTTTTTTCCCAATGCAAAGTTGATAACAGTCGCTGCTTTATGTAAGAATTATTTTCCCGCAAATAATTGCAAAGGGTGCAATGGTTGTATACGGTTAAATATAATTGATCTGTATTTTCAATGTTCATCGATCTCGAATGGATCATTTGCATTGTCTCCTTGGTATTGACCTATGCTCCTCCGCGACGTCCTGCCTGGGTAATGTATCTTTTTTTTTTATATATATATGTATAATTTAGCGGTCAATTGTCGCATGTCGCTTCGGAGCATATCTCAATATGGAAGTATGGGAAAATCCGAAAGCTATTTCATAACGCTGGGCCCACCTTGGTCGCGGGTGTTCATGTGTATATACGATCATGCAATCCGAAAGGGGAATTCTAAGGTCCGTGCCTCGCTTTTAGCGTTAAGGTGGGGTGAAAGTGCCGAGGTTTCGTCTTATAACACTTTTCTCCTAACTGGGTGCACCGAATCGTCGGAAAATTTGCCACGTGGACGTGGAGGCCCTAAGGAAGGTCCCTTCACTCATGAAATTCCACATTTTACAAATGAATTCCCCAGGACAATTGTATACATCTCATGGGTGTTCGGACCATTATTAGTACCCTCACGTCGACGTCAGATTTCAAACTATCTGAGAAACATTAAATTCAGAGAAAAGTTTTAGAAACAAGACCACTTTCATACCGCCTTAAAGTTCCCCAGGGTCCGTTCTCATGGTTTATTGTAAACTTGCGATAATGCGACACAGCTCTATCACGTTGAAAAGTAGATTTGACATTTCGCTCTTAAATACGTGTATTTAGAAACAACTGTGTTACTTAACGCGCCATGGGAACGGGCCCTAAGGCTTCTCACAGCTACCAGGAGGCCCGATGGGTCCATCCTGAGAGTAAAAAACGTCGAAATTTACTTTCACTCCGGCCTAGTCCATCGCGGGCATTCCTCGACGAGTCGTGGAAACTAATGAAAATGGGACCAGGAATGCTCCGTGGCAGCATTATTATTTTTATTTTGATTTTATTTTTTTTCTCCACGATTCGTCGAGATGGCTTCGGGAGGTTATCCTCGATGGACTCGGCTGGCTCTGGGACAGTTAGAGAGGGCTGGTATGTGGTTTACAGTTGTCGCCGGTACCGCCGGAAGCGGCGCTCCTGGTGCTGGCCAAATTGGAGGCCCCTTCTCCTCGCCCAAAGTCGCCAACGGTGCGAATAGACGTCGCCACTCGGTAGCCAGTCATCCCCATTCCGCAAATTATTCCCAATCCGCTCATCTCACCACAAGTACAACTACAACAACAACTACAACTACAACTACAACTACAACATCGACCACCACCGCCACCGCAACAACCACAACCACAACCGCTACAATATCCCATCAGAGAACCCTGTCGCTGCCCCTAGCGGCTGTTGTTATCGGTCAATCGCAATCTTCCAAAAGATCGGTTTTACGCTGTATGTATTTTCGTTCCATCACGCATAATCGTTTTCAAATTGTCCGGGATTTGTGCGAGGGCGATGTAACCGAGAATGGCCACGGTTGTTTAAAAATTCCCTGTTGGGTTTTAGAGAACTCCAGGAGGATTTATTTTTCATGTAACTATTACAACGGTGTTTATTCAATTTTCAGGGGTTTTTCTTAAATGTTATTGTGTACCGTTCGGCAGAGAAATTGGACCCCGTTGATTTGTCATTACTGCTTTTGCAGTGATTTTTTTTTTATTTCTCTAGTTTGCGACGATACTTTTATCTCGAGTGTATTAAGGAAACATCCAGTTCTCGTAAATTCCCAGGGAATTTAATAATCGGTTATATTCTCGTTCTCGGTTATATTATCCGGGTAATATGACGCACTAAATACTCTAATCACGCCTCGATCTATCTCTGTCGCTCATACCTCCACCTTCGCTCTCACCCTCTTTGTCTGACCGATTTTTTTCTGGCTCCCATGGGCCGATTGTTAATTACTTTTCCTCTTTGTTCTCACTTCTTTAATCTTTATTCCTATTGTTACTTTCATCTTTCTATTCGCATCTCGCTCTTCCCTTATTTTTAATACACTCTTCGGTTTCGTTCCTCCCCGTTTGTTATTGTATTGGCTTCGTCCGACGATGGCGGTACTTTTCTTTCTAGCGGGAGTTGCTCTGCCTCGAATTGCCGAATTTTGGGATTGCCTGCCCTCTCGATTGTCCTAAGGAAGCTTGCATGTCGCGGTGGGGACGAGCCACGGGGAAGATGCCGGAAATTTCGACTCTCGAGGGTTGGATACTCGACGAAAGGGTCTCCCCCGGGTTATTTATCCGTAATTCTTGGTTTTCTTTTCGTTTCCGGCCTGGCCGAGGCCTCCTGGATGGACGTTGCTTGCTTTCGAGCCATGCGCCACCCGATTGCAGTTCGAAATGCACCGATCGCACCCACCTCAGGAATTCCCGCGCGAATTCCTGGGCCTGATCGCGACATTTCTCCGTAACTCCGGTTCCCCGACCTTCTCTGGACGTGAACAAATTCAGAGGTTCGATTTCGACTCGAAAGACGCGTTCCTAGGCGGAGAAATCCCGAAAATCGTCGTCGCGATGCGCCGCCATCTTGCCGCGTAAGAACACCAAGAACCCCGTCTCGCTCCTCCACCTTGCACGTTCCGTTTCGTTCCTCGATTTTCGATTTTCGATCGGACAACGAGTATGCGCGTCCGTCCAGAGTGTCAGGCCTCAGCTTTCTCTCGGCAGCTTCCTGCGCTCTTCCTCGTCGACGCGCCTTCTCCTGGTCGACGACGCCTACCTGGTCGAATCACAGCGCGGGGGCCGCTGTGATCGCAAGAATAACCGCAATAACCGTAACCGGGATCGCGATCTGTACTAACCTCTTGCTATGCCGGGAGGATCGGAGCGTGCTTACTTTCCCCCAGGGGACGACGTCGTGCCCGAATAACCTTCTGCTGGTCTTCCAGGTACGAGTGGGCGAGACAGGTGCGACAGTTTGCCGTCCAGGGCGCGCACCAGCAGCAGCAGCGAGGGCCACCCCACGGTGGCCGTCCTGGCACACCCCAGGGCGCCTCACCTGGTGCCCCACGTACCCAGGCCGCACTCCATGTACGGTCGAGGTCTCTCCTACTCGCCCCCGGTTTCCTCCATGCCCATCAGTCCCGCTTCCGGCGCCTGCTCCACCGACTCTGCAGGATCCTCTCTCTCCATGGACGACGCCGCCACCGATGGCAACCTCGAAGAGGGGCCTGCCTCAAGATACGGACACTCCCTCACCCCCGATGAACCCGTCATCCTGGAGGAGAACGGCGACGACTACTCATCCTGGGACGTCGCTCAGCACAAGCACTCCCCCAACTTCAAGTCGCACTCTCCCTCCCAGGTAACTGTCTCTCCTTCCTGGAGGAGATTTACCTGAATTAGACGTGGAGGATCGGTCGAACCCGAAGAGCTAAATTACCCGATTTTCCAGCAAAACTCCTACGTGGACATGTACAGTCCCTGCGGCTCGAGTCCAGGTCGCGGAGGCGCCTACATGCCCATGAGCCCTGCCACGACGGCTCACTCGCACTCCAGGGCCTCCTCCTTGGTCGAGGAGACCAACACCTTGCCGGATGGGTACGTGCCCATGGGCCCCGTAGGAGACGACGGATACGTCGACATGGACCCCGCCAACCCTCACAACGGCCACTTCCCGGACGACATGTCGCAGCACGACGGTAGCAGCTGCTCGGTCACTTCCGGGACCCCCAGCACGGATCTTCGGTTCTCGGAGTACCACCTGGACAAGGTCACCAGCTTCCTACCTCCTGGGGAGGACCTGCAGGCCAGGCCCACCAGAGCCTATTCCGTGGGCTCCAGGCCGGAGCCGGCGAACAGACACAGGAAAAACAGGTCCGTTGGAGACTGCTTTAAGTTTGGACACCTGTGACATTTCATTTTTTAATAAAAAGTCTCGGTGTGGGCAAATCTAACGACCCCTTCTTTTCAGATTGGACATCAGTCAACCGGAGGCCAGCAGGGTGCGCGCCTTCTCCGTAGGCAGTCGCTCTAAGAGGCCGGAAATGGGTCGACTGGCCAACGTGGTGACCGCCCCACTTCCGGCAGGCTCGGAGAGCTCCAACTCGAAGTCCAACTCGGCGCCGCTGCTGTCCAGCTCCTGGGGCCACAACTCCGGGTGTTCCGGGGCTTCCGAGCGCATGGAGGACCTCATGGAGCTCGACTTCACCAGGCCGACCGTTCCCACGACCGTGTCGTCGCCGCCCTCGTACTCGCAGTCGCAGTCGCAATCGCAATCGCAGTCGTACCCCACTGCCACCGACACAAGTTCCTACGTCGACATGTCCCCAGGACAACCGCCGGTATCCAGCATCGCTCCCTACGTCGACATGAGCGGCATGAACAAGGTCATCATTTCTTGCAGAATGAAAAAAAAAAAATAGTCGCTAATTGTTCTTAAGTTTACTTAAGGGAAATTAGGTTAAGATATTACTCGTACTTATTTATACTATGCTCGTCTGCGCAGACCAATCGAAACAACAACAACAATAACACCAGCACTGCCAACCACAACCACAACCACGTTCACGTGTCCTCGTCTGCATCCGGACTCAAGCCGGTGATCACGACGTTGAAGCCCGTCGAGGAAGCCGAAGGGCCGTACATGAGGATGGACGGCGCTCTGGAGGATTGGCCTAGGACCGGGACGAGTCCCAAACAAGTTCCCTCTCCGCTTCAGGATGACTATATGCAGATGAATGGACCTCCGGGTAAGATGAATAATAATTTATTTATTTATCTTGGTACGGCCTATATCGTAACGACGAGACGCGTTCCAGGAGGCACGAGAACGGCGCCAGTGGACCTTCCTCAGCCCAGACGTCCTCCGGATGGCTACGTCGAGATGTCTTTCAAGACGCGTCTCCCATTGGAGCAGGACTACATAAACATGAACATGGGTCCGGGTTCTCGAAGCCATCGAAGGACCCGGGGCAACACCCGGAAGGAGAAGTCGCGTTCCCAGCCTATCGCCATCCAGGCTGGGAACAAACCCACCAAGACGCCATGTTTCCTCCCCCTGAATGGCAGTCCGACCTCGGAAAGCCTGGCCAGCACCCCGGCATCCCCTCCTAGAGCGACCCCGACAGGATCCTCGGCAACGATCTTTCCATTCTCCCTGAACAGCCCCCAGTCTCCGGTGAAGCCATTCGCGGCGCGCGAGGACCCCGCGAAGAGCTTCCCCAAGGACGTCGAAGTCTCCCCCGAGGGCGACTACGCCGTGATGGGAGGCGAAGCGACCTCCACGGGGAAGCCCTCGGCATCCGGTGATCCCCAGGTCGCCGCAAGCTCCCCTTCGAGGAGGAACAACGAGGAGCTGCCTGTAACGACCTCTAAACTCGAAGAGACGCCGCCGAAGACCTCCACGAGCGAACCCCTCGCTTCCAGGGACCAGGATCATCCTCTGGGACCGTTGACGAAGAGGCTGTCCGATTTGTCGGTCTCTAAGCTCCCGAAGCTGGTCACCGCGTCGCCCACCACGAGTCCGACGCCCTCCGGGTTCAAGCCCGTGCAGCAGGGTAAGCCCTCGTCACCGAAAGTCCCCAGCGAGGATACTCCCACCCCGACTCCCACTCCCACTCCCACTCCGACGCCTACACCCACCCCGACGCCTACTCCGAGTCCTCTGAACTGTGAAGGGTATGAAAAGCTGCAACCTGGGGCGACTATCCTGCATTATGCTAGTTTGGATCTCCCGGAGGTCGGAGGCGCTCCTCCCGTATCGCCGACTCCTCTTCAGGAAGGATTCTGCTATGCGGAGATTGACTTCGCGAAACTCAAGCAACAGAATTGAGATGGGGACCCTGAAGACGGAGAGTGGGAGGTGGAGGTCGTGGAGCAGGCTCTTTGAAGCCTAACTCAAGCAACTGAATCGAGATGGGGATGCTGGAGGTGGAGGTCATACAGGAGGCTCTTTGAAGATTGTCTTGCCCCAGGATCCGCTGCGTGGATGAGACACCTTGAAGACTCTGGGAGGATCATGGCTTGAGATTTTGCATTTCGAGGAAGACTATGTGGTTCTCGGCCAGTCATCTAAAATCCAGGATCCTCGACCTCAACTTCAAGGCCACTGTTCCTGACTATCGGAAAGTCTCATTGCGGCTTCGAATGGATCTCGGACTTCACTCTCTCAGCCTGTATCAGAACACATGAAATCGACGGAACGTGCCGAAGCCCACCACGATGTCCGATTGTCTACTAACTACGAGGAAGATGAAATTACAAGACTTCGGGAATGAAGAAGACATAATCGAGGCAATCAAGACCAGGACAGCAAGATTCAGCCTAATCAACAAGGATTCCATGCAGTATCAGAGTGGGATTCTCATGAAATTGACTCCGAAAAAGTCCCTAGTGATCGAGACGGAAATTCCAACATGGCGTCGCTGGTGCGCTTCTCTCGATCACCTCGGTTTTGAAAACACTCAGGGCGCGAATTTCAAATGTCGGCACTGCTTTTCATGCGTCCGATAATTTCGAACGGTTCCTCTTAATCATGTTCAATCACTATCTCGTTGGTTTTGTGTTCACTTTCGTGCATTTTAAGGTCGTAAAGGGATAATGTTGCGTGGGTTCTGTAGAGATGTGTAAGGTCAATCGTGCGGGAAGATCATCTTCGACAAAATGTTGGAACTTTGGATTCGACGTTGTCGGAATTTGGAGCGACCTAGAGTCGCCTGTAAATAGCCAGTCTTCGAATCGTCCTAATTTCCTTCTCCTTTTTTTTTGTTTTTGTTTCTCTTTTCCTTACTTTGCTTTTCCTTACGTGGGGATTCGCTCTCGCGTAAGCTCGGTAGAACTTCCTTTTTTATCCGCTCCGCGCGGAGGGGCGCTGCTCTCGCGTTTCCCGTGATTGGGCAGAACTCGGAAGAATCAGAATGCCGGGACAGGGGAAACGCCCAATCACCGAGAGGTATATAAATATATAAATATATACATACGTATGCGTTATGCCGCGCTTTTTCGTATAAATTATAAAACCGCCTGGATACCTTTCACTCGAATTTGACTATACATATATACATACGAGAACCTTTTAACTATAAGTAATTATATAAATATATAAATATATATATATATAATGCATATATGAAGTATGATGATAGTAACGATAATGATTAATAACAATAAACGTATAGTATAAAATACAGCGTTCTTCGGATTTTTGCAGTAGCGATCCTCTTAGGACATTTTTAAAGGATGTGCTCTAAATGTTTTAAGCTGCGATGAAAATTAATAAGATCTTTCCAGAGAATTCCATAGAATGGCGAACGTGCGCCGCCATCTTGGATTTCCTTTTCGTGCTTAAAAAAGGGGCCGTAGGGTCTTTTATACGTTTTCAATTGTGTGTACTGTTTTCAAGTGGCAGAAATTTCAAGACACGCGAATCACCCGGTATATTACACGGCAAGGCGTGAATGCGTAAACGCGTCATAAGTGACAACATCGAGCTCGCATCCTTTCGCAGTTCGCGGCCAACTTTCGTTCCTCAAATAGCGTTATCGTCCAGTTTGAGAAATTTCGCGTGGGCCCGCGCGAAGGCCGAATGGCGAGCTCTCAAATGGGTCTTCCTGCATTTAAATTTGCATACCGGATCGTCATAATGCGCGATACGTGTCACTCGGCCGTGGTGGTCTCAATTTCTGCTGCTCTTACATAACAATTAAGTACGTTTCGCAGGATCGGACCGACAAAGTTCCAGAAAGTTCCGAAATTTTAATCCCAAATTTATAAAACGACTAGCCACCTACATGAAGATGCACTAAACATTCATGTATACCTTTTTTTTTCTTTCGCGGGTTTCCTCATTTTTGCCCAGCACTGGACAATTGATTAAACTCGTCGAGGTCGGTCTTGGGAAATGGGTCGGCGAGTTGATTCGCGCATCGTCATATTTCCAACTTAACCCGGCTGTCACGCATACGTTAAACGGGGAATAACAAATAATATTGCATTTAACATCAGCTTATGTTAAAATCACCCTAGATAAACGAGAAACGGCCAGAAATACGGGCAATTCTTCGAGGCGGCAACGATGAGCGTGGCGGCCATCTTGGATTCGTCGATGACCTGTTCGACAAAAAAATTTCAAACGACTTTACGAGATTTCGCGAATGGCAATTAGTGTAAAATTACCAGAATTCGAAGCGTTGCACCTTAGACTAGTATAATTTAACTGGATACGCGGGATCACGGGGATTTTTTTAGCGAAAATCATTCGGCAAACGCGACCCCAGTTCCGATTCAAAATGGCCGCCACGCTCCATGTCATGTGACGCGCACCACTGAACGATACACTCGTACCACTAATGTATACAAGATTTTTTATTAATCCACGTTAAAATAGGCCTTGTGGTGACCTTAAGATCAATAGAATCTCTCCGCCATTCGAGAAGGTTACGTCGTGCACGCGAATTTAGCATAACGTTCGCCGAATCGATCACGAAATCCAAGGTTACCTGCCTTCAATCGAGGCCTCAGTCTCGAGAGGAGTGCAACTCGTATCGAGTCCATCAAAACTAAGCTTTCATCTTTTACCTCTGGAAGGAGAACGCGTCATTGTGCACCTTGTTCTTACCGTTAGAAATTAGAATGATTAGGACCAGTTAGACAGTCTTGCGCGGACGAGGTGTTCGACGAGGCTCTTTATATTATTTAAGTCTGACTCTTTGAATTAGGGAAATATCTTAAAGGTTCATTGAAAATTTTTCCTTCTCAGGGTACATCCTTATATATCCCTGATTTCCCCTGGGTTGATCGAACGGAAAGGTCGCGGCCCGCGACCTCGAGGACTCCGCCGCTTTCCGTTGGATCGGTAACCGCGAGTCACAGGGGAATTATAATTATCGGTGACGCGCCAAAGTCGCGGAGCGCAGGGGAGGGCGAGTTCCTTGGTCCCGCCAAGGCGTGGGCGCAGGAGGGTGCGCGGTCGAGGGAGGGGGAAGAGGGGGCGTCCCACCGGCGAAGACGAACGCCGCTCAGTTGGTCGCGCGACTCCGGTCAGTTCGGATCGTTCGTGCGCTCTCACGGCTTCTCATTTCGCCCAAGGACCGCCGGCGCCCTCGGAAGCACGTCATCTCTTCGGTAAAAAAGAACCCCAGTGTTACATTCTTGTCTAACGGGACTTCTGCCTCCTAAAAAGGCAAACACGCCGCGAGGTTAAGAATGACGCGACGAAAAACCGGAACTTATTTATTCACGCGGCGAGTTCGCCGAGTTAAGCGACGGCGAGCCCGGCCGACTCTGGGACGGGTGAACGTCGGAAATCGATCTTATAATCGCCCCAGGATATATATACATTCCATGATTCCACGGGTTTAGTGCCAAAGTGACAACGATTTATATACATCTAATACGATGGTGCAAAGTGAAGGCCAGGAATTACATAATGTATATAATTAAATCCACAGGATTTATATTTCGGAAGTCGGGAAGAGGTTAGGTCGCGCGCCGAGAGTTTTGAATGTTTGCCGGTGCAGGTTTTTTTATTATGCAGTATGGTATTTATTTCGGAAGGTCAGAATGGTATTTATTTTCGAAGCCTGTGTTTAGTTTGACTTCTTTCTGCCTTATCTTTGGTTTTCTGGTTTTTTTAGATTTGTTAAGGAACTTTTTGGGGAGTAATCTCGAGGGGATCGGAACGCGTGCGAAATGGCTGCTGGCCGTTTATTCGATTCGTGCCAAGGTGACGACTAGCGGAACGAGTCCACGGTAGCGGGAAAAGAAATTGATCGTCACCCACGGAAATTCTAGGTGGTTTATCCCCGGTCTGCGACACCTCGATAAGCGCCATTTATGCGACCCGTAGGACGCATTTGCAGTTAATGGCACTCGCGCGTAGACATTGCAGACCACTTTGTACCGAGAGAACGGTCGTTGACTTTGTCGCTAATTTTTCCTAAGACCTCCAGAATAAGCATTGAACTTATAAGACCCTTCTGTAACACGTTAATTAACTCTAAGGATATGAAAATTAATTATTAACCAAAGAGACGCGACGCGTTTGCGGTTAATGGCCCTCGCGCGTAGACATTGCAGACCACTTGTACCGAGAGAACGGTCGTTGACTTTGTCACTAATTTTTCCTAAGACCTCCAGAATAAGCATTGAACTTATAGGACCCTTCTGTACCATGTTAATTAACTCTAAGGAGAAATTAAAATTAATTATTAACTAAAGAGACGCGACGCGTTTGCAGTTCGTATTGTTGAGTGTAGGCACGTATGAACGCTTTTTTACAGGGAGAACGGTCGTTCACTCGATGACTCATTTTTTTCTAAACTGCTCTAAAATGTACATTGAACTTAACGGACCGCTCTGTTACGTCAATCATTAACTACATAATAATTAATCTATAATTTCCCTCCTCTATGTAGATTCATCTCGCACCTGAGACTGCAGTCTGTGCGGCGTTCCGTTAATTTTCTATCTAACCATTAATTTAATATCTGAACTATTTTATTTGACGAAACGTCTCCATTATCTCACCCATTAGTCGTTAACCCGGTTAACTGGATTAACGTTATTTCCTATGTGAAGACCCCATTCATCGTCTCGCATTCGGGGACGCATCCCTAACATGTATCGGGCATAACTTGTGCATGGTTTTCAGATAACTGGAATCGTTATTGCATTCCACGTACAAGTTAAAGAGCCTCTTTTTACCCGCGCAATCACCCAGCCCTGACCGGCGCGACGAACGTTCGTCCCTGTAATAACCATTTAACGTTATATTTTCTTACTCGAGCCTTTTTGTTTTATTGTCGAGCGAGAATGGCCGAGGTTCCCTTTCGCGATTCGAAATCTCGCGGCGGCAAAAAGATTAGATCCGAAAATACACCTCGGCCGAAAGGAGCACTAGAAATTTTGGAAACTCGCCAGTTCCACGCGGTACAGTTTTATGAGACCCATCTATCCGCATTTCTACTCGACGTGTATGTTAAATATCATCTCTCGGTTGGATATGTTTAATATTTAATTAATTCTCATTTATATAATCGATAAAGAATTTCTTTCTCTCGAGCTTAGAGCTCGAAGAGACGCGTATGTGGAGGAGAGGGGTCGATATTTATTTTTCACCCTGGATTCGGGTTTTCGATCCCTCGATGCTCCACATATCGATATATCGGTATCATCTTCTCGATCGTGCTATGCGGCGAGATAGGAGCTCGCGAAAGTGGCTCTCGTCAACAAGCAGATTAGATAAAGGCCCGTTTACGCAACGCGAGTCTCTTCGAGCTGCAGATTATGTATCCTCGAGAGTAACCTCTACCTCGGCGAGATGCTCTCCTATGAGATCTCGAATTATCTCCGCGAGGCCCGTATTCATTTTCATTAAATCTCAAGCGGAATTATTTAGACTCGACTCGCAATCGAAACTAGACAATTCGAGCCAAAGTCTGGTCCTCCCATAAAATTATTCAAGGTGTCCTAATCTCGTATTTTCTTTCTTTATTTTATTTTATTTGTTTGTTTTTTTTTTTTTTAAGGTGCACGCACAGCACCGAGTTTCGCAGAGGCGGAACACGCGATCGAATCGATCCTAAGCTCGTTTCCTGGCCCGGATATCTCGACTAAATTTCCAAAAATAAATCCCAATGCCGTTGTAAGACAAGGGGGAAAACCTCGAGACAGAGGCGCTCGTTTTCCCTTCAGGAATAAATTCCACGTTTTTTTATCTCTTCATTTTTTCATTCCACCGAAGAATTTTTGGGATACCTTCTTCGTGATTTTTAATCCCAACCTCGTGCAATGGCGGTTCCCAGGGCTTATTAATCGTATCATCGAATTGAAAGGCCTTAAAAGGCCCATTAAGTCGCCTTTCAGGGAGGACCCACCAAAGGCGGCGTTTAATCGGATTGACCTTCAATTCAACTCGAATTCCTCTCTCGCAACGAAACCGAATTCCCGTAGGATATCTCTTGGACTATTCTTCGGCCCGAATTAGAATTCGGGATGTTTTCAAACTTCCGAGGAAATAGTTTCCTGTCGCCTCTTCGGACAAAGGAACGGATTCCTAAACGCTCCATGTAGCTTGCTATAAATATTTTTTCTTTCCCAGGGGGCGAAGGGAATAAGAAAGTAGGGGGTGAAAACCAAAATATTCCTCGGACGAAAAAGTGAAAAGATGAAAAAGTGAAAATATGAAAAAGTGAAAATGTGAAAAGTGAAAATGTGAAAATGTGAAAATGTGAAAATGTGAAAATGTGAAAATGTGAAAATGTGAAAAAGTGAAAAGATGAAAAAGTAGGGGGTGAAAACAAAAATATTCCTCGGACAAGGGGAATACTTTTGAGAACGCGCGTCAGACTTTGATCGAGTTGCATAATTCTAGAGATGAATAGAAAAATATTTTTCGGACGAGGGGAATATTTTTATAAGCGCATCACGGTCTACGACTAGGTTGCGTAATCCTAGAGAAGAACAATGTGCGCAACTCCCCGGTGGAAACGCAAGTAAGGGAATTGCGAGCAATGCGAGCCCGATGGACTAATTGATCTAATTGTTCGGCTGCAAGCCGAGCGATCGACCCGACCGACCTCGAGTCGTCGACGAAGTCGATCTTGAGTACGACATTACGCGATAAAAGCAACATTTAATCGATCCATAACACGAGACGCAAAAATATGAGCACGATTGAATTTCAAGTATTTAAGCGAATTTATTCGCTGGATAATGACAAAATAATATTAACGGGAGAAATTAAGCAGTAATATTCCTCGCGCAATCGTATTTGGCGCTAGACTCTACTGGGTTCCTTTTTTATTTCTTTCAATCGCGAACAGAGCGTTTCTTTCGAGAGTCGTCAGCGAACAAAGTCGAAATGTGAATCAGCCTGTACATTGACTTATCGTTCTCCAAATAACTGATAATGTTTCGGGAGTCATACACTAAATAAATAAATAAACATGGTTATCAATTCTAGGCAGATAGGAAAATGTTCTTGGTGCCAGCAGCTATTAGGGAAGATGAGTCTTCTCCCCTGGGTCGATAATCGCTAATCGATTATCTCGATCGAATGAATCCGATCGGACCTCTCCCTCGCAAACTTTCTCTTCGACCAGGGAATGAATATAAATAATAAATGCATATAAGTGTAGGAACTTTTTGCCAGTACTGCTTTGCTTTGAATAGTACCGAAAAGAAAAAAAATAAAATCAATGTCAATTATTACGAGGATGAAAACGTACATATAAGTGACGTTATAATTTCCTTCGGCAGGTCCTGCGCCCTGAGGACGAGGGGATGAAAGGCTCTCCACGGATCACGTGACCTGGGGGAAGGTGCGCATCTCCGAGGAAGATGTCGCGACTAAGGAAGCCCAGCATCTCCGTCTACGACTATCCGGAGCACCTGAACCCCTTCAAGGATGACGAAAAGGCTTCTAAGGATGCCCGGACGACTGTCAACGGCGACGCCAAATTGGCACCTGTTAAAGAACCCAAGTCGAAATTCTGGACCTTCGGGAGGAGTCGGAAGAAGAGGTCCAACAGCTTCTCCATAAAATCCACGTGGTTGGTTCGACATTTCTCACCTGCGAATACGAATGATAATAGATATTAAGGCGACAAGGTGGCGTCGAAGAGGTCTCCCTTATCATACTCTTCTCCTAACTGGATGTACAGAATCGTTTATAACTTTACACCGTGTACATGGAGGCGATAAGGAAGGTCGTGATACCCATGGGACTTCAATTATTCAAATATTTATTTATAGACATTTTTTTTTAATTTCTATGACAAACGAAATTTCATGGGTGTCAGGACCTTCCTTATGGCTTTCATATTCACGTTGTAAAGGTTGATACGAAGGTGAACATACAGGCGGGAGGGAAGATCCTGACACCCATGAAATTTCAAGTCTGACAATTTGATTATAGACCATCTTTTTTTTTTATATATAAACAATGAAGTTAGAGGGGTGTCGGGACCTTCCGCATGGCCTCTGTAACGATCGACCTCTCGAATGCCACTTTCACATCCCCATAAGGAAAGAATAATAGTTATTAGGGATGCTATAGTAGTAGGAGAATCGAATCGCATTGAACTTGAACCGCGTGCGGAATCGCGATCGCGGCCGGGCCTCGAAAGTGCGGTTGGCCCGCCTCCAGCCAGAAATAACTGACCTGGCCCAATCTAAATGAAATTTGCATACGACGGCCGAATCCAGGCTGGTACTTTCAAATTAATTATTCGCATTTATTATTATTATTTTTTTTAATTTAGAAGCATCGTTAAATAACAAAATAAAACGCAAGCGGAGAAGAGATCTTCAGATCGCATGTTAAGGCGGGACGAAAGTCTCGTATGTGCGACTTTTCTCCTATGTGGGTTTCCCTGATCGTTTGAAAATTTACTATGTGAATCTAGGGGATATTACGAAGGAGATATGTGTATTTTAATCAATGATCGTTAGAGGGGACGCGAGGGAAATATTTATTGCGAGGTGGAGGCGAAGTCGGGCTATTTTCGATGTCACTCGTCACCGATCTGTGTAATCTCTTCATACGTATCGATACCGCGTGTCCACACATCGGATAATCCTCCTCGCTGTTGTAAGACTCGTTTACGTATATATACAGAGACTTATTCGGAAATCGGAGGGAAATCTGAAAAATTGCGAAACCGGAGTCGCGACCGGGACCGAACAAAGTGCAAAATTCATCGCGCGGTGACTAATGCCGATTGAAAATCAATTTGGCTTGTTCTAAAGGGATTGTTAGAAAATCAATATTACCGGGTTGTTTCATAAATCCCCTTCGTAAAGATCCGCGAGAAGTACATCTCTCGCAAGAGGACGAACCGTGGGATTAATTAAAAATGTATTCCTATTCACTAGATATCACTTTTTTTTTCTTTCTTTTTCTTCCATTCTTTGAAACTATTATTATTATTATTATTATTTTTTTTTCTTGGAGGGGACATTTCAATTAACCTTGTTCTAATGGTAAGAAATAATTATCCTGGAATTTATTGGAGTGAAAATAGGAATTGATGGGAGACCGAAGTCTCTCGCTTTGTACTATAGAGGAAGCGGGTAGTTGTTTAAAAAAAAGAAAAAAAATGTATAAATGTGATAACAGATTTTTTCTGAGGGCTTGTGGAACAACCTAGTTATCGGCGAGGTCAATTTCAGTTTAATTGAAAAGTAAGACCGCATGTGCTGGGAAATGTCCCCCACATGTTGTATGCAAATGTCGGAGACCTCCAGCAGGAAGGTTCGCGCGATTAACGCGAGTAAAATCGACTTTAATTCGCCGACGACGGCTATTATTCGCCGGTCGTTATGGAAAGAACCTACTCTTGACATTGAAAGCGCATTAAGAGGGCCAGAAATTAAAAAACAAAAAAAAAATCAAACGGAAGCGTTTATGCAGATTTTCTGGACACTCGCGAAGAACGAATATAAGTAGGAAAATTAAATTAAGCGCTAGACTTTTTATTATAAATCATATGTTTCTTTGGGATTTTAATTATCATGGCGTTAAGGGATGTTGGGCTTTAATGAATTTTGAATAAATTATAAATTAGTTAGGGATGGGTGTTGCGCGTCCATTGAGCAATCACTCGTGAGATTTCTTTCCTCGCTGGTCAACCGGCGACGACCTTGAGACCTGGTGAATTTATTCACAGCTTCGCCGGCGAGAAACTCCACGCGTGTAATTATTCACGAATGCTCGAGTGGAAAAGCTGAGCAACAACCAGTGACGTACTCGCGATATGCATGGATATGACGATACCAGGCTTACGTTGGCCGCCGTGAATAGAATCGACTTCTTCCTTTTGAGTCGACCGACGTGACGCTAGAGTAAAAGAGAGAGAAAAAAAAAAGAAAAGCAGAAAAGAACAAAAGGCGAGTCAAGCACTGGATGTTTTATCGAATGCGTCCTTTTTCGCTAAAAAAAGACGCGTAGTTCTCGCTCTTTCTCGTATTTTCTTGGTTTCTTTGATTTTCGCTCTGGAAACGCTCGACTCGCGTTTTCCTATCGCGATTGCACGCCTTCTCGTGATCGAGCGGGCGTAATCTTATCACAGGCGTGTACACCGAATGTGAATCAACCGTTGTGCATTTCCTCAGGAGCGGACTCTTCGGGAAACGAAAGGAAATCTCGGAAATCCCGGAACGGACGACCGCCATTACCACGGGTACGTACGGTCTCGGCCAATCGGCGTCCGCCATTCGTCAAGGTCCCACCAGTAAGCTTCCAAATGCACTTTCATATCAGCACGGAATATATTAAACTAGTTTATCGTTATCTTTCGCGTGATAAATATTTCTTAGACGAATTCCCTTGGGTCTTTCCATAAATCTGTAAAAACCGAAAAATCTATCCTTCGCGACGAAATGAATGACGTATTAATTAACTTATTTAATTCCCTTAAATTCCATTTCATGGAACAGTAAATAAATATATATCATAGTAAATATATATATTGGCTATACAAATTAAAGAATTAAAAATTTTCTCAAGCGAGGAGTTAAAAGCTACTTAGACGTCGAGAAGTCGCAACGAAGAATGTATTAACAATTGATATTGCTTAACTTCGCTTATTGTTTTTTTTTTTTTTTTTCTAAATACAAACGCGAGCTTATGGAACGACCCAATGGAATTGTAGTTGGATACAACGGATATAGAAATTTTGACGAGAAGTATATGTATGGTTATTAATTTTAGTCTCTTCGGCGTACAAGACCGAGCGACCCGTCGCTCCTCCTCGAGTATCCAGAGACCAGCAGGAATTCGACGAAGCCCTCGGGACTCTGGTCAGAAGGAGGAAATACACCCTGGACAATTCTTCGAGATACGGTTCGAGTTTGACCGTAAATGGCGACCCTGCCAGATTGTACGATGGCACTCCTCAAGATACCACGACGTCCATCATGGGCGATCTCACCCCGAAGGCACCTGCAAGACGGTATAGAGATTAGGGATATTTTTTAGTAATAATCCCCCCCAAACACGGTTACACAACAATAATATAACCGTTACATAACGCTTGTAACATGACATTAATATATGTAATGAGTAACATTCGGTATATATCATGTTATTCCAGTGTTATGTAACTGTAACATGGCGTGCTTGGTGGGTACTTATTCTACCAGTAATTAAATTTAATTTCTCAACGGCTCGATTAAACGGTAATTGAGTCATATATATACATTTTTTTTTTTTTAATAACCGTTATTTCGGTAATTATTCTCTTAATTGAATTTTACCGTTTTGCTAGTTGCTATTCACGTCGCATTTAGGACGCAGATTATTATAAGAATGCTGAGCCTGGTTTTTACATTATGTAACGAGTCTTGTCGTTTTTCAGGTTCGGCCAGGTGAGCCCGAGACCAAAAGACAAGATACCTCCGCTGGACTTTGAAGACAAAGTGCATAGAGAAAATGGAGCGATCGAGGAAAGGAACTCAGAACTCACTCCAGTGCCACCGAAGTAGATATTTATCTCTTCTTTATCCATAATTACCCTTATAAGCTATTGTATAATTCGAAAATCTCTTTTGCACGTTGCATTTGTTTAAGGTTAACGATCGATTGTTTCGCAGGAGGAACAGTCAGAGGTCTTCGTTGAGACTGAACGTCACCTTGGATTCTGAAGAGGATTTTCCTGAGAGAGCCTCCAGGTCCAATGATGTATCCCTTAGGGATGAAAACGAGAACGTCGCGGATGATTATGTCTTCAAAAGGTTCAGCCAAGATGCGGTGAGAAGGTCGAATTTATCTATCAACAGCTGTATCTCCGTGTCCAGCACTGTAAGTGCGTATGGGAGGAAGAAACGCAGAGCTCCTCAACCTCCTCGTCGGGTCGAACAATTGGAAACTCCACGGGTACCTTTTGTTTCATACATAACCTCGAATGTTACATCCTCGTTTCTTTGTAATGTGCGTATGTTTTTTTTTTTAACGTTTCGCTGCGAAATACAGGAGAACGAGGTACGCGTGCTGGACGTCTCCGGAGATTCGAAGTCCCTGGATGTAGGAGACATCGCGAGGGTGACGGAAAACATCGACGAGATGACGAAGAAGAGCCTAGAAGCTGGCGAAGGGTCTTCGAGTACACCAACCAAAGAAGAAGAGACTTCCCAAAAAGATGAGCAGCAGGACTCGGGGGAAACACATAACCCTGAAGTCGAGGACTCGAAATCTCCACCAGGTGAAAATCCAGAAACCTTAACGATCGATCTAGAAGAGAATCTGCAAGACATCGTACATGAAGATGTCCCAAGTGGCAAGTCTTCACCGACAGAAGTCGAGGAAGTGGAGCTGCGAAAGGTCGAGGAGGAAAATCTGGAGATAATCGAGGAATCTATTCAGGCTGTCGATGAGGTTTCCCTTCGAAAAAGAGGTTCTTCGGGTGCTTTGTCAAGAAGCGACAGCTTCTCCGTGAAGGAGGAGATCGAGAAGATAGAGAAGCAGATCAAAGCTCTCGAGGCGAGGAGTCCGAGTGAAGAGAACTCCTCGGAGGAGATCTCTGGGACCAGACTCAGCATCCAGGCTAATCGAAGGAGCTTCTTCAAGAACATGATGGACGACAAGGAGATCAAGGTCGAGATGAAGGAGGTCCCTCGTAGCAGCAACGATGTCGAAGTTGTTAGACTCCCGGAACCTCCGATTCCTGTCGAAGCTTCCCTGGAACCCGTCAAGGTTATCGAGTTGCATATTTCAGAGCCCATCAGAAGGAGGCCAGAAATACTTGAAGATGTCAACCCTGTTCCGAAGCCTCGTAGGAACAGTGCCCAAAATTCACTTAGGAGTTCCTCGAGACGAGGCTCGGCCGAGACTGTTCAGGTAGATAAAAGAGGAAGTTCGTTCTAAGGGATACAAAATTTCGTTTCGATTATCATGCAGAGTAAAGACATCGAACCAACAGTGAGATTTACGCCAAGTGCAATTATTTACGGGAGACTTACGATATTAAATTTTATAGTCCTGTTTCTGAGCATGGTTCGATGAACATTCAAGCTCTTACGGTGTGCTTCGAAGTGATATATTGCATATCGATGTGTAACAATATTTCTTTATACGTAGGATTACGATCCTCAGTGGATGTCTTGTGACCGATGGGTGCTTCTTTACGAGCGTCGTTGTACCACGTGTACCTAGCATTTTCATTATTTATTGATAGGAAATAAATCGATCTAAGGAGTCTCGAAGGAAAATGTCTGATCGTCTCTTTGAGCTTAACCCACTGGTTTTCTTTTTCAGATTACATTCCGCTGAATCTTTGTATAGGAATATTTTTTTAATATCTCATTCTGTACAGAGGATTCACAGATTTACAGGTAGGGTAAGTAAAACAATTGATATTTCTACATAATTCATTCTTCCTTTGTTGTAAAATTATATTTACCTGTAGTAAATTCTACCTAAGACCCGCCACTTGTTGATCCTTATATTTGACGAATCTTCTTAAATTTGTCTTAACCGTTGACACCACAAATGCATTATCACCGAGGTTCCTTTTCTGCAATCGGATCTACAAAGACAATGATGAATTGCCATAAATTATGAAGCAAAATTTATTCGCTTCAGAACTACAACAGTTTAAGTACATTTACTAAACTAACCTTGTTATTGAAAAGCGGAATAAGGCTTTGAAGTTTCTCAACAAGATCTACTTCGACTGCTAATTGATTTGTCTCATCTTCGGCGTAAATATCCATTATTGCATCTAATGCTTCGGCCATTACCCAGACCTCCGTCTCCTTTGTACAAGCATCCAGTAAGAACGTAGACACATACTGCATAAATAAATTAAAGAATTTAAGTAATGTGACAATTTTAATGTTTCTAATTGCGTAAAAGTAATTAATATACCTTAACTAATTCGCGACTCTCCGTATTATCCACAGTAACGAGCAAAAGTGCCAAGTTACCAAGGATGCGTATCAAATTTATTCGAACACTTGGATTGGGACATTGTCTCTCTCCGTTCAACATGGGCTGGAGATCTTCTAAAGTCATCTGACTGAAAGAGTTTGCACGGATCTCAGTAAGTTTCTGTAAAACAGCTCGCATTGCTGAGGTCGCAGACTCCAGCAGTTCCGTGTCATTAGGATCGGCAACTTTAAAGACTGTTGTGCCAATTTCTATCCAAATCCTACAAATCAACGCTTCCGTTTACTTTCACTTATTTTTTAATATAAAACATTTAGAATAGCGATTCCAATTTACCTGTATAATTCGTCGGGGGTACCTAATCCATCAATGTCGAAACTGGTCAGTAAATTATTAAGGCACAAAAAGGCTCGACAGCGGAGAGTATGAAATTGTTTCTTTATGATCTTTCCTTCTGGAGATTTCCCCATTAAATCCTGAATATTATCTGGAAGTGCTTTTGTGAGTTGCCAAACTTTCTTCATCGTTCCGTGGCTAGTTACCACTTCGACGAGTTCGACTGGCATATTTGAGACTCCATAGCCTCTCTCTTCAGTTGAATCTTCTTCCATGAATTCTGCTTCGCAATCATCCGATTCGTCCAAGTCTGAAACATTTTCACTGCCAGGCTCCTCTGAACAGAGGTTTGCTAAAATTTCCAGGGCTTGCTGCTCAGCAGCAAGAATCTGCCTAATTTCCTGAACCTTCTTTTTTGACGACCCACCCATGCCATCGTTTTGCTGAGGCAGGATTCGCAGTATCTCCAGTTGGCGCTCTCGATCGATCAATAAAATATCCGATAAGACAGCAACAATTTTACAGACCATACGAATAGTTTCTTGCTCCGAACGGAACTCGGCATTGGCATTCATTAACAGATTGGCTACTAAAGTTCGAAGCAGTAATAATTCAGAAATACTATTCTCCTTTTCTGGTTTTAAATCCAAGAGAGTTATAATGAACCCTTCTTGTCTCTTTACCTCGTTAATGGCGACAGAATTATCCTCGCATAAGGTGACAGCGCACTGAGCAGCGACGATGCTCATATCCATTCCGTAAACCAGTGGGTTAAGGAACTTTAAAAGCGTAACCATGATATTGTTGTTGTTGCAAATCTGTACGACTTGCTCGTCCTTCTCGCATAATGTCCAGAGTAATGTTACAATTTGAATGAACGCATTTTTCTCTTCGCGTAGTTTGCTTGCTTTCATACCCACCTCTGGTTGCCATTCGGCATAATGCTGCAAAATAATGTTATTAACTTAAATCAATATTAATCTATGGAAATATTTGACATGTTATATTTCATACCTTCCGTAATGATACAATAAGTGGAGTCATAAGATCGTCCTTTATCAGTTGTGTATAAGCTTCGTCACCGCCGTTATCGGCAACATTTCTTAATGCACTTGCTGCTGCCGTACGCACGACTGAGTTAAGATCTGTCAATAACGGCCCAACTATCCTTGCTACTTTATTCTTAGCAATTTGTAAGGCAATCAGTGCCTCGTATGACATAGATTCCAGCGTCTGCAAAGCAGAGATCTTTTCTTCGATGGTTGGCGACTGCAGCTATTAATAAAGAAACGATGCATAGAAATTAAAAATCGATGATTTATTTCATTCACATTCTGTGTAATTTAGGTAACGAACAAGATTTTCTTCCTTGTGGAAGAATCGAGAAGCAGTAAACTGCAATAAAGTGAAGGTCTAATGCTAAGCCTCAACTTTAATATAAGAGAATTTACCTGTTCGAAGACATCCTGAAATGCTTTTTCTTTATCGCTGTTGGAATTATTTTCGTCCTCCTCGAAATCTTTGATACTCGGCAATCCAGTGGGGTTATCTTTCTCCGGCTTACGCCTACGTCTTTTGACTTTTCCCATTCCGATTTTCTTTTCTTAAAAAACTTAAATGTTTACGCAGCAGGTCATGTAACCGCATTGGGTAAAATATAGCATAAGAGGTTAGAAATTCAGTCATCGGCTCGGTGAATGTAGAAACCGAACTTCAAAGTCGAAACATGAAACCATACATGAACAACGCGTCTCACTAAATATAAACCAGCTATAGCAATCTCCCAACTCATCTCCGATAAACCTTGCCTCAATTTTAATGGCGACGTGATACATCTTTTTTATTTCTAGTTTCAGATTTATAAAATATATACATAACCTGTCGCACAGTCAAGATTAACTGAAAATCAGAAATCACTTTTAGAAAGTGGTATCCCTTTCCAAGGAAACGAGATGATTTAACAAAAAGTGGATAAGGGAGGCCAGGCACAAAATATTCAAGATGGAGAAGTCTGTGGAAAAGTTGACGGTAAAAAGGTTAACTCGCGATTCAACTCGGCCGATATTGACACGTAAATCCAGAATATATTTTTAGGTTGTAACCAACCAAAAAGGCTCAGTCTGACGTTCCGAACGATACCTGAAATAACGTAATGTTTGTTAAACCCTCATCATGGGAAATACCTCTTGCAGCGGCCTCAGCAATTCCTTATGGAGAGATACGATTACAACGATAATTTTCTAGTGGTAGCTATATTAATAACAATGTTTAATAAACACGATTGGATCGAGCTACTTTCTATATGCTAATGCATTAACAATATATTCATGGACCTCAAGAACAAATGTATTCTAGGTACTTTAGAAAATGGCGAAAGATAGACTCCAAGAGATTAGTATGAGGTTGGAACAAAGCCACTTGGTTTATCTTCAGACCGACGACTGTCCGTTGAAATTACAACAACGGCATAAGCTGGAAGGTATGCAACATAGAATCTGGCCGACGTTAATTAACTTCACACCAGAAATTCTCCCGTTAACTTCTCTTTAACAGGTTTCGTAAAAGAATACTTATGTCTCGTACCCAACAACAGCAAATACATATTTCGTGAAACAGCAAACATCCTACATCACTCCGCAGCAACATTGCACGACTTCAGTGGGTACAGAGCCTGTACGGCATGGAATGCAATTTCTTTATACGCCGCAAACCTTTTGGCTCAACCTTGGCGAAAAGAATACAAAACCCTGCGGGTCCGTAATGGATTCAGTGACCTACTTTGCATTAAGCAAGTTCCTTCAAACGTGAATCTTTTTCTTGCCGTAGACGTACAGTGGGTACTACAAACACGAAGTCGAGACAAACCTGATCGGTGCGGAACTGATGTTTGAATTAATGGGCTACAAGCACACGGATCTCGGAGTGCTAACCCTGGAAGGATCCATCGATCCGGACAGAGTGTTAAACGTGAGCAGAGATGCCATAGTTGCCTTTGTCGAATGTCAAGTAAGACTTAACTCAAAAACGTATATAGTAATATATATTCCTTTCACTGTGCCTTATCTTAAACCGGTGCCACAGATCCTGAAGGAAATCTGGGAGAACGTGTCACAAAAGTTTCCAGTGTCCTGGTTAGAAGTCTTGGAGTTTCGCGAGACCTATGCAGGGACTCCGGAAAGGGCAATCCGGGTATTAAGGCATCGACTGGAGAGAACCCACCAGGTCCGCCATAAATCCGAAAGGTACCATCATCGACGCCTTTCGCTGTCACCTTCCACACCTTTCGAAGATGGTTTGGTGGAAGAGGAACGTCCTGTGGATACCGGTCACTCACCCACAAGGGTACGAGGAACCAGGGTACCTACGGGTCGCCTCATCGAGCTGGACGCACCTGGCCAAGTGGAACCCGAGGCGTTATTCACAGGTAATATTTAAAAATAAAATTTGTAGGCTATGATTCGACGTGCTCACAGCCTCAATATTACAATTTAAAATGACTTTGTACTCCCAGTTCAATGAAGTTTCACGAACCCGATAACCTTGGCACTTTCATATCGCCTTAAACGCCTAATTTGCTTTAATCTTCTTTAGGATCCGAAACGTGGGGTCCACGAAGAGCCCCTCGAAGAGCCTCTCGCACTTTGGAACTAGACTGGCCAGCCTCTGCGGGAAGGACCCGAGATTTCTCCCCGGAGGAGAGGTCGACCCGGCTGGCCAACGGCGAGGCGACCGTCCGAAGGACGAGGTCGTGCTTCGACTCCGTCGACTTGGGTGCCCTTCGCGTCGACTCCCCTACAGGAGATTCCCGATCCAGGTGGAACTGCTCCACCTGCACGTACCTGAACGACGCATCGCGCAGGATTTGCGAGATGTGCGGCAAGTCTCGGAAGAAGGGCAACGAGGAGAAACCACTGGCCAGCGGGGGCAAGGAGTGCCCCCAATGCACCCTCGTCAACGAGAGAGACGCCTCTCTCTGCGACGCCTGCGGGGCGAGCCTGAAGGACTCGCCGACGTACATTTGAAGAGAATCCTTATCGATGTAGATTTAAAGAGCATCCTTGTCGATGTAGATTTAAAGAAAATCCTCATCGATGAACATTTGAGATCGAGTCTTTCCGGGTTGCCCTCGACCTCGACCTCGTCAGCACGCATAAACCCGACGCCGATTGCGTCTTCGCTTTGAGCGAGCCAGGAACGAAACCCGCTATTCTAGTTAACGACCTCTTCGTTCCTAGCCGCTGTCCGAGCTTATGTGATCTTACAACTCTGTAATCGTAACTATAACGCCTAGGGCTAATCTAGATTAAAGATGGCACAGGAAGGATATGAGATGTCAATGATAAATGACAATTAACATTTTCCTCTCCATATTGATAACGACGTCTAATCGCAGCTTTCGTTGGCACGTTGCGTTAGGGATTATCTCTAATTATTTCCTGGAGTCTTTGGAAGTATGGTTTAGGTAGATGGAGAGTATAATGTTGAAGCCAAAATCGGTTGACTGAAACTCCGATTATCTGGCTACTCGAGCGAGAGTCTTCACTGCCGCATGGTGTATCTTCTTCTCCAGCTTATCTGCGAAATTTCTCTTATCGTTATTTCTGTAACGAGGTTAAGATGTTGAATATTCGATGCAGGAAGGATTCACTCACAGATCTTATGCTTTCCTTTTATTGGGAACCTCAGGGGCAGCTCGTGAGCATCCTCGCACAGGAACACGTAGGGGCTGTCGCTCTCACCCTCTGGAAATTGCTTCCGATACTCCTCTTGAGACAACACATTGACCACCGTCACACAACCAAGGAGACATCCCGTGGGATAGTTTCCTGGGAACTTGATGTTTTCTGAATGGAAGCACGACGTAATTAATGAGTTAAGAAAGATATCGAGTCCTAAGGAACTACCAAAGCTAGACTTCGATAGAATTCTTAGGAACAAAAGACTTCGTATTCTCTATATGAATATATTGGGACTGGACACGTGAACCGATGGGAACATTAAAGATCTATCGATGCCAGTAAGGACAGTTACCATCCCTTAAAACGCGATAGGTGTTCTCCACAGTGGATATCTCTGCCAAAGAAGGAACTTTTGCAGTTGCTGCGATCCACAGTCTGCCTCGATGTGCTGAGTACCATGTGCGACCTTCGTCCCTGTAAAATTAAAGAAATGCATTGCCTTCTTCACCTGGCCTATCTGCTAGCTACATGACTTATTCACTTGACTTACTTACCTTTTAATTCCAGCAACCAACAATGATGCGTAGGGCTGGTGCATACTAAGACAAAATCCATCGTCAGACATTTCCAGTAATTCTTTGTCTTGTATGCGATGAATGACTCCAGAGGACTCCGTTTTACTCTTTACTTGTCTACTGCCACTTGTATCCCATAAATTCATCTTGACATACTGTAATACAAAGATACCAGAATTCAGATACTCTTGAATAATTATACTAAACAAAATATTTTCAGTTTAAAAAAAATAACTACAGACATGCTTGCTATTTAAGTGCGTAATTTAAAAATTACACAAGGTAAATAATGCAATGGTGGGTACCCTACCTTTGGTCGATCAAATTCCATGGGACACGCAATGTCATCTGTCAAAGTAGTCGAGTCCCGAAGCTGATCCAGTATTGGATCTGATGATTTATTAAAAGTCTCATCTTCCTCCTCATTGATCTCTCGGCCAGCAAAATCGACAACTATTTTTTTATTTATTCGGGAACCATGACGTTTCTCTCGTAACTCTGCTTCCCTCTGCACCAGCTTAGCTCTCTCTTCATTAGACAACCACACGCTGCTTGCCTGGTAATAGTCTGCTTCGTCGTCTATAACTTCTGTACGGCGTGCACTGTGTAGAAATTCAGTGGGTATACAATGCCAAATTTGTTTTGTTCCTCAAAGAATGGCTTTTGAAACGTCATTAGTTGTACCTGTTTCGGTCAAAGTCCAAAAGCTTGTTCCTATGTTGTAGAGAGTCCTCCAATGCTTTATTCGGCTTCTGATCCATGAGTTTATTGTAAAGATTATCCGCTTGCTTGGATCCGTTTGAAAGAATAGCCCGTTGATCCGGTGAGCATACCAGGTTGCCGCAAAAGAAGCACGGACCTGAGCCTTCTTGAGAACAAACTATTCTGCCACAATTTGAGCAATTGTTTATAAGGGAATGCTTGCGAGCTTCGCAATCACACTTGTATCTGCCTATTCAAAGCAAAAATATCATTTTTAATATTAGACAGACTGTTTTATAACAAAAAATATCTCCTATACTTTTTTACGTTACCTTTTAAAAGAATCGTTTCTCTGTCTTTACCCTCTTGGGAATATAAATTGACAAATTTCGTTTTCTTCTTCTTTGTCTTGTCTGTCTTTCCAATTTCCTGCCAAACGAAGACTCAAGTCAAACGTGGAATGAAATGAAAAATATTTTACTGGCTTACCTCTTGCGAATTTAGGTTAGTAAATTTAGGTTTTTTCTTTTCTGACTTTCCACCTTCCTGTGGAAGGAAGGGCTCGAGTTAGATGCAAAGTAAGGTAGAAAACATATACAAACCTTACCGTTTGAATTTCATTATTTATCATTTTCCCCTTTTTCTTTTCACCCTGCTTCTCAGAATTTTTCTTTGAAGTTGTAGTTTCATCGTCTGCTACCTTTTTGTACCCTACGAGGTCTGCGGACGAAGCTGTAATGTCAAATGACTTTTTTATTTCTTTGACCTTAATCTCATTAATTAACGATATAACAAAAATTACCAAGAGTGCCCTGTTGCCTTCGTTTTAACTCCATAATAAACTGTCGATGCTTAGGATTGTTAGAATCGAGCAGAGTGCATAAATATTCATCCAGATCGGTCATGTTTTGAATTTTCAAAATGTACCTACAAAGAGGAAACAAAATAACTCATTACATAATTAAATTAAGTATGGAATCTATAAATTACATTTCCTAATATCATTAGTTACAAGAATGGTATCGTTACAATTTGACACTCATAGTAAAATATTTAATTATAACATGCATGCTCACTGTGTCAGATCATCTGGAACAGGAAAATCCAGCAAGCCGGATAAACTGTCATGTATCCACCTCTCCATTCTGTTAAAATACTTGCGAAATTCCTCGACGAATTAAATTTCAAACTTCTGCTCAACAGCTTATATTTGATGAAATCAGTTAAAATTGCAAGTGAACATAAATCCACCGTTATTATAGAATAAAGAGAGTCGATTATAGCGCCGCCGTTGGGCGTCAAATGTACTCATTATTGAGCATCAAACGTCCGAATTTTTCTGAACGTCGTTGCCTCGGAATTCTCCGTCGCAGTCGCCACGTTCCTTTGTCATCGAAGTTTACCACGTTGCCGAAAAGAGAGGTTAGAACGTCGAAACTGGTTGAAATGGAAAAGTTTCAAGCGACCTTTATTTTGCCGATAAAGGGAAGGATTGGGGGAAAGAGAGCGTAAACAGAAATAGGAGCCAAACTAGATACAAGGGAAATTCGACACTCCTTCCCCTCTTCGGTTCTCAGAATTTTTCTTCACTTCCTTTCTTGAGAAGTATTCAAAGCGATTCAAAGCATTATTGGAACGTTATTGTGGAGTTTGGACACACATCGTGTTAATACCGCGCCTGAAGATTAGATTAAAGTAATATTCTGTTCAGAAGAGACCCAAGGTGATGAATTTTGCACTTTCAAACATTTAATTAATCCCCTTGTATCGGAATTGTCTTAGCATTATAGAGCCAAGTTTATTTATACAGGAAAAGAGATCGATGAGTTACAAGATAGAATTATTTAGTTTTCATTTCAGACCAGTTTAATATGTCCTTAATTATTACCATTAATTTATCTTATTATGTAGTAACTCATGTAATGATGCATTTTATTTAAGATCAGTAAAAAATGGCGGACAAAGGAGGAGGTAAACCTCCGAGTGGGCGAGGCGCCTCGCTTTTAGAGTTGATGAGGGCTCGAGGAGTCGGAGCTCAAGCATCTCAGAGCGAGGCACAGAGTTCTCCTGCCAGAGTTCCAGGAACAAATTCTCAGAGTGTGAGCACTGGTCGGGGCAGAGCTAGTATCCTAGAACTAGTAAAACAGGCTCAGGGCGATGCTCCACTGATAGCTGCCCCACCGATAGTTGCCCCAGCACCACATAGCGTTGGTGCGGGAAGAGCATCTATTCTTCAACGGTTGGAACCACTCCCGTAAGTTTTATCCAAATTTGTGAAATAATGTCTCAAAGCAAATGTTTCTTGACATTTTTCTTCCATTAGAATACCTGGACCTTCCCACAGTATTCCTGTGCCTTCTCAAAGTATTCCTGTACCTTCTACGAGTGCAGCAGGTGTTGCTAATATTACAACAAGTTTGTCCGGGACTTCTATAGGAAGGTCTCAATCTCCCTCTATACTTGGGACCGAACCTATCTCACGACATGGTGAAAGCGGTACACGGTAAATATAAAAGCGAACAGTTTCTATGGAGTTACTTTGTTATTCAAAATTAACATTTAAATGTTCACTTTTCTGTGTAACTCTTGGTAATCATATCATTTTAAAATCTCCACTAATGAATATAATTTCTCCAGCGTTCCCATGTCTGCAAACTACATTAACATAGCAATAGATCCAGAGAAAGGAATATTTATGTACGAGGTGCAATACAATCCTGACATCGACTCACGTCCATTGCGGATAAAATTACTGAATCAGCACATGGTTGCCCTCGGAGGAGTTAAAACGTTCGATGGAGCGATGCTTTACTTGCCAATAAAACTACCACAAGAGGTATGCTCAGGTGAAAACGTTATATCATTCAAACACTTTAACACGTTTATTTCTTGTTTCCAGCAAATAACTTTTCAGTCGGAACATCCCATGGATGGATCCCTAGTGACTCTCACTGTAATTTACAAAAGAAAACAGGAGCTCCGCGAGTGCATACACTTTTTCAATGTCCTGCTCGGAAGGCTCATGAATGCCCTCAGCTTGGTTCGCATAGGTCGCCAAAATTTTAACCCACGATGCGCCCATCCCATTACGGCACATCGGATGGAACTGTGGCCAGGCTACGTCACAGCTATAAATGAGTATGAAGGGGGCTTAAAATTATGCATCGATGCAACTCATCGAGTCATGCGCACTGACACTGTCAGAGATCTGTTGTGAGTATGATCGGACTCGTTTTATCGAGCACTGTTGTGCACTTGTGTATTAAAAAAATTCTGTTAATAGACACGAGCTGTACCAGAGGAATCCTCATACTTATCGAGATGCCATTATCCAAGAGATCATTGGTATAACGGTTCTTACGAGATACAATAATAGGACTTACCGAATAGATGACATCTTTTGGGACCAAGATCCCACCTATAAATTCCCAAAGAAGGACGGTACAATGGTGTCTTTAATAGATTACTACAAGACCCATTGGAATCTTGAAATCAGAGACAAGAAACAGCCTCTGTTGGTGCATCGAGCCAAGAAAAAACTGTCTGACGGACAGGTGAGCTCCTTGATCTTTAATTATTCATTTCATAGTGTGTGCAAGATTATACCAATAGGATTTTATCTATCTACTGGATTTACAATTTCCTTTCTTGATGATACTGTTTTAACTAATTGGACTGATTTTTTTTTTTTTCTAAACAGACCATGGAAGAGATGGTTATACTCTTGCCAGAGTTGTGCTACTGTGCCGGATTGACCGACAGAATTCGATCTGACTTCCGCGTCATGAGAGACGTGATGGCAGTGACCAGGGTCAGTCCGGAGAGTCGTCAGAAAGTAATTAGAGATTTCGTCAGAGATGTCAAGAGCACCGAAGTCACAAAGAACATTCTCACTGACTGGGGTCTACAGCTCGAAGACGATATCATTCAGTTTACTGGAAGAGTTCTGAACCCGGAGGAGATTCGTTTTGGAGAAAACCAAACCTTCAAAGGCCAGAATAGAGCAGATTGGGGTGCACAAGTAGTTCGGATGCCAATGTTACGCACAGTGAGTTAGAAATAAATATAACTAATTATTTTTCCTTTATTCTTCTTTTTCTTTTTAAATAAATTAACTTTATTTCGCCTGTCTCACCGACTCTTTCTTACTTGAACTCTGTTTACTTCGCAGCCACACTTGAACAGATGGTACGTCCTTTTCTGCCAGAAGGATAGAAAATACTGCGAGGAATTTATAAACACTCTAAGGAAGGTCGCTAGCATCATGAAAATGAATATGGCCTATCCGGAAGTCATCATGCTAAAAGACGATCGAACTGAAAGCTATATCAGAGAACTTCGCAGAAACATAAACTCTCAGGTGGAAATGATGATGGCCATATGTCCAACTAATCGAAATGATCGCTACGCAGCCATTAAAAAGTAAGTCGAATTTCTTACCCTGTAATGCTTGTGAAATCTAAGATCTGACACGTAAGAAAAATGGATCCAATGATATATCTTCAGCGAGCGATTTTGCTTGAATTGTGTTGTATGATTCTATAGACTATGTTGTGTCGAGATGCCGATACCATCCCAGGTTATCATTACCAAAACAATATCTGACCCGAAGAAGCTGAAAAGTGTGTCGGAGAAGGTCGCATTGCAAATGAATTGCAAATTAGGAGGAGCCCTTTGGGCCTTGAAGTTGCCTCTTGTGAGTATTATTCTTGTACAACAAATGAAAAATGTCGTTTATTTCAAATTCGCTTAGATTAATAATATTGCCACTGCTTAAGCAGAACTTTTTTTGCAATACTTATGACTCTACAATGATACATTATCTTAATATCGGAACATCATTTTCTTTGTTTAGGATAAGTGCATGATCTGTGGAGTGGATGTCTATCACAGTGGAACGGACAGAATGGCAAAAGGAAGTGTTGCAGCCTTCGTAGCATCGATGGACAAACCCTTGACATCGTGGTACAACAAAATCTGTATTCAAGGACCAAATCAGGAACTCATAGATCTACTCAAAGTGTGCTTGGTTTCATCAGTCAACGAGTATCGCAAGGTATTAAAATTAAAACATCATTGTCCAACACAAACGTCAAGTGTCCACGTTAAAACATACACTTCTGAAACATACCTTTCTTTCAGAAAAATAATTGTTACCCGGATAGAATAATACTCTATCGAGACGGGGTTGGAGACGGCCAGCTGGAGACAGTCGCGAAATACGAAGTGAAACAACTCCGGATGGCGTTCAGTTTAATCGACCCGTCGTACGCTCCGAAGATGAGCATCGTCATCGTGCAGAAGCGAATAAACACTCGATTGTTCTCAATGAACGGGGTCAGTATACATCGGGTAGTTCCATAAACTTACAGGGAATTTTTTTTTTTATGTGTATACACCTTTCGCGGTCAAAGGGTTATTAAAATTAGGCGAAATTAGGAAGGAGTTAATGATAATTATACATTTCCTCGTTTCGGTAGACCGGTTAAATTAAATGTTTATTTTACTCCGACAGCGCAAGCTGGACAATCCTCAGCCGGGGACCATCGTTGACACCACCGTGACTCGTCGATGTCTGTACGACTTTTTCCTGATCTCTCAGCACGTCAGACAGGGAACCGTCTCTCCAACTCACTACATCGTGATATACGACGGGGCCGAGATGAAGCCGGATTATATGCAACGACTGACGTTTAAGTTGTGCCACCTTTACTACAATTGGCCCGGCACCATCCGAGTGCCGGCGCCATGTCAGTACGCTCACAAGCTCGCCTACCTGGTCGGCCAAAGCATCCAAATGGACCCCCACGAATCTCTCGCGAACCATCTCTATTATCTATAAAAGAAACCGCATATCCACGTGCGTCGAGATAGGCGCTGAGCTACACTCCAAAGTTCTTCCACGGTTAGATAGTTCGAGAAACGCGAATTTAAGCTCGACTCATTGAGGAAGATGAGTCGAATTTAGGGATCACGCGCTTCAAGGAGTTTGAGTAGTATTAAGAGAATCTGAGGTTCAGTATTTAAGCGGACCAATTTTTTGGGAAACTTCAAATATCTGCCCATTCGAATTGCGGTTCCCTGGAAGGCAGCAAATTACAGTTATCATGTTTAGATCGTGTCCGAGCAGAAACGCTTCGGTGGATTAGTGTTAAATTACTGCATTTATGTTATTTTTTTATTTTATTTTCAACGAGCTTCCGACTTAAGCTTTTTTAAACGTCACGACTGACAGTGGGAGTAGTCTTGGCTAGTAATTAGTATTGTTCATTTGTTGCCGAGAGCAATTGCATCTGAATACTGATGTCCGGACACCTGAGATCAACTTTAGTAGTAAGACTGAAACGATCATTATGAAACAAAAAAATACCCGTATTAACTCTTTTCCGCACTAAATAAGTATAACAATTCTCTCGGGTTGATGAATCCTTCAAAAGGTATAATTGTACCATACAATGTGGTATTTAAAAATGGGTGCACTAGCTCTGTCGTTTTCATTTACATTGCACTAATATCTCCTGAATAGATTTCGTATTAATATTATAAAAAAACGATGTAACGCGCTCCTCGCTACTATTTTTTTTCTCCCTCTTGGCTTGAAGAAGTTTGGAATTACTCTCGAAAATTGCTCCCCTATTCTCGACTTCTCCAAATTTCAGGGACACGGAATTGAAACTCGACCGCTGAGCCGAAAGATTCTTGTGAGATGTCCCGAGCCAAAGTACAAAACTCCTAGAAGAATATTTAAGTTAGCATATATTAATTCTAAGTTATGTAGAGTTAACATTCTATGTGAATTATTGTTATCGACGAAGGGTTTTCCCGACGTTTGAACCGCGTGGAAACATAAGATCGCCATCGTTGAGACACTCGTCCTTTTTCAATTTCTTACGATTGAACTGATGTGTAAAAGACTGCTCACTTTATAAATGCATATTTTGGGTCTATCCTGTCCTATGTATTTTTCTACGAGGTATAACACGAGAAAACGTAAAGATTATGCGATAACTGGTGCCTCTTTGTACTTGCAAAAGAGATTTTATTAATGATCGATCACCAGATGTCATCGGAGACAAGGGTGTAACTTAAATATTACATCTCTTTGTAATATACATATATATCTAAAGTAATATTTCTCTCGATATGGTTCTCGTAACGTGAAAGCTACGTTCTTTGATATAGCCTGATATGCAGTCGATAAGTACCATAACTGTAGATATAAATGATCCTAACCTAAACTGCATTCACGACTGTAGATGATCAGGCATTGACTTTATCGTCGATTTCTAACGACTGCCTGAACCAGTGTTCCTCAAATTTTGCATATTAACTCTAATTCATTATTGTAATAGTGTATAGTTAATAATTCCTTGGTCTTTGTTATTACATATCTTGCTCCGAGGATCGGTGGACTTCGTTCTCACCGAATTGCCTAGCCATCGGTACACAGGTAAACGGTAATGTTATCAAAGCGAAAATAATTCTAGGGACCACTGGCACGAGGCTCTAGATAATAATAACTACTTCGACAGAGAAAAATATACAATGATGGGTCCAAGACAATCGACCTAAAGTTGCATCGAAGAATACGTCGAATAGTTAACATGACTCTTAGAATACAAAGAAAAAGTAGAGAAAACCGTAAATGCTAGATAAAGATCATGAACTTAAATTCTAGGCAGTAAAAAGTACATGTAATGGCAGTGTGTACATAAATTATACTAGTGACAATTATTAAAAGACGAGTCGAGTGTCGCTCAAGAAGAGGTTAGGTGAGATTTCGAGCTGGCCAGCGGTGGCCTCAAAGTTTAAGAGACTCGAGAGAATTACAAGCCCTCGACGAATTCGAAAACTCCATCCAAAATCTGTCGATAAATGTCACTTGGTTCTACATAAATTTCAATTTTGATTCCTTTAAGATCTTGTTACACCATCAAGTCCTTCGTAAGGAAGTGCACTCCGGAGTATAACAAACGTCGAGAGCTCGCTTATTTTTCAAGTAAATTGGACTATAGAGTAATCGGCTAGGAAAAACCGTAAATCTTCTCTAGACCCAAACTCCGTGTGGGTTTTTACTGGTGGGCACTGCAGTCTCTAATTGCCTCGGAGAGCCAATCATCTTGCGAGTGCTTCCTGGCTTGTGCGCTCCTAAAAGAAAAAGCCCCATATTTAGTACCTTTGTAACAAGGTATACAAGGTATACGATACCTTGCGAGGCCCTAAAAAAAATGACAGACAGCTAACTGATGATTTTATATTATTTTTCTAGAAAGATTTACCTTCCAGCAAGTGTTTCACTTGTTCGTCCTGGCAAGCCACGGTGAGGCTCTGAAGGTTCGCCTCCTTCATGTCGGCCACGAGTCGCTCCACTTGCAGTTTTTTCTCGACGATGGCCGATTCCAGCCCGACGACTTCGAGCTTTAAAGATTCGGCACATTGCGTCGCCAATTCCGCCGAGCGTTTCGCTTGTTCGACTTCATTTTGCAGGTGTTCTACCTCACTGATGATCTTCCGCTCCATCATTTGCCTCTCATCGCCCTCTCTGTTGATCGTGTGCTGTTCCGTGGCAAGCTCTTCCATCACCAGTCTGAATTGCAGGTAAAATGTTTTAATATATCTAGAGGCATGCTTCGAATTATAAACTTTATGTTAAATAACAATTTAACTACCTGATCTTGTTCTTGCACTGCAAGAGCTCTGTTTCGCAGTTCGCAAGCTTCGATCTCAACAGAGTGATCTCTGACTTCAAAGTCTTCTCTTGTTGGCGCACTATTTCGCTCTCCTCTTCGACATGTGCCAACTCCTTCAGCTGTCATTTCAAAATATCCAATAGAAGATAATGAGTACTTACATTTAAAAAAAAAAAATTGTTTATAAATCTCTCGTACCTGTTCTTCGATGATGCGACCAGTTGACTCTATTCGATTAACTTCTTGAGAGATGAAGTCCATCTGGTGCATTTGCTCCCGATTCTTGGTCTCCCAGTAGAGGATTTCAGCATCGAACTGAATTAAATTACAGTTTAAATAATTTAAAAGTCATCGACCCACTCCTGAGAACTTTTTAAATATTTCCAACGTACTTTTGTCAGATCGGCTTGCTGTGCATTGATCGTGTCTCGTTGCCTATTGACTAGTCGTATAAGCTCGACATAACGTTGAGTGTATGCCACTGTCACCATGTTCTGAGATTGTCCAGGTGCTTGGTTGATAGACTGTGTGGGGCCTTTAGTTTCTTGAAACTCCTGCAAAGACCATGTAATGGAAAAAAAAAATTGACAGAGTGATAAAGAGATAGTGTCAAAGTCTCAATGGTGACAGAAATATTTTAAGAACCTGAATTAAGTTTCTTTTTAGCTTGGTGGGATTATTGGGCGATGATTGATCATCTTTGCTAAGGTGTGGACTCCCAGTATTAGTGCCAGGTAAGTAATGAGATCTCCCAGGACTGTTTAAATTTGGAGGCGGTGGGTCTCTATACGGTGGTAAGGTACGCAGCGGAGGAGATGCAGGACCAGGTGGTTCTCTATATGGTGGAACTTCCCGCACCTTTTTCTGTGGCAGGTATACACTGCCTAGGAACGAACAAGACATATGTATTTAAAAATCAAATTCAATATTCCACAGCACTCGATAGGGATAAATTGCTTACTGTCACTGGTTACTCTCGTCGGAGACTGAGTAGGTTTCTGCGAAGCTTTCCTTGTACCAAATTCTTTTGCTTTTAATTGTGGAGTCGGTTGAACTATGGCAACATTCTCCATTTGAACCTGAATATAAAGAGATTGGTCGCGATAGGATAGAAATTGCTTCCTTAGTAATGAAACCTTCTAAGTAAACAACAAAATAATTACATACTTCGGCATTAGTCTCTGCAGCGGTACCATGCAGTCCACTGAAAGTAAGCGATTTCCTGATATCACGATTCCTTTCTAATCCACCCTGAGAGTCGTCGAGATCCGAAGAAGGTACCGTAGGACTGCCTTTCGATTCCTCCTGTATGGCACTGCCTGCCAAGTGCTCCGCGGGCGAACCACTTAGACCATTAGATCTCGTTCCATGCAAAGAGCGAGATCCTAAACCAGGAGTCCCCTTACTACCATCTGGCGAGGACCGCCTCAGGATCAGTTGCACCTCGGAGGCATATTCTCCCCGTTTCATTAGAATCTAAAGGCCAAACGATCGCAACTGAAATTCTATTGTCTACCGTTTAACCATTTGCATGAAATTTATATAAACCTTAAGAGGATTCTCGTAGGGTGCAAGCAGTCGCTCTTTAACTCTCCATCGCTCCACCAATGTGAATCTGCCTGTCTGTGCCGTGGCATGTGCCAAAGCGTAAACGACATCCTAAAGAGACGGACAATTGAGACACACTGGTAACAAACCGATGCATTCTCCAATAAGAAATTAGTATAAAGAATCAGCAAACAATTAACCTGACAGGTGGTAGACTCGGTAACTCCACAAACGATTCGTTGAATGCCTTCGACCCACACCTTCAGCTCCATCGCGTCACCGCTGTCTCAGAGGAAACCTAACCTCTTGCATCTCACTCTCGTCGAAACGCGCGATCCCTGGACATTTTTAACACGATTTTCATATCATAAACTCTCAAAAAATCAATCGAACAGTGCTCTGATGACTATTAAATGCCCACAGCTCTTTTTAACAAACCTTTAAGTCAGATTCTCCAAGAACATGACTGCACCTCTCGCTTGGAAAAAGTCGGGGACGGCGAACTTGGCTTGCCTTGACAATGCTCAATTTTATTCATAAAACTACTGCGAACGATCTTCCAATACTTATCGCGGTACTTACAAAGCGTAATTGTCAGTATGATGACAGTTTTAAGTGCCACTGTCCATTAAACAACTGTGGCCACAAGCGATGACGACGCGGTGACAGGTTCCATGTGCGCCTCCCGAAAAAATATCAAACGTCTCCTCTGTCTCTCTTGCTTCTGTGTTGTACGTAAGAGCGACAAAGACAGGTTTATGCGAGAGAAATACTGGGTCTCTCGAATACACCCCTCCTCCTCCGATTTCAGTACAGAACAAACCAGTGAATTGGTGTCAGCTAACCTAACATTATGTTGCTAACCTGCTAACGCCACATCTGCAAATCCTGCGCTCGACGCAGTCGTTTGTGTTTTGAGATGATTGAGTTATTCAGTAAAGTTTCTGGGATTTTCTTCAATTGGTTCGTTTTAAGTGATACGGTAATATATGCAACTTTACATTACTGTTTAATTCTAATTATATAGTATTCACTGATCACGTGACAAATTCTTATCGGATTATTAGATTATCAGAGGTTAGAGTGACAATTGGTTCTGTTATACGGTGTCTGGGTTTCATATTATGTAATTTAGAGTAGAATTAATATTTCCGTTTTCTAATAGAGAAACTGAATATATTTTCAATTAGAAATTAAGGTCATATCCATTAATATTCATACTCGATGTAGACGTGTCTACATCATTAATTTTTTGGGATCGTATGTATGTATCAATTAATAGGATTAGAGAAACTAATTTAAGAAAATTCTAAACCACTCGTTCTCTTTTTTCATCATTGCCCGGTCATTCTTACACTTTTCGTTTCCTGTATATGGAATCGAATCAGTGCTTGTCTTTCTATTTCACTTTGTATGCACATTATGAAGTAAGATAATTGAAAACCATTTCAATTATTATCTTCTAGGTCCTGTTTCTTAACGCTACCAAGTTATAACTGTATAACTGTTTATTGTTTATACAATGTTATTAAACAACAATGCGTGCTTGGAAGTAAAACGAATAGAGCTACACAGAATGAGAGTTCCGAGTGAATACAATTCACAGACGTCATAATGGTAATTTTTGGTTATAGTTTCTTCAATTAAACTAATACACGTTTACACTTTGTCGCATTGTACATCATCTCATTGCTGAAATCAAAACCAGCAAAACCATGCCGCTAGTGCAAAAAATTTGTGTGTCCAGTAGAAATGATCTTAAGTAATGATAAAGTTCATGAGCCCATTGCATTCATCCTTCAGTATTAATGATGGTCCGGCTTTCTATTTGTTGTTGGGAACTATTTGTTGTAGGGAAAATCTTTAAAGAAAATAGTTTCTTTTATGTATAGTTGTCACCAGGAGCGCATTGTCTGTTCGAAACTTGTGCTTGAGATACAATATTTCTTACAAGCTTATCCTCAACACTCATTTTCATAACATGCCCAATAAACGCATGAATTCCTTGTATACTTTGTTGCACCATTTTTATGCTTTTAATTATAAATAAGTTTGCTTGCGTATATTTAATTATGGACATTTTTAATTTACGAGTGCATATTTACAGATTAACAAAAATTATTGTGAATGGGGTCTTTGCCAGCCCTATCAATACTGTTGTGGTGATAATATCTGCTGCAGTAAGAGCAGCGGACTGTTTTGGATGTAAGTAAAATCATTTTAAACGTTTCTTGCCATTCTGAATGTTGGTTTCAAATAGTTTCCTTTGTGTATTAATTAGAAATTAACATATTAACATTAATTGTTGTATATAGATTGGGTGTGTTGGCATCGTTGATAGCACTGATTTTAGGCTGTGCATTCCTCTTCCGCAAAGTCGAATGCTGTCGCTCACTGCTGCAAAGATCTCGAGTAAGGCTGCATCATTATGCAAGGCTTCCGTCGACGAATCCTGAAGTTTAAAAAAAAAAATGTTTCACAGTACCTTGACATTCCAGCAATTTATGAAATCGATCAAAAGCTAAAAATACAATTCCATGTTCAGAAACTAAAGAAACGTTAGATCAAGGAAAACATTACACAAAGAATGGGGAATACGATTCTAATACTAGATTACGAGAAGCATTCTTTTTATGCCAATTTTATATTAACTTACTTATCATTAATCGGACGTCATTGACAAATATTAATAATTGATCATGGCTTTAATATATGGACTTGCAGCTAGTAACTATATTTATAAATATTATATTTGCAGCTAAATTAGTATTTTTATCATGCGATTCTACTATTTTATGTATTCGTAAGAAATAAATGAAATATATTATGTGAAATTAAATAAATGTAAAATATTTAATAAATATGTGATCGTTGAGAGTAAAGTTAAACTAATTTAAATATTATAATCATGTTGAATATAAATCGGTCCTAATAAGAACATATCCATTTTAAGTGTGAAAAATATTCACGGGTTTGTACTCTAGTAAAGATCGCTAAATACTTGTGTTTTTACATTATCTTATATTAATTTACGTAGAGAAGTTTCAGACAGAAAATGTCCAAGGAAAGTATGGAAAAGTTTTGATAGAAGACCGCTAGGTGATAATTACAAACATGGAGCTGATTATTTCTTCTACTCCATGAACGTAGTGACACGTCGAGTTATCTCGACCAATCGTGTTGAGCCAACGTGCTCCACGATCGATTCTCTACGTGGCTGAAACAACAGAAATACTAGTGCCCGCCTCATTCGCTTACCCGCATGGCTCACCGAGAGTCCGGAAACTTTCTCACTCTCGTTAAACAAGTGAGTGCGACAAGGACAGATAGATACAGTATTACACAGTGGTAACTCGACCTCTCTCTTTCTCTCCCTCAGGTAACCTTGCCATCGATTAAGTAGCGATTTCAGGTGAGATTGCGTGTCCGTGTGCCGCCTGCGTGGCGCGCTCGGGCATGTCTGGACATGTCAGAATGAAAATGAAGATGGCCGCCGAGGTGAGGTGGCTCGGCCCGGTTCTCACGTTTTCGTTAATTTCGCTCATTCTCGCAGAAACTCCTCATCGCAAATTCGAATACAAGTTTTCCTTCAAGCCGCCATACCTCGCACAAAAGGATGGGAGTGTACCTTTCTGGGAATACGGCGGAAGTGAGTACCTGGTGTAACCTAACCAATCTGCGACGTGTCGGTCCGGTGCTTACCGTATGCTTTCTTTTCCACCGGCTTCTTAATTATTTTGAAAGAAAGCCCGCCTGTGGATCTGATAACGGAGTACACGTGTCCACGAGGTTTTATGTTCCGCATGTCGACGCAATAATGGATTACTGTTAGAACATTCGTTCGGTCTTTTTGGCTGTAGAAAATAAACATTCATCCAGGAGTGATGAACAAAACATTATTTTTCAGTTTTGTGGTTTGGAAATATAATTTTAAGCCCAGGGGATTTTTTAATACTGAGGTACTGTGTTTAGTAATAGAGGTTAGAATTTAGTACATTTAACGTCAATGATACGAGTGTCCGATTTGTTTCACAGATGCCATTGCCAGTTCCGAGAATGTTAGAGTAGCTCCGTCTCTTAGGAGCCAAAAGGGTGAGTTAATAAATTCTAGACAGCCAATGTAATTTCTATCAGAAAAAATTATTCCATCATTTATTTAGGTGCAATATGGACGAAGGAGAAAACGAACTTCGACTGGTGGGAAGTGGACCTTGTATTTCGAGTCACTGGGCGAGGAAGGATAGGTGCCGATGGCTTAGCATTTTGGTACACCGAAAATAAAGGTGACTACGATGGCACTGTATTTGGCAGCTCCGATCGATGGAATGGTCTTGGAATTTTCTTTGACTCCTTTGACAATGACAATAAACACAATAACCCATATATCATGGCTGTTATCAACGACGGGACAAAGAACTTTGACCATGCAAAGTAAGTGATACGGACTCGTCATGTCACTGTATCTTTAAGTGTCAATAATTCATTCACGATTAAGCTACATCTTCTCTTTTTTTTTTTTCGTTGATACAGTGATGGCTCAACGCAGTTATTAGCCGGTTGCTTAAGAGATTTCAGGAACAAGCCATTCCCTACTCGTGCAAAGATAGAGTACTATCGTAACACCTTAACGGTATGTATTTTTATTGATCTGTTTTCCAGAACCTGATTTCATTGAATTAATGTCCTTTTAATATTCTCTCTCGGAAGCTGTACTTCCATAATGGAATGACAAATGCGGAACAAGACTTTGATATATGCATGCGAGCAGAGAATATCGTGTTACCAAGATACGGGTACTTTGGAGTCTCCGCAGCCACTGGTGCGTACCCAGCTTGAAAAAATTAATCGACATGAATCTATTTATAATAACAAAGTCGATGACAATTTCATAATCCTCAGGTGGGCTGGCGGATGATCACGATGTCTTACATTTCTTGACAACGTCACTCCATCCACCTGGCCAGATCGCTTCAGATGGTCGAAGGGCCACCAGCGAAGAAGAAGCGAAGCTGAGCCAAGAGTACCAAGACTACCAAAAGAAGCTTGAACAGCAGAAAGAGGATTACCGAAGGTTTGATGGGCTTTAATTCTATTTATTTTATGATAGATTGACAATAGTGTTGAAAAGTGTCTTGAATTTTAATTTTTACTCAGGGACCATCCTGACGAGCGACAGCACAAGGAAAACGTAGACGAATGGTACGAAACCGACAATCAAAGGGAACTCCGTCAGATCTTCTCCGGACAGAGCCAGATGTTCGATGCTCTGCGAGAACTCAGCAGAAAATTGGACGAGGTTGTTGGTAGACAAGAGAGGACCCTCAGTCTAATATCGCAGATCCAAGTTGGAGGTTAGATTTCTTTGTTTTGTTTTCTTTTTTTTTTTTTAAATTAACACTCGAAAGAAACCACGTTTTATGGTGAGAATTGCTGCAGGAATTCAAGCCACGGGTGGCCAGCCAGGACAGGTGCAGCTTATCGATACGATTCGTAGACAAGAAGTGGATGCTGTCTTGAATAATCAGAACGTCATCTTGAACACTGCGAGAGAAATTAAATCCTTCGTCGGGGAGGTCCACTCGAAAGCTGACACTATCCTTAACAATCAAGCACGAGCTCCGACCGCTCAGGTATTTAATAATTCTATTATTGACTATCTTTTGTCAATAGTATTACTTGTAAAAAATGGAGTTTTCTTATTCAGGTCCAGCCGATGGGCTACGACTACCAGTCGTTGATTTCCGAGATGCGAGACGGCCTCCACGTTGTTAAGAGGGACGTCGCACAGACGAACTCCAAGTTGGAATCCGGAGCACTGAATTGCCCGACCACCAGCTGCTTGAGCACGACGATGTTCCTCGTGTTCCTGGCGGTCCAGATGGTCATTTTCTTGGGATACAATATGTACAGGTGAGCGAAGGGATGCGCGATTAATTTCTATCGAACTTTTTGCCACTTCAAACTCTACACGCCCGGAATGTCACTGACCTCGCTTTCATTTTTCTTCCCTCAGAGACAATAAGGAAGCACAAGCAAAGAAGTTCTACTAAGCCCTGGAACAAACGTTGGAAGCTGCACCCAGCGCCCGTGGTCACGAAAATCATGCGGTCCAAGGACCCTAAAAATCAAAACCACGTCTCACCGCGTCGTCAGTGATCGCCATTTCTCATTCTTCGTCGTTTCTTTTTCTCTCTCTATTTTTTTTTCCCTTTTAACAAGATCCTCGACAAGGGTGGACCTCGGCTCGTTAACGGCGACCCGCGTACTTGAGGGTCTCAAACCCAAGTACTTCATATTTCCCGAAACGGGAAACTTCAGAACTTTTAGAACGTCTTAAGGAACTAACCAAACGACTTCTGGTTAGGTTGAGACGCGCAAATAATTTTCTATAATTTTCCGGAATTTATAATTAACGACCGAGGGAGAAACACCCGCGCCGCGAGCTTCAGTTCATCACTTCGTCCTCGTTTACGACGAGGGCTGCGTTGTAGCGATATTATTAATTTCCACTTTTATTTTCTTTTTTTATTCTTCTCTTAATCTAACCATTAATCATTAGCGCGCCTCGTCGCGCAGCCTACATATGCATATATTTTTTTACATAGACCGTGGCCGGCGTTTCGCGTCGCCCCGTTGTCTCGCAGTCAGGTTGGCGCGCGGTTTAGTCTTTATATGTCTGTGGATTTCCTTTTTCTATTTTTCTCCTATGTCGAGTCGTCCGTTGAATGTCGTGCGCATCACGAGCCTCGGAGAGGCGAGCTGCACTTCGTCGGAGGGATTTTTATCCGGTTTATCCTCTTCCTCGTAGCCGTTGGGGGAGACCTTGAAGAGGGTCCACGACGGACATGAGAGGACCGACGTCCTGGTGCTTTCAAATCTCTGGTGTGTCGTCTTGTTGGGCGGGAGGACGTTTTCTATGTCTCGGGCTCCTTTCCGAAGGACTGCCATTAACCAGTCAGCTGTTGCGACTCACCATTTGCCATTTCCTCGTGACCGGTACACTTGTCAAAAACAGCTGACTGGTTAAGCGAGCACGAATCGCCGGGACATCCTGCCTCGTTCGGGCCCTGGCTTGAAAGTGATCGTAATAGTTTATTAAAGATTATTGTAAATCGATGAGGTACGTACACGTGTCGCAAGGAATAAAGCGGAAGGGGATGGAAAGGTTGGTCCTGTTGTTGAAGGCGGATCCGGATCCCGTGTCCTGGGGCTCTCCTCTGGTTCCTTGAACTCATACCTGGAATAATTCATATCTTTATGGCTATTGTAATACAATGAGAGTTACTTCATTTTTTCACGTGGATTACGTCGTACTGACCTGTTTCATGGCTTTACACGAATTATTAATTTATTTTATTTTCCTACATGCATTACGGCGTACAAAATTATTTCATGGTTTAACAGGAATGATTAATTTTTATTTACATGAATTATAACGCGGTGAATTTTATGACGCTGAATAAGAGCGTGATTAATAAAGTATGGGGAATTTTTATCTATCTGTTAGGGCACTTCTTCCTGACTCTTGTTCTATGGAGGTGGGGCAGTCCTCTCTTCGGCATCCTCGGGGGTGGCTCCAATGGAGCCGTTCTCGAAACCAACGTAAATTATACGAATTTCCAGAACGGTGGGACCTCGACGAGTGGGGTCGAAATTGAGATTTATACGAGCTGGTCTCTCGAGGGTGGAGATGCAATGAGACAGAGATAGAGAGGGAGACCTTGCAATCAATGTTTAACGCTCGACCGAAAACTCAAATTCGTTCCAGAGTCCGCTTAATGGTCTCCATCGACATATCTAGCATTTCCAACTATTCCAGAGAAGCTGTACCATGTTTCCATATATTCCTGTTAACAGAAAAATTAACGTACTTTAGTGGAAACAATGGATAAAATATATAAATTAACGGAATTGTAGTATAAAATTGATTTCAGAATATAATTATTAGAGAGAGAAAGGCGGTCTAGCGTAATCAAAGGGAGACAGACATTCCCGCAAAATGGGGAAGGATTGGGATTTAATTAAATGGCGTCATGGGGGAAAAGAGACCAAGAGGGAGCATGGTTTCTGTCTTTTCAACTCCCTGCTGTGAGTGGGATTATAATGGGATGAACACGGAGTCACGGAGATTTAACGAGAGGCAACTGCCCCCGAATTTTGGGCCCCTCTTATCTAGTGCAGTATCTATGCTCGTGGTGCATTCATACGTATCTCCGAGGATCGCTGAATTAATGTATGAGTTAAGGGGGAACTCGGATCTCCGTTTACTCCTGCCTCGGTTCCTGGCCATTTTCCGGGGGAGATTTCCGTTTCCGCGATCGCGGAGAATGGCTCCGAAACTCCCCAATAGATTCCAGAAGCTCTTGGAAGCTTTTGGAACCTTTTGCAAGGTTCCCCAGACGAGGGGTTTCCGCGCTCGATCCCTGGTCCCCGTTTCCCGTCGACCGTGGCGTCTGTAGTCACTCAGGGGCGGCCGACCAATCAGCGAGCAGCGACGCGCGACGCGACACCCCCTCGACCCAGCGGCGACCAATCAGAGCGCGCTTCCCTCGGGGCGCAGAATCCGACTTGCTGGCGGCCGGCCCTTCGACCAATCAGAGCCCGACTCCGTATTGATCCGCTGATTGCGCCAAATCTTTTTTCATCGGCCGAGCTGTAAACCGTGCTTTATGGTTGCCCGGGAACGATCCGCGAGCGTTATGATGGCCGTGAGTTATTAACATTGCCTCCCGCGAATTAATGGATAGAAACTCGTGCGCCGACGGGGGAGGAGGGCCGTTACCCCTTCCGATGCGTCCGAGTCGGTGCGCGATTCTGCGGAAATCGCCGAAATGCCGGACGGGACTCCTATTCTTATGGTAACGCGGAATCGAATTCGACGGCTAGGTAGCGATGCGGCTAATGGAGACTGACGCGATTTCTTCTAGGCTGTAATGTAAGCGAACGGGGATGTGCTTTCGAGCAGAATATGTCGAATTCTTCGGGCTGGATTTCGTTTTGCGAGTGGTACTGCGGAATCAAGATGGCGGCGCGACGCCATGTTGGTTCGGTAGGTACCACAACGCGTTGCAGATAATTAAGGTCATTTCCGATTTTATTAAGCCCTGAAACCTACTTTTATTTAGCGATATCGCAAGAAACTTCATTGGTATGACGATTTCTATTTACTTTTAGGCATGAGGCTGCTCTATGATGGAGAAATGTCGCTTCTCGTCCTACGAGTCGCTCGCGGTATTATTGTTTTCTTAACGAAATGGATCCGGTGAATTGTGGGCCGCTTCCTCCTGAAATAACAGTTTATAGAAAAATTAACCTCACTTCGCTGTGCAAATAGGGAGGCGCCCCTGGTCTCACCCCTTGCCGTGAAGAGAGGAGGTTGCTCGGCAATCGAGGAAGGTAAATAAATCCGTAGATTTCTGCGTGGAGAGAGAGACTTTTTTTTCCCTTTTTCTTTACCCTTAACTATGGGCGCAACTACGCGACACGTTCCGAATTCTCACGGGGTATAGCTACACGTAGAAATGACCCATTTTGGGGGACCTTGAAGAGGCTGAATCATTCCCTAAAAATGATATTATATGTCCAGGGAAACAATTACTTTCTTTCGTGCACTTTTTCACGGAGCATGTAAATGCGCATAAGCGCCAGGTACACGATAAGCTCGAAAAATCACCCTCTCATTTCTTTGCTGATTATATTTTAATGCTTACTCTTTACATCGGCAGGTTGGATGCATTTTCACGCGGAACCTGGAAACGGCGGAAAATATACAAGAGGCATCGCATCCCGTTTCAAGAATGAACAATTTCCAATGGAGCGTGGAGAATGAAATTCTGTCGCAAGATCTATTCCATCGAGTGAGGAGATACGTCGAGCTTAGATGTTATCATCTCATGGTGCTACGGGGACGAGGAGGCGCCTCGTTTTTTGATTTCGCATAGATGTCCCCTCGGCGGGCTCACGCGGTTCCTCATATGTAGATTTATTATATATGTACTGTATACGTGTACGCGAATTACGTCGCGGAAGTGCGGAGCCTCGGGGAAAGCACATCCAATCATCGGCGGAGTCGCGTATCGTCTATCTCGGCCGTGACAAATGAAAATATATTTTATTGGCCGTACCGAGCCTCGAATGGTAATGGATTTCTATACATAGCTTGTGGATCCGTGTACGTGCTCACGCATTTACCGCGTATTCGCGACGCGTAAACGCCTAGGAATACTCGGTGTATGACACATAGAGTGATTTAGGGCCGGCGGGATGTAATCCCACGAGCGATTTGCTCGATCTGATCCCGGGGTCGATCCCCGTTGACTCCTCGTCGACTCATCCGCTTATCCTTGATGGGAATGCCTCGGTACTTCCTACTTAAGGGATGCTACCTCGATGGGATTATTAATTACCGGAATAGAGAGCACGAAGGGGCGTGTACTTGCTGGGGAAAGATGATGCTTTCCCGGAGGAAAACACTGATAATAATGTCCATGGAAATTTACACACTCCATCGTTATGTTCACCGTGCAATTGCAGGATAATTACGTTGTCTATAATTATCACATTGACAATTCAACCATGAGGTTTGCAAAAGTGTGGGTAAATTTCCATCGATTCGCGATGCTTAGAGTGCGCAGAGAGTATTTGCCTCGTTGAGACGATGCTTCGGTTAATTGTGCAAGTTATTAAATTTACCAGATTGCAAGGTATCGCGGAATGTTCGGCGGAAATTCCGGGGGCGTTCCGCGGGGATAAAACGCGGAATAAAAATTATCCAGAGGCGTTGCACGGTGCTTCGAATCCACAGAAAGTGCCCAGGAGTGTTTTACGAGGCGAAAAAGTCGCGGGGGACATTCATAATCGTCCGAGGGGCATAGATCAGCGATGTTCTTGCTCGACTGGGAGGGGCGCCTTAAGTACGCGAAAACTCGCATTTAATGATTATTAATTGTCCAGGTCGAGTTTGAAGGGAGGGTCCCCTTTTAATTCCTCCTCGAGTGGCGACTTCCTTCGCCGGAGGCGGTCGTCCTGCAGAGGAAGCCGAAATCCGCAACGAGGACCGGCCAGGGGATGACCACGATTTATGGACCGACTCCAGGAAGAAAATCCACTTCTCGTCGAGGCCAAATTCATGGCCCCTTTAAATGGCCTGCTAATGGACGGAATCTAATTTGACCGCTTCGTTAGGTCACTTGGACCAGAGGAATGTTTGCACTCCTCGCGAAACGCTTTCGGCGTAAAACAATAGGCATGTTCATTGTGACTGATTTATTTAAAAAAAGAAAATCGCTGATTAGCTTTAACAGTAATACTAACGAAGCCTTTGCAATTTACTTCGGGGTGAAAAAGTCATGATATCACATGCTAGGTTAATGATAAGGTCATAGACGAAGTAAGTAGAAAGCGCTGTTAAAGTGTGACGGTATATAATTATCTTATTGACGCAGGGAATATTTATATGAGGAAGGCTAGATTATTAATGAAGTATTTATAGGTATTTGTAAGCAATTTAGGTATGAGGAGATTCCTACCTGTACTCGTAGGCTCGGAGACTTCGATGCCTGGTCAGCTTTCGCGTAGGCCTTCTCTCTCCCCTGCTCGGTGTTACGTTTAAGTCTTCGACCTTTTTATTAACTTAATCCATAATTTCGGACAAGTTCGAAATTCTAGAACATGTAACGAACCGAGTATTAATTAATAATCCGATCTCCGGCCCTGTTGATCGGTTCTTGTGCAGAGAAAACGAAACAATTCGCTGTAAACAAAATTCATCCGCGAGATTATAGAACCACTTGACATCGATTTTGTATATGTATCTGTGAAATATGTATAATTATCGATTGATGTGCATGTGCAAGTATGGATGATTATTCTTCGCGTGCACATGTCGCGTACAGTGATATGTTAGAATTACTACGTTCAATAATCGGAATAGGTTTGCCTGGTGATTTAGAATTATCATAAGAACTCGATGAAAGCGGGGAAAGGCAAACCCTCCGATCTACAAAGTTGATCATACGGCGGCGTACTAATGTATTCGTATTGCAGGACCCTTTGTGCACCGATTACCAGAGGCTCGGTCGAGCGAACTCCCTGCAAACTCGCAATCAGCCTGCCAGGACTAATGCACCGCGTGACCAAATGTTCACCGCCTGCAAACGTTGGGGTCACTTAGGCTCCCGACCCGATGACACCCTCATTGACACCCTCATTGACACCCGGCCACCCTCCTGGAGAATGCAAACTCGACGGAGCAACATTTAAGCCGATATGAGAGGGTATATATATATGAACCACCTTACAAAAAGAATTTCTTAATGGCGATTAGAAATTTTTTTTTATAATTAATGAGATTCTCTTCGGTGTCAGGACCTTCCTTGTAGCCTTCGTGTTCACGTTTTAAAGTTTATACCGATTCGGTACACCCAGTCCGGAGAAATGTTTAGAAGCGACCGACCGGATTGCCGCTTTCGTATCATCTTAATTCTAAGAGATTGA